ACGATGAAAAAAAAGACAGAAGTTGGTGAAATAATATTATAATTAGTTACAATGCTTTTCGTTATTTTTTTGCAATCATTTTTTTTCCTTTCACATGTCAACCTGGTGATGATACTTCGAGAATGCTAGGCAACCCTCATTTATCGCTGGAATCGTGTACGACCGGAAGCAGCAAATCACTTCTGTTCGGGCGGTATTTGGCGTCTAACAGAAAAGTTTCGCCAGTTTATAGAGAGGGTTTTTTTCAGATGGTGCTAAAGAGTTGTAGCTCGACTCAGTTCATAGCATTCTGGTGGATCGCGATAAGGTTTCATTGATCAAATTCGCCCACTTTAAGGTATTTAATGAAACATCTATTTTTAACTTTATTTATTCTGGACTTCCATGGCCTTAAAGCGAGGAAAAAATTAGACGTGGAAATTTTGTCACAAATCTTAATGTCATTTCTGTTTCAATCAACAAAACTTCTACGAAGAGTTTGATAGGATGGCAACCAAAACATTTGCAAGTACCTGGTCGCGATTCGCCAGTCACAATTCGCTAAAAAACTGTATTCATGAATAATTAAGCGTTAAAGACTGGATGTCTAAAACTAAACTTAGTACCTGAAATCCACTTGAATACGTGAATACAAGCCAGAACTACTGGCCGTGACAAAGGAGAGCGATTATTCCCGTTGGCCTCTAAACACCCGAAGCAATCTGTCTATTACGAGTCACACTCTTTAAAACCCTCCGTCTCTTCTGATGGATCGCTAGACAAAACAAACTTCTAATAATTCGGTTCTGTGAATCGTTCTGAACGAACCAAATTCTTGCGGCGCCATTTTATCCCAAGATCTCAACCCTTATTCTTAAGAAAGGTCACTTTCTTAGCCAATCACAAGCGGCTGGGCAAAATGCACGTGAGGGACATCTGTCAAATAACTTCTTTTTGACCGCGCGCAAAATGAGCGATAGCAATTTCAAAAGAAAAAAAAAAGACCCGAACTGAATGAAAAATTATTATGTTTTACAATTCAAAAACCTTTATACTCCTACGAAAAGAGTAAACTTAATTTAGAAAATAAATTAAGCGAGTGAACTTCCCACTAAATATCTTTGAAAAATGAACTTGATAATTTTCTCCGTTTTGTTTACATTTATGCTGTCAAGTAAGCACAACCTACCGTTGCTTTTTCTCCTGCGATCAAAACGGAACTTGAAGGTTACAGTTTACAATATCTTCTAAAGGATTACTGTTCAATATAATAATACTGACCAAGAAAAAATTATTAAGCTAAGAATAGAAAATAAATCCGATGAAAATCGAGCATAAGAAATGAAAAAGTGTTATTAAGCGAAGGGAGGCATTTTATTTTCGTTATTTACGTAGTATAGTGCGTGTAATAAATGCGCTATGTTTTACTACGCAAATGCTATTTTGAAAATTTAAGTTCGGGTTCAACGAATTTTGACCTGGGCATCATAACAAACAAGACAAATGTATTCCTATTTTTATTTATGTCTTTGCGGCTTTTATGCCGTTTTACTGTAAACACCAACTTTTAGCTACTCTGCATTGAAACTTAAGATAATTGTTGAATGTTAAATATGCGTCTTTAAATACAATCATTAGAACTTTATACTCACAATTTCCATATATGTTGCCACATATCGGTATCGGACATCGAAAGTGAATTTTTGAATTTTTATCTGTGACGTGGTCAAACTTCAATTGAGTTCACGGTTTATCAGTGTAAAATTCTTATTGGCAATACCGAATAGTTTTTACGAGCTCGAGCTATAGAGAAAGTTATTGCATCCGCCAACGGACTACAGAAATTTTTTACTTCTAATTTATACACGATACTGCAAGAGATTTAGATTTTAGAGTCTTTGGCAGACACGTCACAGAATAATCTGGAGCAATAAGAAATTATCAAATGTCCTCTCGTGTGCGAAGTAGGCGGCGATTTCAAACAACCTGTCTGGAAATTAATTAAATCCACCCTCACTATAAAGCTCATAGCGAGGGAAAAAAAAAACAGAAAAACAAAGCGTCTGGACTGCGAGTTTTCATTCGAAATACTGGATCTTCCCATGGCCAGGTGATTTACAATCCGATGATTTCAGGCTCATCTCTAGCCTACGTGTAGCCGTACCCTCCCCCCCCCCAAGGTGAAACGGAAACTGTTCCCTCGCCTCTATTTTACCTTGGCGGGGGGAGGGTGCAGCTACACGTTGGCTAGCTGATCTACTTCTGAAAAAACATCAATCCAGAAGCAACTGGCTGATTACCGTACAGCAAAATTTCTTCTAAACCGGAAGTCGAAATTAAAGGAATAAGCGAGCGAAGACAGATGACTATTTTCACTTCTGGGTTTTGCGTTTTAGTTTTTCAATATGACAATCGAAGGAAAAAATTGATTTCATGATATCTGCACGGTTATGATTGTTACTCATTTGAAGAATGAAACCTTAATTAATTAAAACGGATTGAAAATGCAAGGTTGTAAAGTTCAATTTACGCCGTTGATTCCTCAAGATATACCCCGTGACCGTGACACTCGTGTCAAGTATGCTTAGCTGGCTATTTTATGGGAGATTTAGCGATGGAGCGGGTGAGGAAGGCAGCTGTATGCGGCGCTAGACAGGGGGCGAAAGCGAAAGATTTAGGAGGAAGAAAAAAATAAAAAGGAGCTCTGTGGCTCGTTTTCATGGCCCCGTCAGCTTTGCTTTCTCGGAGCACCAAATTAACCGCCAGCTCTGCAAAATGACTGGAATGACTGATCATTAACTGTTTTAAGTAGTTAGGTATTTAACTTTGGAAGCAAATTTTTACAAAATATGAACTGCTTATCATTTGTACAGCTACCCCATGGTGAAGCTGAAGGAAGAGAACTCCCATACAGTCTCAATTCTTCTCCGACAGCGTTTCACGAAAGAGTCATGAAAACTTTCGTTCGATTGATACATATTTGTATATTGGTACTTCTACTGTAAGGCGCAGAGAAACCGTAAAATCCCTTTTTTGACCTTTTACCCTTTACGTTGGTATTCATATCCTTCACACTGTTCTCTTTAAATTTCCGACAATCAAGACCTTCCTAAATTAGTGATCATTTCCTTTATTCTCATGACCTTATTGTTTGATTTAAGAGTGATACCTTAGGGAGAAATTAGAAGTCAGTCACTCTTAGGACCTCTTAGGGGGTTAAAGGGTTTAGGTCGAAAAACTCATGTAAATAGTAAAACAAAATACAAAAATCGGAGTGGTCTCGCTCACTTATCTGGTCTTGACTTCCTGTTGGAAAGTTATTTTACTCAAACCATGTTGTTGTCACCCTGGCTTAATTTTTTTCACGATCTGAATCGGGCCAGAAATCCACGCACTGTGTGCGTCACCATCTCCCCCGTTATTTTATTACGTCGCTGTCTCATCACTGCTAGATCTCTGACCTCTGACTGACAGCCTGAAACAGGCGGAAACTCTCAGAATCCCTTGCCTTAAAATAATGAATTGTAGCGAGTCACTTCACTAGAATTTTTGCAGTACTTCTGAGTGGCCTGTTGGAAATGTTTAAATCATATTTCTACGCAAATATTTTCCTTTCTAAGATATTTTTTTATTTTGTTCCAAAGGTATTAAAACGAACTATGTTTATGAGAAAAAAAGATGAATAAACGACAACAGCAGGTCTTAAAACTTTATTCTAGAAGGTGACCATCAAGAGGGAAGGAACACTAATAATAATTTTTTTGCTGACCTAAATTACAAACAAAATACACAACAAAACAACAACAACATGAAATCTAACCATAAAAAGAGACAAAGAAAAAAACTATTAATCATTGCCCTTGTGACTCTTCTGGCAGAGCTTTGGGAAGCAAAACCCAGTAGAAATGGCCCAAAAGCATCACATGAGACCCTCGATGAAAATTATCACGACGGATTTTCAAACAGTGTTCTTTTCGTTCGCTATATCTTGTACCTAGAGCTGTTGGCTACTGAGATATGAATTTCTAAGCTTAAGGCTTTCGGGGTGAATCCTGAATCCTGGGGGACGAATAATCAAGGAAAAAAGTGTTTGCAGATTTTTGATGGATACTTAGGGACCGTGTGGAAGACGGAAGGGGGGGGGAGGAGGAGTTTGGTTGTCTCACAATAAAATTTACTTGATCTCCCCCCACCTCTCAAGGCACTGTAGTCTTTTAATGATGATCCCTCCTCATTGGAAAACAATTTCATATAGTCCTCCCCCCACCGCCCCCCGCCAAAAGTTAGGTTCATGAGATACTGGCAAGACCTAGCTTGTCTCCTCAGATCGACAACTAAAAGATTGTTTGGTTTTAACAACTGAGTTTATAATGCAAATTGGCCGCTGTGAAGAGTTTCAAAGCTGACGATTCGAGCGCAAGCCCTATGTCAGAGCGAAAGACTCGTCAGAGCAAAAAACCAGAAAACTAGTCTGAATCCACACCCAGCACATGTTAACAAAGGATACAAGTAAATTTTGCAATGGTTTATTTGACCTTTGAAAAAGAATTGTTACTAGCTGTTCTCATGACTAATTTGATTTCATATTCAGATTTTTGATCGCTTTCTAATTTTCTTGAAGCAAAATTTCATCAAGTTTTTGCTACTTTTTTCTTTAACTAAACCTCTGTGGTATTTTTATCAACCATATGCAGCCGCGCCTCTTGGGAACCAGGACCTCTCGTTCCATCAAACTGCAATTTGATTGGTCAGTAAAATAACAAACCAAAACCGTACGCTTTACTGTGCATTGGCTTACTGAAAACGAACTGTTACTATCTAAGTAGTTATAATTCGCGAGTTTTGTTCGCTTTTCTTAACCTTTCGATTAGAGAAAGATTCAAACGAATGGCATCGGTGAGAACTGTTTTGTAAGAACTTTGCAGATTTCGGCTTTCAAGTGCTGATCAATGTTTCTTTTACACGCATTTCAGACTAGTTCGAACGTCGAGAATCTTCATCCTCAAATCCTCAAGCAAGTTATGAAAGAGCTGAGGAGTTTGTCTTGCGATCCTCCCGAAGGCATCAAGATTTTAAGTAACGATGAAGATATAACAGACATACAAGCAACAATAGAAGGCCCAGGTATGTTTCTTTAGTGTTTGAGGAGAGAATATCTCGCAATTCAATAAGAAGCTTCAAGCGGTTCTGGTAGATACAGATTATATGCTGTTAAATTTGAATTCTCGTTCCCTTTAACTTTTGCCTGGCTTGAAAATTTAACCGTGGAACGCATTTTTTTCTAACATTAACAGCTGGCACCCCTTACGAAGGAGGACTCTTTCGTGTGAAATTAGTTCTTGGGAAGGATTTTCCTGCCAGCCCTCCAAAAGGTAACAAGCTAGCTAATCGAATGTGAAAATGTTAGTATTGTCACTTTTCAAATCAATGGCCATTCCACTTTTGTACTCTGTCTTTCGTTCTTCCTCTGTATTTCTTTTTAACATAAACTGCATTGGCTTGAAGGTATTGACTTTCCTTTCACCCATCGATTGTTAAAATGTTATATTTACTGGTTTAATGGATGATCAAAATTTCTAACCTTGAAGGTGATTTGACAGATCTTGGAGCCTCTGTTTATATAGCAGCCCTAATCTATAATAATTAACAAAAATGATTTTGAGACATTCGGTTCTCCCTTTTTTCCAAAGTGATGACAAAAGTCTTGTCTTTTTAGTGGAACATATCTTCACCTCTACTGAGTAATTATAAGGAAAGTTATGCTGCAAAAAATACAGCTGAGTATTTTTTGTTAGTTCTCATTTATTTCAGCAAGGTTTAAGTGCTCAGATTCACCATGAGGTTGCTTTTTTAGTTTCCATGTTGTGTATTTGTACAGTTCTAAGAGTGCTCAAAAGTTGCTAAATTTGTGCATGTGACTTTTGTTTGCTATTGTGTTTTTCTCTTCAGGAATAAATAACCTTTGTAAAATCATCCACTTCCCAAGCGAGTATTCAGTGCTTTGCCAGTTTCACTGTCATGGTGTGACTTTTCCAATCACCTTGACTTTTTTAAAAAAGAACACTATGAAGTTTTAAGTGAACAGATCACTAACATAGAAATTTCCAGACACTACAGCAGTGGTGACCCAAGAGGAGACTGTCCTTGCTCGGGATTTGTCAAACTTGATTCTAAATTTTTGGAGTTTATAGTTCTTGTTACTATTTGTTTATGAACTTTTTGTTTCTGAGGCATGGCCAAAACTGTTTGAATGTCAATATGAAAGTGAACATTCTTGCTTTAGTGGGTTATTTTTGAAAACCAAGCGCAAACCATTTACTTCAAGAAATGATCAACCTGTAACTTCTTCCTCTAACATTTGTACATTATTCAACAAACCAATATTGAGAATACTCAAACTTATCAGGTAGAAGTTGTTATCATGATCTAACACCAAATTCTTGTGACTAATTTACAAGGAAATGTGTAGCATCTGGAGGGAAATTAATAATCAAATCTTGGAAGTTAAACAATTTAGAATTTAGAAAACATGATTTTAGTAAAACAGAAATCACATTTAAAAATTTAGTACTTTGTAGCACTCTCTGAATGACCCAAGGATTGATAGATTTTTTGATACACACCCTTTATCTATATATACATTGCAGTTAGATGATTCAATTAGGTTTAGACAATAGGGTAGTTGTAAAACTGTAATATTATACAAAAATACTTGTAAAATAATGATAGAAATGAAACTGAAGTATTTGGAGAGCACCAGAGGTCATCCTCTGACTTTGAAGTGTTCTGCTCTAGCTTTCTTCATTTATTATACCAGGGTTTATTCTATTTTACCCAGAAATCTTTATAAGGGCAATGGCTGTCATCTAAGGATCCCCATAAATCTGTGCAGGAAGAGAAGTGACCCTCTTGTGTATTCCTCTAAATCCTGACCAATCCCCAACATTCCCTCAGATGGGTGATGAAAATGCATGAATCCCCCCCTAACTCCACTGGACATGAATAGCTACCACTAATGTATTAAATCCCTACCAAAGCCCCCTTAATCAGTACTACTACAATTTCCTCAAATGTGATCAGTGCACTAACTTCTTTATTTTTCACTAATTATTTTGTGGAGATGTAATCAAACTGTTGGCTGTAATTGGACAGTTCAAGCAGCCAATTGTATTAAGTTCACTCAGCTAAATCCACCAATCACAGAATCAATCACAATAACCATTGCAACAACCTCTTATCCTAAGAATAAGGATAGAATGGAGAATTTCCAAATAAAAGAATTTTTAACTTTAAATATTGTCTCCACCAGAGATATTTGTTCTAGATGTTTTGTTTTTTTTTAATAAATGGTATTGGTTATGATTAATTGGTAACAGGACTTGATGTCATCTAATTCTGTCTATAATCATACTCATGATTAACCCTTTAACTCCCAGAGGTGATTGACATGTGAATTCTTACCTAAAATATCCGTGTATAATCCAGCAAACATGCAACAATGAGAATAATCAAACTTATCAGGTCTGAGGTGTTATTTCAATCTAACACCAAATTCTCATGACTAATTTACAAGGAAATGTATGGAAGTTATTAGGGAGAATTAACTATCAGATCTAGATCTTGGGGGTTAAAGGCCTAACAAAATTGGACTCCTGCTTCAGGGTTGTTCGATTTTGTCAATCACTCACATAATTAAAGATGGAATTAGACTTCACTCAGTCCTATAACCATTATATATCAGGAGTAAGGCATAAGTTTCTAACTTTTACCCCTTTAGTGATATTTAATTGTACACTTTTCCATTTGCTTCTTCAGGATTTTTTTCAACCAAAATATTTCACCCAAATGTTGCCAGTAATGGAGAAATCTGTGTAAACACATTAAAGAAAGATTGGAAACCAGATCTTGGTGTAAAGCATATATTATTGGTAAGTTTATTAAATTGTATGCACTTGCAAAGCAAGCTTTATGATCATTTTGAACAGTGTTTGGTTAGCTCATGTTGTAGAGTGCTGGACTGGCATGTGGGAGGGTTAGGGTTCAAGCCCCAGACTGGACCAACACTCTTAAAATAACTGAGGAGAGTGTTTTGCTTTTGCTTTGACATCAGTGAATGGTTAGACATTCTATCTTCTTGGATATGGATGATAAGTGGTAGTTGCTGTCTCCTGCCTCTTCTCTGAAATGGTTAGAAGGGGACATTAAAGAACCCATGCACTTCTTGCAAAGAGTAGGGAACAAAGCTCCCAGTGTTGTGGTCTGGCCTTTTCATTGTCTAAACAAGCCCCTATTTAATCTAGCTCTGCGCTGAACTGGGCCAGCCTGCCTAAAATACCACAAATACATACAAATACATTTTTGGCCTAAGATCTCACACAGGATCTAAAGAAAGTAAAACAAGTTGGAGTAAAAGCGAGAAGGCTCTTGTGGAGCAGGTCTGCACTTGAGTCATGTGGTCCATTGAGCTGGAACTTGTTCCTGTATCTGTGACATGAAGGGACTAGGAGTATTACCACTCCCCCTAAATGGGATACCATTCCATTGCAAGGTTAACCCCAGCATTTCATCAAGCTTCCCTGACAGTCGGCAGATACCCATTTAAACTCTAGGGTGGAGAGAAGCACTACAGAAGTAATTTAAAGTGTGTTACCCAAGAACATAACACATCGACCCACTAGGTCTCGACCTGTGGTCTAGTGTACTGGCTGTAAGGCCATCCTAGGGAGAGGAGAGTGGCTTCCTGGAAATGAATGGAAGGCTGCAATAAATGCATTTCAATGCAATATGTACTTGTATCTGAAAGCCTGTTTTCATTCCATCCCAAGTATTGTTGGTTTTGAGCCAAAATAAAATGCACACTTTATATGTTCATCACCAGATCTGGGTGACAAATCAGAAAAGACAATTGTAAAGACTCGCATTTTGGCCTCCATAAGTTTTTTGTAAACCCTCCATCTACAAGCCCTATAAGCCCAGGGGTGGAGGAAAGGGGGATAGGAGGGGGTTTATCATTGTTTAGGGAAGCATTTTCATTCAATGTTTTCCATTGGAGAATGATTCATGTTTTAAAATTTGACTCTTCTTGATTGCCTTTTTAGACTATAAAATGTCTTCTTATTGTCCCAAATCCTGAATCTGCATTAAACGAAGAAGCTGGCAAGCTGCTCCTAGAGAGATATGACGACTATTCAAAACGAGCTCAGTGGTGGACAGATATCCATGCCAAGACCAGTCACTGCACTAAAATGGAGAGTATGGAAAAAGGGGAAAGTGTTGAAGCTACTCAAGGGATTAAAAGAGCTAGTGATAAAGCACTAGACAAGAAGAAAAAAGACAAGAAGAGAGCTTTAAAAAGACTCTAATAGATGCTTAATGTCTCAATTATTGAAGTAATCATGATAATAATTCTATCATATGTTGAGTGTACAGTGTATATATATAATGTGGAGCTGCTCACACATTTATACAGAAAGAGATCACCCCTGCTTAAGAGAGGGTAGTGATTTTTGAAGTGAATAAATATTAAAACATTTAATTTTAGTTTTGATTTGATTGATTACTGCTGAAGTAAGTCCAACAAAGGGGTAAATATATTTTCTTCTTGCAGAATGCACTTCTAAAATGCGATATCTCAGGTCAAGCACAAACTATTTGACTACTCTATTCCATCTTTGATGTAAACCTTAACTCAAGAAATGTTTCACCTTTACATATAATTCTGTGATCTTATTTTACAGAATTTTACTTTTCCTTTTTTCAGGATCTGTGTGTTGATTTATTGCGGAGTTTCTTATGAATTAGCTTTTGAATTTAGTGGTGCATCAAGGAAAACGAATGTAGATTTCTTAAAATAAAATTTTTACCTAATCAGGCATCCTGGTGTCTTGTGTGTTCTGTGTAAAGGCTTAGTCAATTTTTGTTGTCATGTAAATATTGTTCGTAAATTTAGTAATTTGTAGAATTTTATGCCACTCCCCTTAAAAGGATGAATGTAAGTCAAATTATACCTTATACCTCCTCATTTTGTTTTGAAGCATTTCATGAAGTTAGAGGTTTACCAATTATACAAAGATCAGTTGTTCTCTGAAGTTAGTGTGCAAAATGATGATTTGAGACTTGCAAAAGTTGTGATTCACCCCCAAGATAGAGATATCAATTATCTTAACTGTCAGCAATACATTTCATAGAATTCAAGCACTGTGAGTTTGCTGTCAAGTTAACCTATATCCCTTGTTTATACATATTATTTTTTCTTTTGTTAATTTTAATACTTGCAATTGTAATCATGACACTGTAAGGAGAAATTCCTTTTGTCCCTTTTGGTAGTGAGAAGGCAGAGGTGAACAGTAAACCCAACTCGTACTTGCTCATAATAAAGTGTGAGTGACCAGCATGGGTGACATGGCAATGTAAGAGATAATGCATAGAGATATATAGAGCAAGAGAGGGAGAGTCCTCTCCTTCCCATTCCTTCACCAATTTCTCAGACAGAGTGCTCTCATGTGGGGTCCTCTCATTGAGAAGAGAAACAAGCCATTCTTCAAAAGGGGCACATTACAGTTGGACCCTGAATATGATAGTCTGTTGGCAGCCCTCATTATTACCACTTTGGCACTATACTGGTGTTTTATTCACTTGTGGTATGGTACAAAGCCTTGAGTGACTCAAGCAAGCTAGAAGTCCGTAAGGGGTCAAGCACTGATTAATAAGCATTCCCTCATTATTGACACCTTGGGCGTGAGGGAATACAACAGATCATCAAAAAGCCCTTGACCTGAATTTTGAGGTTTCTACTATCATTCTACGTTGGGTTAGAGAAGGGTATCGGTTCCCTTACCGTAAATGTAAGAGTCGGTGGAAAGTAGCAAATAATATTCTGCACCAGGTTTCACACAGCGCACTCTGGGAATCTGTTCACTCCATTTCATTGGGGGCCCTGGATTAAGTTGGGTGTCCTGAGGTCTCTAACCAACCTTGTCCATATTAGGAAACGGAGGAAACGATTCGATCCCATTCCTACTCCGAATGCGGTATTAAATCATATTTGTTCTCGAACGTTTAACATTATTCGTCTAGTAGGAAGTTCATCACATTCGGGAAGAGGGAAGAGGTTGCAAAATGGAAGCTGTAGCGAAGCATGAATTCCAAGCTACCGCAGAAGATGAGCTTTCCTTTAAAAAAGGCTCGATTTTAAAGGTAAATCGAAGCTAGAATGTCTTCCTTGTGCAGACGCCATTGCTCAATATAAACAAGGATGCCTATACCGCTTATAAATTCCCCCACAGGGGAGCTTATGATTTTGTCTCGTTTGGTTGCCGTTTTAGGTTATCAAAACAGATGACGATAAAAATTGGTTCAAGGCTGAACAAGAAGGGCGGTTGGGACTTGTTCCAGCGAACTACATCCAGTTGAAACCACACAGGTCAGTATAGAATGCAGATACGTGTACAAGCTCGTTTAAACATTTTTCTGCTTTGTGGTGTTTCACCGATTTGAGGTATATAGACTACACTCTTGAAGGGAACTCTCCCTCCTGCTTAAGTTATGCCCGTAGGTCAGCATGTTTACAAGGGTTTATGAGAAGAATCGTTTCAGATAGAAAACAGCGTATTTTGACAGAAAAAAAATTACAACTGCGGTTACTACATAATTCGATCCCTATCGCTGTAGTCAGATTGTATGTTGATCATCAATTCGATGCACCCGGAACCAAAAATGTTATATTCCATATCAGTTCAGAGGTTGATTTTTTTTAGTTTGAATCCTTGCGCTCAAGGTTGAATGTTTATTTGGGAATTAGTGTTTAAAGTGACCTTTGTCTCTGCCAAGTTGATAAGCTGTTAACATTTTTAAACCTTCACTACTATAATGTAATAGTCAGACTACTGGTACGTTGAAATACCCGATTATCATATACGATAAGAATAAAACAAGCAATCTTTTTCCCTGAAAAAAACCTTCCGGAAACTCTACTTTGTTCTTCCTTGTCACCTTGTGAAATATGTAATAGTGCATTATAATATTCATAAATAGAACACTTAAAATGAAGTAGGTTGTGATGAGGAAGTGTTAAATTTTGAGCAAATGAACATCTGTCAGTAAAAGGAGTCAATTACATCTCTGTAGAGAGAAGCCTATCCACTGGAGTGAATTTAATTTTTTTGTTTCATGAACATTAACTAATACTCACTGTGTTTGTTTGTTTGTGAAATGTTATTTTTATTTCTGGAAAATGAAATTGGTGACATCCTATATATCTAACAAATGATTTATCATTATGTAGCAACAATTCCTATTGTATAGCAAAGTTTTTGTTTCAATTATGGTTTATAAACATATATGTGTATATGGTAAGCTGTTTGTTGATCTGTTCCTCTTAATAATCCACTATGATTTGGAAATAAAAAACTTTCAGTGATGATGTCATCATGAACTTGGTTCATAGTAAAAGTTGTCATAATGAATATGAAATTTAGGAATCTTAATCCGATAAAGCCTAGGAGTGAATTAGCATCTGATTTCTCCTTAGCATTTAATACTGCAGAGTCATTCATTAAAATCATGAAGATAAAGGAAATGATCACCAAGTTAAGAAACTTTGATTGTCGAAAATCCACTATCATTTGGAAATCAAAACTTTCAGTGATGATGTCATCATGAATTTTGGTTCATAGTAAAAGTTGTTATAATGAATATGAAATTGAGGAATCTTAATCTGAAAAAACATAGGAGTGAACCAGCATCTGATTTCTCCTTACAATAATACTACTGATTCATTCATTAAAATCATGAAAATAAAGAAAATGATCACCATGTTAACCCTTTAACTCCCAAGAACTGATTACTAATTCTCTCCTGTAGCTGCTACACATTTGCTTGTAAATTAGTTATGAGAACTTGGTGCTAGATCAAGATAGCAGCTTCTACCTGATAAGTTTGAATATTCTGATCACCTGTTTGCTGAAGAATGTACAGATATTGCAGGGAGAAGTTTTATGTGAATCACTTCTGGGAGTTAAAGGGTTAAGAAACTTTGATTGTCAAAAATCCACTATCATTTGGAAATCAAAACTTTCAGTGATGATGTCATCATGAATTTTGGTTCATAGTAAAAGTTGTTATAATGAATATGAAATTTAGGGATCTTAATCCGAAAAAACATAGGAGTGAATCAGCATCTGATTTCTCCTTACAATAACACTGCTGAGTCATTCATTACAATCATGAAAATAAAGGAAATGATCACCAAGTTAAGAAACTTTGATTGTCAAAAAAATTCTCCTTGTCTGTGCCTCAGGAAATGTACAGAGAACAGTATGGAGAATATACATACTCATGTTAAGGTATAAAGTGATAAGTAGTCAGGACGACAATGCTGAGGAAAACATTGATTGAAAAATAAATTTATATTTGCAATTAGAATTTTGTAAATGGTTGTATGTGTTAACCTCCTCTTAGGTTGCCACATCTTAACTTCATCATAACATATGTGAGCACTGTTAAGTTCCAAATGGAACCTAAAATAATTTGCCTTTGAGATTTCTATTCTTAGACCATACAAATCTTGGGGATTTCACATTTTGGTTTTGGACAGCTAAGAAATGTAAAAAGTTTTAAAATGCTATTGCTCTGCTCTTTAGAATTTTTTGTTTTGCCATGTCTTCTTTGAGGTATAAAGGCAACATATATATAGAGGTTGATTTTTTGTAGTTTGAATCCTTGCGCTCAAGGTTGAATGTTTATTTGGGAATTAGTGTTTAAAGCGACCTTTATCTCTGCCAAGTTGATAAGCTGTTAACATTTTTAAACCTTCACTACTATAATGCAATAGTCAGACTACTGGTACGTTGAAATGCCTAATTATCATCAACGATAAGAATAAAACAAGCAATCTTTTTCCCTGAAAAAAAACCTTCCGGAAACTCTACTTTGTTCTTCCTTGTCACCTTGTGAAATATATAATAGTGCATTATAATATTCATAAATAGAACACTTGAAATGAAGTAGGTAAGTTAAGAAACTTTGATTGTCAAAAATCCACTGTCATTTGGAAATCAAAACTTTCAGTGATGATGTCATCATGAACTTGGTTCATAGTAAAAGTTGTTATAATAAATATGAAATTTAGGAATCTTAATCCAATAAAACATAGGAGTGAACCAGCATCTGATTTCTCCTTACAAAAATACTGCTGAGTCATTCATTAAAATCATGAAAATAAAGGAAATGATCACCAAGTTAAGAAACTTTGATTGTCAAAAAAATTCTCCTTGTCTGTGCCTCAGGAAATTTACAGAGAACAGTATGGAGAATATACATACTCATGTTAAGGTATAAAGTGATGAGCAGTCAGGATGACAATGCTGAGGAAAACATTGATTGAAAAATAAATTTATATTTGCAATTAGAATTTTGTAAATGGTTGTATGTGTTAACCTTCTCTTAGGTTGCCACATCTTAACTTCATCATAACATATGTGAGCACTGTTAAGTTCCAAATGGAAACTTAAATAATTTGCCTTTGAGATTTCTATTCTTAGACCATACAAATCTTGGGGATTTCACATTTTGGTTTTGGACAGCTAAGAAATGTAAAAAGTTTTAAAATGCTATTGCTCTGCTCTTTAGAATTTTTTGTTTTGCCATGTCTTCTTTGAGGTATATAGACAACATATATATATAGAGGTTGATTTTTTGTAGTTTGAATCCTTGCGCTCAAGGTTGAATGTTTATTTGGGAATAAGTGTTTAAAGTGACCTTTGTCTCTGACAAGTTGATAAGCCATTAACATTTTTAAACCTTTACTGCTATAATGCAATAGTCAGACTACTGGTACGTTGAAATGCCCAATTATCATCAACGATAAGAATAAAACAAGCAATCTTTTTCCCTGAAAAAAAACCTTCCAGAAAGTCAACTTTGTTCTTCCTTGTCACCTTGTGAAATATATAATAGTGCATTATAATATTTATAAATAGAACACTTAAAATGAAGTAGGTCGTGATGAGGAAGTGTTAAATTTTGAGCAAATGAACATCTGTCAGTAAAAGGAGTCAATTACATCTCTGTAGAGAGAAACCTATCCACTGGAGTGAATTTAATTTTTTTGTGTCATAAACATTAACTAATACTCGCTGTGTTTGTTTGTTTGTGAAATGTTATTTTTATTTCTGGAAAATGAAATTGTTGACATCCTATATATCTAACAAATGATTTATTATTATGTAGCAACAATTACTATTGTATAGCAAAGTTTTTCTTTGAAGTATGGTTTATAAACATATATGTGTATATGGTAACCTGTTTGTTGATCTGTTCCTCTTAATAATCCACTATCATTTGGAAATCAAAACTTTCAGTGATGATGTCATCATGAACTTGGTTCATAGTAAAAGTTGTCATAATGAATATGAAATTTAGGAATCTAAATCCAAAAAAACATAGGAGTGAACCAGCATCTGATTTCTCCTTACAGTAATACTGCTGAGTCATTCATTAAAATCATGAAAATAAAGTGATTAAACTTAAAATGATTAACTCAAAGAAGTCTTTCTCCAATGAAATTCTGTGTCTACTAGATATCCCTTTAAGATGACTTTGATAGCTGGCAATGCATAGTAGTCAACCCTTCAACACCCAAGATCTGATTGTTAATTCTCTCCTCTAGATGCTACACATTTCCTTGTAAATTGGTTGCGATAATTTAGTGTTCAATCAAGATAATACTTTATTCCTGATAAGTTTGAATAATCTCACTACCTGTTTGCTGGATAATGTATGGATATCATAGAGAGAAGTTACATGTTGATCACTTCTGGAAGTTAAAGGGTTAAAACAATGGCAGCAAATGCTATTGTATCAACATTGACTATGTTGCATATGACGTGAATCGGATAAAGTCAGTACCGCAAAACAACAATATCAGCTACCATAATTATTGTTTATTATTAATCACCCTAGCTTTGTTTTTGAGCCAGCTGAATAATAAAAGTACTAGTAAAAAATATAGAATAACTGATTTTAAAATGCTGAAATGTCACAGGGAAACACACTACTTACTTAACAAAGAATATTTTCATTATGCACTTTTATGTTTTTAGAAAAGCTTAACCCTTTGGCAAAATTTCTCCTTAAAATATCAGTACAATATCGGTACAATATCAAGCAGACAAGTAATTAGAATAAATGAAAATATAAATTAGAGGATCATTGGTTGATTCAATCCCAACTTCTCCAAACTAACATCATATGGATTGCATAGCAGACAGTAACGAGAATTACTTAATGATATCTTGGGGAGTTAATGGGTTGCATCATGGTGAAGTCACACATGCAAATGAATTAAAATCAGACCTTTCTCCCATGTAGGCCATTTTCATTGGTTTGAACAAACAGTTCAGTTGGTAATTTTAGAAATTCATTGTCTTACTTATTTTTTTGTTTAGCATGATTAAGATATTGTATTCTTTAGAGTTTTGGGGGTTACAAAGAAGCATGGTTTCCTCTTGGTTAAACCTTGAGACACTTTTACTCTTCATTTGCACTTTTCAGACTCTCTACTGGTATCATGCATGTGGATCAGTGATAGAATTGAAGTAATGGATTATAAATTAATATATTTAGTGGTAAAGTTTAGGAGTTCCTTAATCACAATTCTTCTTTGTAAGAGTTGAATATATTGGATTTTTCTTATAATGTTGTTTGGTAATACGTAATCTTTTTTTGAATCATTATTTCATGAGTTCTTTTTATTTATTTATTTATTTTTCAATTTTTGTGCAGTTGGTTTCATGGCAAAATCACAAGAGCAAAATCAGAAGAATTGCTGATGAATCAGAAGCATGATGGAGCTTTTCTTATCAGAGAAAGCGAAAGTACACCAGGTAAAGAATCTCTTTTCCTGAGTGTGTGATTTATCCCAATAATCTTGCCTCCTTTTTAGCATTTGGGTTTACATGCTTGGATTTCAGATCTTTGTTACTCGACAATAGCTTCAACCATTCACCAAAGTAGAGGTGAAAATTGGTGAATATGAAAATATCAACCACTTTCAATGACACTGAGGTGGATAATTGTTTTAGCATATTCCATACAGATACCAAAAAATTTGTTATCTTCTTTTGATGTACGGAAAAATGATTGGAAATTATACACTTCTGACACATGATTTTGTCTCATTGGCTGCTTAGAGGTGGACAGTACTTGCTATTCACTTTTGAACTAGCCAATTGGCATGCACAAAACGCTATTCACCTGTGTGATATATAATAAAATTAATTAATAGAGTAAGATACTGGATGGATTATAGCCAGCCAAAATACATACTAAGTTAACCTCTCCTCTCCCTGTAATATCTATACATTATTCACCTAACCTGTAATGAGAATACTCAAACTTATCACATAGAAGTTGTTATCTTCATCTGACACCAAATTCTTGAAACTAATTTACCAGGAAATGTGTAGCAGCTAAAGACTAAATTAACAATCAGGTCTTGGGAGTTGAAGACCAAAACAGAACTGATTATTCTGACAGCAAACATCAGCAGAGCTAATGCAAATATTTTGTTTCTTTTGATTACAGGAGATTTTTCATTGTCTGTGAGGTGAGGGTGTGTTGTAATTTAATATCTAAATCAGTTCATGTGTGTAAATTAAATTGAATTTATGTTCAAAATAGTGTCAAGCACCAAACAGTGTTTATATTTACTTTTCCTCTAGAAGAACCTTGTTTACAAAAAAGGGTTCTTTATTTTATGGAAAAGCTCAGTTTTGATTACATGTTAGATCACTGATTTAAAAGATGGTATAGGGTTGTAAGGGTAAAAACATAGAAAATTCTGAATGCTCCTTACAGGAGTTGAATATTAATTGCAAACTTATTTTTGTTATTAATAAATTGTGCAATTTTGTTTTCCTTTCCCCTTGATACAGATTTGGTGACGGTGTACAACACTTCAAAGTCTTGCGTGATGGGGCTTGCAAGTACTTCTTGTGGGTTGTTAAGTTTAACTCATTGAACCAGTTGGTTGATTATCATCGCACATCCTCAGTCAGCAGATCACAAACTATATACCTAAGAGACATGGCAGATGAGGCTGCTGCACCGGTAAGAGTTACATTATGATAACAGTTTAGTTACTGCATTGGGAGCAAATTTTGCTGGAGCTTAGTTTTATTAGAGTTGATTGAAATATCTGTTTTAAACAAGTGTTTGCACTGTTCTTTTGGTAGATAGATATTTGCAGTGAGTTCAGATAAAAATAATGCAACTTGACACTAGATTTGTCAGTAAAGTTTGTTGTTTAAACTTAAGGAAGTAAAGTTGTTTGCTGGTTTCTTTCCATTGGGACATATTTTTATATTTCAGGGACTATTGAATCTGCAAGAATTAAACCCTGTAATGTACTTATATTTTACTCTCAGGCAGTAGCTGCCATTTTTCACTGAATAATTTGCTAAATTCATATGCTCATTTGAATCGAAATATTCCCCCTCTATTTGAACCTAGAGATATAAGAAATACCTTACTAACCTTGTTTTCTCTGAACATACTGTAAGTTGCAGAACCATGTTTTTGCACTCAGATTTATGGCTGGTGCGCTTAGTGATTGAGTCATAAATCCAGCTGGAAAAACTTGGTCTGTAACTAACAGTACAGAACTCAAACTGGGTTTGTAAGAGGTATTTATTACCACTTAAAATTGCTTGGAATTCTTGAAAATTCAACAGGTAAAAGGATTGCTCTTACTACTGGTTTGAAAATTTATTTTACCCGTTGCACTGAAGTAAGGGGCAACCTGGGCACTGTCTAATTGTCAGGGAAACTTGATAAGATGAAAAAAAGGGAGGAAAAAAGGGGAAATGGCTTGTTCATTGTACAAACTGATTTTACTGATTTAATACCAACAAAAGGTGAATTTTTACTCTCAAATAACAGTATTTCTAATTCCTAATATTTTTCAATGAACAGGAGCAAGATACATATGTCGCTGCTTATGAATTCCGACCAGAAGAAGAGGGAGAGTTGTACTTTAAACGTGGGGATTCTATATTGGTTCTTGATAAAGAAGATGCTAATTGGTGGAAAGGCAGAAACATAGCAACTGGGAGTGAAGGGCTGTTCCCAGCTACTTATGTGCAAAAGAAGTCTTAAAATTCAATTTTCACTCTGAAGAAGTATGCCATTTCATATGACTGTTAATACATTAATCTGAGTGGTATCATTTGATATTTTGGAGTGAAAGTTTCTGAAAATAGAAGCACTGAAATTGCTGAATTACCCACAAAAAAAAGCAACACAGGAAACTTGTATTGAATTTCTCTCTTTGTACAATTTTTTTCTCTTCTGCTAATACAAAACAATAGTCAAAGAGTATATTTTAAACAGATAGGTGAAATACTGAATGTTTTGTTTTCCTTTGTTATATCAATTGATTCAGGGGATGCAGACAGCTGTGTACATTTTTGCCATTTAATCAAACAATAATGATTATTAATAATATGCAGTCTAGGTTAAGAGAGTAAATTTTGCCCTTCCACTCCTCTCAAGATGATTACATTTCTAAGCAGAAAGTTGATGAGGAAATCCTCAAGGCTAAAATTTTGAGACATGTGGTTCAAAGTTAGGGGAATCAACATTAATAGGGTCTACAAATCCTAGCCTGTTAACCCTTTAACCCCCAGAAGGTATTAACATAAAACTTCTTCCTACAATATCCATACATTCTTCAGTAAACAGGTAATGAGAATATTCAAACTTATTGGGTAGAAGCTGCTATCTTGATCTAGCACCAAGTTCTCATGACTAATTTACAAGGAAATGTGTAGCAGCTACAGGGGAGAATTAACAATCAGATCTTGGGAGTTTAAGGGTTAAGAGACTGTCAAGGCAAGGATCAATCAAAAATGAGTGGGGAAGGGTAGGCTTACTCCCCTTTTCCTACCCTTCCCCCTCTTTGGCTGTTTGACAAACAGCCAGTTCCTTCTCATCTCTTCCAACAGGAACCTGTTCATAGGCTAGACAATAACATGCTCATTATGATTGCAAACATAGTTGAATGTGACTTAATGTTTATAATGATATTTTGAAGAAGAGATACAACTTAAGTGGAGTAGAGCATGATTGTGTGGATGCTGGTGTGATGTCAATGTTGTGTAAAGCTCTTTACTGAATCAAAGAACACAAGTCTTTGCGGTGCATCTATTTCACTTCATTAAAGAGTTTGGATTTTAACACATGCATCTAACATACCTCATGAAAGAGCTAGGTCACTAATTTGTACTGATAAACATATCTTTTGATTACTTTTACAACATGTTGCAGGTCCAATATGCTTTTAACTGGGTTTGAAGATCTGGGCCACTTTTTCATGTTCTAAGTAAGACCTGCATATGTTAGGGTATGGTTTTTTGGAGACAATTGATACCCATAAGAGACCTAGATTCCTCTTTGGCTGAGAAAGTTCTGTAAATAAAAAATCCTTGATCTCTTGTATTTTTAAATTGTAAACGTAACTAAATAATTAAATACCAGTCATTGTAGTCACCCCTGTTAGGGGGTCGGGTGGGGGGGGGATGTTTCTGTGGGCCATCCTTTCCTGCTGTTCATTTGATTGCAATTATATTCCTCTCTCTCACCACTGATCTAATCAATTACTTTATCTCCACAAAGCATGGAAGAAGTTCCTCTATGGAGGCTTGGGTCATGTTTCTCCCAGCTTTACTAGCAATAGAATAATCAAAATTGCTTTTTGGGAGCTTAATTTAATATATAATATGTATGTATTCAATCACTGCTATTGTTTTTCGACAAGAATTTATGCATTGTAGTTTTCCAGCATGAAGTTGTAATGAACAAGATTGTAGTGGGTCTAAACTTGTCAGGAATTGTTTGGGTGTCACCTAGATTTATTTTTCTCAGTTTTTGTTTACCGCACACGTCTTTTTTTTTTTTTTTTAAGAATAAGGTCCTGTGAGAAAACTTAAGGGTTGATAGAATGCATATAATGTAGAACTCCATATTTGTAATAAGATTTAAATGATTTACCACAATAGATACCTTTTTTAATGGAAATGCATATAGTCATAAAGAAATAATTTTCTGGTAAATGTTGTCAGGTGCCATTTCATTCCTACTTCTTCTACCTTGGGAGCAGGCTCGCATTATTAGCGCTTCGGAAAGAGCATTTCTTCGGAACAAGTATTTCTTGGGAACAAGCATTTCTGCGCCCGCGGTATGAGGCCTCAAGCAACGCAAGTCAATGAGAAGTCTGTAAGGGGTCTAGCACTGATATTAGTCCCATACCCCCAGCAAACTTCCTGACCAGTCTCAAATCTTCCCGCGGTAAAGGAACGCGCGTCCCTCATCATCAATAACTAAGGTCTCCTTGAAGGCTATACTGAATATATTTACCATAGAAGCCGCAGTGCTTATGTCAAGACCCTCTCTTATTACAAAGAAAACAGAGATAAAGTGATAATGGCTAACTGTACCACTAATTGCTTTTGAATAAGAGCTCGTTTCGATTGAGTATCGCGAAACAGAACCTAAGGTAGTCACAAAGGCCAATCAGGACAAAGATAAAATTAACAGATAGCCAATTAAATTTCAAAGAGCCGGTAATTGTCTGAAGCGCTGAAAAACGTATGTTGGTGACCAAGTTGCTTTTGCGACAACAGCAACTTGAATGATCGTTTGAAAGGGTGGCACAAGCTTTCCATGTGAATCCTGGAGAAAAAGAAAGCAAAGCCAGCACCATCCCTAATTTCCTCCGACACTCATAAGAAATTCGCTTTGTAAGAGCGGATTTGTCTTTGCTGTGATGGTTTTAATAATTTACGTCCTTTGAACCTCTCTTCCAATGCACAGAAATCGAAGGTTCTTTTGAGGGTGCGAGTGGAAGAGAAGATCCTGGGTACGAATTTGAGCACGTGCTATTTTCCAAGAAGTCATTATGACGTCATTTTCTGCGAGATAGACAAAAACCCAAAGGATGAAGAGTCGATGTAGAAGGCGACTGGTAGCACTTTTTACTTGCTTTCTTGGCCTCTTGCTAATCTTCCCTTGTACTGGTTTAAAATCTAAACGCAAGAAATTGGTAAGTGTATTACGAACAATTTGAAGATGCATTGGATGATACAGCTATACTCTTTCAAAGTCCGATATTGTGGCAGATCATTCTTGTGAGGTCAAAGCAGGACAGTCAGTTGTATAGCTAACGAAAATTAAAGTATTATTGCCGCGCAAATCCCAAGTGAAACGCATAAAAACCAAACAATGATCCAGAATTGCATTCGCTTGGCTTAACAACATCCTAAGATTTGTTAAAAAGCTGGCGCAATTTTCTCGACCAATCACAAAGCTTGAGCCAATCACGACTTTGTCGCTACTAGCGCATTTCCGCGATCAAGGAAATTTACAAAATGCGTATCTTTTAAGTTCTTATGAGCTCTTGGTTGAATTTTTCTTTTTGTATGTGATAAGCCACTGTGGTTACTCCATTTTGCTAAAAAAGCGCTCTTATCGGACGCCTGAAACAACAAAACAACCGCACTATTGTATTGATATTCAAGCTACGTACCCTTTGTCGACGGGCAACTATCACACAAACAACTAATAAGCGACACAAAACCACACGAAACACAAAATCGTTATCTAAACAATTGATCGAAAAAACGGAAAGAAAATTTTTTAAACAATAAAGCGATAACTAAACTTAATGCATTACTTCTGACTTTTGATCAGCAGCGACGCTCAATATCGGAAAACATCAAAAGTTGCAAACATTGGAAGTTCGAGACCACAGAAGACCCACACTTTGCCGATATCAGTGTGAAGCTACATAATGCGGTGAGGAATAATTCCGAGTATCAAGGAGGTCTGCAAACCCATCCCAATTTTCAAATACCATACGCTAATTTACAAATATCAGGAAAATGTTGACCCTGATTAACGCCCCTCCCTCCCTCCCACGGATTTTTAATTTCTACCGAAAATTTGAATGTCACATCGCAACAGTTTCCTACACAAGATATAGAAGACTTGATATAAAACTTGTTTCATTTGCTTTACGTTTAAAATCGACCAGCAAATCACGCAATATATCTTACCATAAACTTATCTGTCGCTCTTAACCAGGCTCCTTCGACGAAAAAGATGTCTGTAGCCTTACAATGTGCGGCAATGAAAAAACTACAGGAGCCGAAGTCAGCCTTTACGGTTCCAGCGGTAAGATTCCCACGGTTTTATTGCTTTTTTCCGGGAAAAAACTAAATTCAGTATTTTTTCGCTGTTAGCTACCGCTTCTTCCCTATTGGCACTTGACCCTTTACACCCAAACATCATCATGCATATTCAACATAGTATTCTCTATACATTTCCTGAGGTGCTTACGAGGAGAATTTGTTCAACAATCAAGAGCGTCTTTAGTTGGTGATCATTTTCTTTATTCCTGTGACCTTACTGTTTGATGCAGGGGTGATATTGTAAAGAGATATTAGATGCCAGTCACTCTAAGGGGTCAAAGCGTTAAGATGTAAAGTTCATTTACTGACGTGGATTTAAAAGAAAGTGAATTGTTTGTTTTGACCTTTAAGGGCCTTGGTCCAACTTTCCCGTAATAATAAGCTATAATTATCAGCCGTGACGTGGCAGTAGCCTATTGGCCTACTCTCTGGTTGGGAGGGGACTGGACTCCCATGCTCTTTACTCTTTCCTTTCGAAGAAATATGTGGGTGCCGGCGGTGGCAATAAATGGTTAGGAAAACTGACCATGGTGTCGTGAGTATAGGACGCAGCATACAGTACATTTCATAGACTATGTGCCATCTTCATGGCTAAAGTCATGGGGTCTGCCCCGCAGCAAGACAAAAAAAAGACTTTATGTAATTCGAAGCCCGAGCAGCGCAATCTGCGCTCGAAGAGCTTGCGATTTTTGCAGTCCTTGCTGCGATCCTGGCTTAGTATAAAAAATATCTTTCGTTTTCAAATTTCAAGCAACAACTTTTCTCTTCCTCTCTCCCCTTTGTATTATTTTCGTATTCACGCGCGGCGCGCGTGATTTCACAAATTAGCCAATCACTTCAACTCCAACCTTGACATTGGAAAACTGGCGAGGACATTTTTCGCTTACTTTTCATTTTGTTTTCGCGGAGTTTTAGTCAGTTGTTTTTTGAGCTTTCGTTTGCACAAAATAGTTACCCTTTTGTTCGAAATTTTATGAAGTTTCGGAGTTCTTATTTTAGCCAAATGCTGTGGTTCATTTAACAAGTGTAATACATATTTTCTACGGAGATTGGACTTAAGCCTCTTCTTTCGTAAATAGATTTTTTACACTTAGCCTGACAAAGAGACCAGTCTCTTCTAAAAAAAACTTCCAATCTTTTGATCCACGAGCCTGTAAGCAAAAAAAGCAGTCCTGAACGTTGTAATAACGTTTTATTCATTTCACAGCGCCAGACACACCGTTTTGCCTTTAGGATCGCTGTTGCATCTAAGTACCACCACAAGGACCGAACCGTGCATAAACATACATGTAAACTGTCTACATGGACTAATGATGAACACAGTCTTGTCACTTGCGAAATAAAAGTCAGCGTTTGGCCAAATGGGATGTTTTACTACAAATGCTCATCGTGTAAGTGCGTAGAAATGCTCTGTAATCTCTAATTGATAAAAAATTAGTCAACGCATTTCAAAAATTGCGGCAGTTGTCTGGTCGTTACCCTCAGACTGGGCTGTTTTAACACAAAATACGACCACAAGTCAGAGTGTCGCGCTCTCTGAAAGAGACTGAAACCAGCAACCTCCCGCGCACGTCTTCAAGCTGAATGACGTGGATTGTGTATTTTATCTTCCTGTTGAAGAGACAAGACAAAGTAAAAGTCGAAACTAAGATTCTGAAAAAAAATCGACGAAAACCCGCATTATCTAGCCCCCCCCGCCCCTCCCTCCGGGATCTAAGCCTGTTAGATTTCGTTTCGTGTCCTGACATTTTCCCTTCGAACTCAGCCCCAGTGCTTGCGTCCTCAACCGTGGTCAAAGAAGCACGTCCTGCGCCCTCACATCTCATTAGTAAATCAACCTATGTATCAAAAATTATTCACCTAAAGGAGGGATTCTTAAGTTAATTAACTTGAATAAATCATAATTATTCTTATTTTTAAGGACTGACGGTCAGTATTCATTGTATTCCTCAGTATGCGACCATTTTGATATCGTCAGTTATAAATTCGCAGGTGTGAGCCTTACTAAAATCTAATTTTGTTTATACCTTTTATCGGCATGTTTAGACCAACAGGGACAGCTGACAGTTTCACAATCAACTTCTTTGAAAGCACGAAAGATGAATTTTCATAATAATGGGGAGGTTGGTGGTAAATTTTACACTGATCGTTGAGTTACTAATTCATGTAGTTGTAGAGAAAACTCACCATCTCTCTTATTCAATTTACAATCATGTGGTTATGTTGTGGTTATGTTATAATCGTTTTACGGGTTTTGAAATCAATGTTCTCTTCTTTCCTCGCTATTAGTCTTCTATCCTGCTTATAAATTCGACTTGCAAGCCAGTGGCACTGACTCTACAACTAATCGACATGTACAAGCAGCTTGACAAAGGAAAGAGTTGGACTCTCGAACTGCCATTATCTTGGTAAGTTAAGACTCAAGAGTGTTTTAATTAATCCTTAAAGTTATTCCTCTGAAAATAAAAACCTGCAACTTTCACTCGTGAAAGTGTAAAAAATTTTACCTAAAATGAAGATGTTGAGTTCAAACTCTGTTAGATACCATCTCCTCACTAAACGAGCACGAGGGCTGTACTGGTAAATAAGGGCCCGAGAGGGGTCGTGGCCGAGTGCGGACTGAGCACCGCGAGGTTCGTTAATTTATGGCCAAGGGCCAATATTCTACATTACGGCTCTAGCATAATAAGATGTTAAGTAATATCATCCCAAATGTTACGGAGAAAAAACCCCAGAAAATTTGAACGTAAGCAAACTATTCTTTTCCAAATAGTTCAGGAGCAACGAGTCTGAATTACCGGGGAAAGTGCTCAGTTAAAATATACCACGTCTGTCGCGAAGTCAAATCTCAAGTGGATAAAAAAGTGTTTGACTTGAAGGATGGTGAAATCGACGAATGTGAACACGCCAAGACCATGCTGGGTAAATTTGCCGTGAGTAGTTTTGCTGCATCTTTTGGAGTCAACGATGACTGGTCTGCGGCTCTGGCTCTCACCACAATAATAGAGTTGGTTTTGATCTTAACAACTCTCGTCATCAAGGTATCATAATAATCGATTATTGTGTGTTGTCTCTCGCAAAGATAAAAAAAAATTCAGTATTTGTCTCTTGCCAGAATGAAGGAAAAAATGCTAAAACAACAATGTTCCTGATGATTGTACAAAATTCTTTTCAGGTCATTGTCGTCGGGCTTCAAAAAGGCTGGGACTCATCAAGAGAGGAATTTTTTTATCGCTTTTTCAAAGCCGTGAGAATAACTCACAGTGATTCAACGTACAAGATCAAGGAAGGTAGATCACGTAAATGTTGCTTAACAGAAAAGAAAATACATTCGATAAAATTCCATGTAACTGCGATACAAGGGAGAAGGAGGTCTTTGACTGTCGTCTTTCTAGTGTTTTGGGGCACGTCAAGTTGCTGTATTTTTTCGTATCAAGCCTCACTTTTCTCTGGCGATGTCAAATGCGCCCTAATAACCCCCTCCCCCATTCCCTCCCACGCGCGAAGTTTTGTAATTGTGACACACTTACGCAGGTTACCATTTACCAGTTACTGATTACATTAACCTCTATTCTCTTTCCCGAAACCACTCTTATCGTTATTCGCTAAGAAAGTGAGGTTTCTGAGGAGGAGAACTGTATCCATTTCGGTTTTAAATTTCCTGTATCGACATAAAGCAATCTTTATGAAAGACATTAGTAGGCGAAATTTCAGTCGGGAAAGCCAAGCAATTTAGAAATCGGTTAGGAAAGAAGATTTATGTTTTAACTAAAAATATGCTTGTTTAATGTGAAGTTTTTTAAATTTGTATCCTTATTAGAACAATACTGTGAAAACTTTGTGACAGTAGTAACATGTCTCTGCATCCATTTCTAACAGATAAGTGATCCATCCCTCCTTGAAATCGCTTGACTGATGGCCAAACAGAGAGGCTGGAGAAGGAATGATAAAATTGTTTTGTACTCAATTAATAAAGTTTCCTCATTTTAAACAAACGTCGTGTTTAAACTTTCATGTTGGGCGAAATTCTAATTACTTGCTAACGGATCAGTCTGAGATACCCACGGAGTCCGGTCGTTTCGATACAAACTCGTTTCGATAAAAACTGAAGTCGGTTTAATAAATCGAAAAGTCGATTTGATACACGTACAAAGTCCTTTCGATACAAGTTCTGTCACTTCGATAAAAACTAGTGAAGGATAAATTAGGATGTTTCCAACTGTCCAGGAGTCCGAAAAAAGGAGTTTAAGGACCTTCAAGAGGTATTGAATCGACGTTGTCGATGTATCGGATCGACTTTTGTTTGTATCGAACCGACTTGTATCGAGATGACTTTGTATCGAAACGACCGAAGAACAGCCCTTAATTCAGGTTGACAAAATCGCATGACCATACAATGTTTTCCAATGCAAAGAAAGTAGCAATTCTGCCAGGTCATTTCAATACCTGATGGACCATGAAGTACCAGTTGACACTATGAGCTCACCGACTTCGCCATCATTCGAGATTTAATATGAACAACTGATTTTTTTCAGCCAGTTGTGGGTTTATAAGGTACTTCATAGTTATTTTTTTTAGCTGCGTAGCCTGACGTACTCAAGTCGACCTCCTTGATCAGGCCGATTCCACAGATTCTTCATCATGTTCAAAATATCCGTCATTTTGCCGTTCTTGTAGTCTCTCACATAGTCGATAGATTCAATCTTCGATGCTTGTGGAGTATTCACTTTGACGTAATACAGGAATGTCTGAAGCGACCAATCCGGATTCACGTCAAGGACTTGAGCCTTTGTAACCGCGCCAGAGTACATAACCGGGACACTTGGCCCAGTGACCTCGAAAACCTCTACCAATATTCCAGGGCGAAATCCATGGTTACGAAGTGATTTCTTGAAAGCTGAGCATTCCTTGTACATATCTTTGACTCTTAATGTTTCCATGCCTCGGTCTGGCTTTGGAAAATTTCTCTTCCCGTTGGATACAAGAAACTTAGCAAATTCCTCTTCGTAACTTGAGTAAATCATCCTTCCTGCGTGAAATATGGTGCGGCCCTCGCTTGGAAGATACAGCACTAGAAAACTCCACGGCTTGAGTCGAAACATTTGGCGCAACTGAATGTCTAGGTATCTGAGGGGAAGGGACATGTTTATTTGGAGTTCTTTCATTCCTCTTCCAACCAGCGATGCTATAATAACCTTTAAGAATTCACAAGAAATGTTCTTAATAAATAAGTTTCAATAAAATGCTTAGCATGTGTCACTAACCTGCGAGTAGTTCCTCGTCATTAGCATTTCGACGGGCGCGTTTCTTCATCCGTGGAAAGGAATGGAGCCTTGGGCAACGCGAGCCGCCAAGAGTTCTGCAAAGGGTCTAGAACTATTAGTGCCAGACCCTTCGCAGAACTCGCCTAGTTGTCTCAACTCAAATCTTCCCGCCGGCGGGAAAACGCACGTCCTTCAGCGCTTATACTGACAGTCTGCTCGCAAGTACATCATATCAACTCTTTAGAGGCGAACGCTAAGCTCGATTCGCGATCATTTCCTTTTCAAGCCTTCCTCGGTTTTCCGCCTTTTACTGTTTAGCTTTCGTGTATCGAAGACCGCCAGATGGAAAATCTCACAATTAAGAAATTGTTTTAAAATTTTACTCCACTTTATTCAAACGCAATGTTCTGGTCCTTACCTCCTTATTAGGGCTTGCCCGTATGTTCCCGTGATGCTTTTCGAGCTGCACTGCACTGGCAATGGCTGTTGGGCTATAAGATGGTGAAACGACGCAATCATAGTAGACATTTCCATCCATAATAACCTCATCTTCTTCAACCGGAAGGCTCCTTCTGAACAAGCACACGTCTAAATCGTTTTTGAGCTCTAATTTTTGCCTTAATAACAGCAGTACTTCGCTGATGATCATTTCTTTTTTCACCATCAGAATTGTACTCTCTCCTTTCCCAAATACATGTCGGGGCCAAAGGTTAAACTTGACCGGAATGAAAGAGTCTGGGACAAAAAGCTCTCGATAGGGACTGGGTAGATACTGGAGCTCCTTCTTGGGCATGCGTTCCATGTTGATAACAACTGACCTAAGACACTGCACCGTCAGAGGTGCGGGCACTCTTTCCACGTTTGATGTAATGCTGAGCTCGTCGTCGTTCATTCTATGTTCCCTATGGAAATATAATTAATGAGTTGATTCAAAGTTAGTTCTATTAATCTGGGTATTCATCGGCCTCTTAGTCACAAGAAAACAAGCAACAAAGGGCACGTGTGGTTGTCAGGTAGTCCTCAATTTTTCCACTGTCTGACCTTGACGTTTTCCGCGCCACTGTTCGCTTACCGTCACTGCATGCAGGATGGTTGTAGAAAGTGAGCCCCCTTCATTATCCAATATTTATGTCATGACCCCCTCCCCGTCACGTCATATCTCCTCTTTTATGACTAGTAATACTGTAGGCTCAGTATTACTAGTAATACTGTAGGCTCAGTATTACTAGTAGTACTGTAGGCTCAGTATTACTAGCCTACAGTATTCCCAAAGAACACTGTAGGCTCTGCAAAACATTTTTGAAAACGCGTGCTTTAGCCTCCTTGTAAGACCTCTCCTTCTTTAATAAGACCGCTTTTGCATTCATTTATTATACATGCGCAAAATGTATAGATTACACAGTAACTCAGTAGTTTTGTAATACTAGTAATTTTTCTTGATTATTGTATATGTATATAAATTTTTATGGATAGTACTTTTGTGGGGTGTTCACGGATGAAGAGCCACATCTTTTTTATTTGGATATTCTGTGAATAAATCATGAAATAAATTTAAAAAGAAAAGTAATTATCGAAATTCAAGTCACATACAACCATGAGATGTTTATTTTGCATAACACCCACCACGGGCAATGGACCACTTTTAATATTTACCTCAAACTTCCGACCCCCTTTAACTTCTTTAGAAACAGTTTAACCCCACCCCCCTCGCTGATCTGAAATAGCCTTGACCCCCCTTCTTTTTCCCTCCTCTCCCCCCCGCCTCGCTTCTCTACATAAATAATAACCGGTCCCTTACATAAGTTGAGGAGCTAATAAAAATGAGCTCATACATTCACGCGTATTGGAGCACTCCGAACGCGTCCCTAAACACATAAATGGGTTCCCTGTCCTCTTTTACGCATCATTATCCAAAAGCGATACATTTTCTAGGCTTACAAAATACCTGTTGATTTCCTTACGAAAACAGAACCATTACAAAACACCCTAATCATCCTTTATATTGCCTCGTATACTGTGACACCTCTCGCGTTTCTCTGTTTCGCGCGTTATGACGCTGCCATGTTAAGCGGTAAGAAAGAAAAAATAAAGTAGAGAACGCTAATTTAATCAGAAGAGGCAACTAGTTTTCAAGCAATGAGTATTTCAGATTTGAAACGAAACAAGATAAATTCATATGAATATAAAAAATGAAATTAATGACTTTGAACGGTTACGGTCACGCATCGATAGTCTGAGGTCACTGATCGCTAAATCCCGTCCATAGTAAATATCAGCTTTATAAGAAATCTTTGTACCAAATAAAATTTTCTGTCACTACGTCTCAGAAACACAATGCACTGCTGTACACTTAGTGTATAAATGGATCGTCGAATCAAAAGATTCGCTTGAAAATAAAAACACAAATTAACACCTTACCTTAAAATCCGCTCGGCGTCGCTTGAATAAAGAAAGTTCAGACAGAATCGTTGAACACTTTCTGGGGAAGTCCCTGCTCGCAAAAACATGACGTAAACTGAGTTATTTTCGGTAGATACCACAACTGTGTCCCAGTCATATTGAAAGACGACTCGTTCGCCACTGAAACGGCCGAAGATCGGCGATGCAATCACTTTTAGTTCGTGATATTTCACGTTAAACTGACTGAATTGATTTTTGTAAGTCAGTGATACGACATCGGCAGGGTCTTCAATGTATTTATATTTTGGCTGGAGATTCTTCGAAAGGAATCCGTTCGCAGTCGTCCCTGTAATTCTTGTTATTTCGCTGTCCGGCATTTGTGCTTTTATCTGTAAGGCTAACAGATGTTCGTCGCTCGGTGCCCGCCAAGGTGAGCTTTTGTTTCTTCCCTCGCTCTATGAATTATTCAGAAATCTACGTAATCCATGGTAACAATCAAGGCGTGAAATAATCTTGTTTTGACTAAGGTTGGAAATTACAATATACCCACGGCTCTTAAAATTTTTTGGATGAAATATTTGCCCAAGGATAGAAACAGAAATCGCAGCTTCCACTTCTTCAAGAAAACAATCACTCTTTCAGTTGCCTCCGGCTAAAGAAGCATATCGCGATTCACGTGACTCCCGAGTCAAAGATCGCAAGCAAGTGTCCCACGAACTCGCGCGCTTGATTCCCACTTGGCAGATGGAACACAGATATTCATGACTGATAAATTCAAGGGAAAAAATAAAATATCACGAGGGAGCTTTACCAATCAATTAACCACAAAATTCGACATAGTTTGGAAATGTAAATTAGCCACCGTAGAGACTATCTAGAGCTAACATTCGCCCTGATGAAGGGCTGACGCTCACAACGTTTGCTTTGAAAACTCTTTACGATGGCTAATTCGCATAATCAACCCAGTTGATTAAACCAAATTATCCTGTAATACCTCTACTGACGCAGTACCACAGTTTCTTTAGAAACTCATCCCATTAAATCAAACAAATTGAGTTCAAAACTGTACAAGTTTATTTGATTTGAACATGTTCTAAGTACACGAAAACATGTTGGGAAAGATTGGAGATTTATCATTTATAACTCATGCTGCTTTTCAATGTACTTTGATTAATAAAGGTACACAATCGTTTGTTTTTTAAAAATGTGATGAAATGCCCGAAGGCGAGCCTCAGATCTATATTCAGAGAGCGCGCTCAAACACCGTGGCAAGAATTTTCAATTCTTAAAAGAAAATCTCTGTGACCCGCGTTAACACTGACTCAATTGAAACATCTAGAGAGAGCAATGTACAAAAGTTATCTTTGATACAAAATCGGTCAAAAAGTGGTAAATCGAAATAAATCTGAAGAAAGTACATTCATAATGTTAAGTGCGCATGCCATCAATAAATACAAATAGAACCCAATTGTTCTTCTGAAGTTTCCTTGGGGAAGGTTCCGTCAGTCTCCTAACCCTTTACACCCTGCCATCAGTATGCATATGCTCCATACTGTTCTCTAAAAATTTCCTGAGGTACTGACAAGGAGAATTTGTTTTACAATCAAAAGCTTCTTAAGTGATCATTTCCTTCATTCTCATAACCTTAGTGATGATATTCGAGGGAGAAATTAGATGCTGGTCACTGTTTGGTGTGAAAGGGTTAAACAAGACAGAAACATGCCCCAACGAAACTTTCGTACGGAATAATGGAGAGAAAATCTGATATTTGTTTACAACTAGTCACCCTAGGTAACTATTAAGTTTAAAATTCATTGAACTCAATTTATATCTCAAAAGTCGCAATTTCACATAACTTATTTCTTTAGGCTCATGGCGGATTTAGACTCCGAGGAATTTTCTCAAATGCTCTTCATGCAATGTTTTATCCCATGTGTAAATCTTATATGCCTCCAGACCTCATTTTGAAGTTAAAATTTCCGCGCACCTTACAATTCTTGAAAGTCATTACTCTAGCCATGAAAAATAACCGATAATAAAAAATGCGCCGAAAACTGAAAAAGGTATCTCGCGAAAATGATGCTGTATTCTGTGATACATGACATTCAATTTAAATACAATTTTTTTTCCTTGACTATTGCCTCGTCGGTTACAACGAGCTGTGGTTATTTCCCCCCATGAATGAGGCCAACCGGAAGAGAAGGCGGGCCTCTTTGGAGTGCTGTCGCCTCAAGGCTGTATTAGTTGGGTAAACGCATACTGAAAATTAACTTGGCACTAACTTGTGAGTTCAGCCATTTTTTCATTAGCAACATATTAAACTGCGTCGCAGTTCATTGCTGACAAACGTTACTATTGATCATAACAAGGGGTCTACAGGGAATAAGATCAGACAAAGCTGCCATTTAGAGCGCTTTTCAACTGAGTCTAGAGATAAAAAAAAGGCAAAACCATCATATGCCATTACAGCCAGCGCGGGAAAACGATTTGGTTTAAGATTTGAAATGAGCAGAGCGACGTAAGTCACATGGAAATAGCCGATGCAATTTTGCACTATTTGCAACATCAGTTGAAATTTGTTCCACTGTTTCAGTTGAAGCACATACTACCTTTTAAGATGTATGCTACTTCACCACATCGTATTAAGTTTTACAAACAATTATGTAGGTAGTACGGTAACGGAAGCCTCCCCTGTTCCTTCCTCTAACCGGATGTAAGTCGGCGTGGTCGCTGACGCGCTCCCGGCACTTAGGCTGCTGCGCCCACTGATATCACTACTCAGCGGTGTGCCGGGTAAGGATACGTCGACGTGAACTTGGAGGTCCTGTGCGTCTTCAAACTGTTCTGCTTCCTTTGTCATTACAGGGCTTACGACTGAAGAGGAACATAAACAGGTTCGCTCAGTCATACGCTCTTAATTAAATGTATTAAGTCCGGTTCGTGTAAACTGATATATCAGACCAATCAGTTTACACGAATCGGACTTAGTACACTTCACGGACAAAAAGTCTTCACTTGATTCTAATTAGGACTCCCGGTCAGGTTTTCGAGACCTCAGTCACCACTATTAAAAGTCCTTGTCAGGACTACCCCGTCTGGACTATCAGACTACACGATCACATTACCACTGGGTGGGTTCAAACATTTTACTGTACTGTAATCACCTTGTTCCTCCTCGTGCACCGAAGTAGCTTCTTCAATTTCTGCACCATTAATCGGCGCGACCTCGTCTTTTGACTCTAATGTAGCCTCCTGTCGTTGAATTCGCTCAACTCTTACAGGTTCCCCTACTTGTTCAATTCTGCCTCTGCTCGCAGGGGCTGTGCTGGGACGCGACATCCCTGAACATGCTGAAAGAGATCTCTCAACATACCGCTGACCGCGAGCACTCTCGACTCTCCTTCTGCCCGAGGATCGAATGCTTGACGCTGATCTTCGACGCATACGTGCAACAGCTTCTGTAATGATGAAATACACAGAATAATAGTGATGGTTGAAGTACGTGGAAGAAAGTTGAAACCGCTGTTTGAACAGGATCGCTTGGGTTTCCTGTCGATCCCTCTATTTGCCCATGACCATTAATTCAAGCCATATCTTCTTACAATGTGAGTTGGTTTGAACTCAAAGAAACCGGCCAATTAGAATAAACGTGGACAAATCAGCGAACCAATGAGGATTCAAGGAAAGCGGCACAGCGACCGTGGCTCATGGATAAGTGGGATATATATTTTTTTCTTTCAACAAATCTCAGCAATAAAACAAAATTAAGGCAATTTCAAGTTACATGTTTTAAAAGCAGTTCTGTAATCCAGAGACTTGTGATTTTGTTTTACTCCGCGCTGAGATTAACTTCATAAATTCGCGCCGTGAACCCATACTCCCATAGTCCCATAGTCCCTCGGGCGACGCCTACATATGAAATTACATAATTTTTCATCTCTTGCAATTTTTAATTTAAATAATTTTAAAATATCAAACCAGTACCTTCTGGTATATTGTCTGGTTTAATTGTTCCATTTAGTGCTTCTACAAGAGGAATCTCTTCATATCCAGGCCAGGCGCTCTCTCCATGAGTTTCCTGATTTGAGAGATGCAAAACATGGAACTACAATCAATATATCACTTCCTGTAACAAAATAACCCTTAAATTCCCTTGAGTGACCAAGACAGAATTTCTCCTTACTATATCTGTATAATATCATGCAGACAAGTGATGAGAATAAAGAAAAATATCAATTATGGAATTACTAATTGATCCGATACCAAATTCTCCACACTAACATAGTGAGAATCACTTGGCAGACAGTAAGGAGAAATACTAATGAGATCTTGAGAGTTAAAGGGTTTACACTTAAATTACTAAGCACGTCATGAGCTTGACTGACTCTATCCCATGGGTTTGCCACTTCTCATATTTTATGGGGAGGGGGGTTGGTTTGGAGGATTTTGGGGGGGATCACCTGGTTTTCAGGGGAAATGGAGGAGAGAGGGGAAGAGTCTACAGCAACAGAGTATAAAGGGAGGACTATTGAAAATTGAATAAATAATGCCTGGTTACTAATATTCTTAAATTTTCTAAGGATTTGAGTCATGAACCGAGGACTGAGCAACATGATAGGTGATTTCTACATACATAATGGGGGGTAAATGTGTAGAAAATGAATTGATGTTTCCTTTGCCTGCACCATTTCCCCTTTGAATGAAGGCAGCACAAAATGTCCCAAGGGAATGGCTGATGGTGGGGAGGGAAGATCTTCATGGGCATGTGACCCTTTTTCCTCCACCCACCCATTCCTTCTCCCACAACAGCTTGGTTAAGGGGAAACATTATTAGAAAATCCCATTGACATCTATCTAGCTTATCAATCAACAAAACTGTCCCTGAAGTTTGGCATTTTCAGTGTATCATACCTGAGAATTTGGGCCATTTTGCTTCTTGATATAGGCGCAGATCTGTAGCAAGGCATGAAATGCTGTGGGTAAAAGAGTAACATATGATTACAACACAAGGCTACTGGAAAATAATCAAGAATTCAGCAATCCCTTAGGAATTGTATTGAAACAGACCTTGTCTGACAGTGCAAAGAATTTAGATTTTGAGTTTGGGAGTATTGGGTTAATACTTATAATATCCAAGATTTCAACCTGATATCACTTTCCTTTCTAAAAAGCAACTACATGAAATCATAAAGCTTTTTAATTCTTATCATGCAGTTAATACATGTTTGCTACCTTAGTAGCACTATGTGGTTGTTCTACTGTATTATCTACAAACACTGAAGAGCCACCTACGTGATCTGCAAATCGGGCAGTTACTTGCTTGAAATCTTAGTGATTCAGCTGAAAGTATTGCAAAAAAAAAAGGTTAAAATGACTGAAGCAGCAGTTTACTTTTCTGCAAATAAATTGCAAAATTGAACAGTAGTATCCAAGGTACTCAAAGCTCTTAACCCTTTACACCTTGATATCAATGTGCATTTTCTCCATAATGTTCTCCATAGATTTCTTGAAGTGCTGACAAAGATAATTTCTCAAACAATCAAGAACTTCTTTTGCATGTGATCATTTCCTTTATCCTTATGACCTTAATGTTAAGTTCACTCAACTGATAATCGTGGCATGGTAAATCTCCTGAATACGAAATCAAGAAATGCAACAAGAGTCAACCTACCACAGTCTCTACAAAGACACAGATGTCTGCAGGGTAGGATCAAGGTATCTCGCATGTCACTCATGCAAATGACACACTCCAAACCAGTTTCTTCTAACTCGTTATCTTCATCCTGTCAAAAATGTTTGAACATTAAAAACAAAAAGCATCAGGAAGGGAGGGGAGACTTTAACCTTTTCACTCCTGTGATCTTATTAGTAAAATTTTCTCCTTGCTGTCTGCCATACAATTCTGACTGGGCTCTGTGCACAATTTTTTCTTAAAGTCGCCTTTTGCCGACCTTCAATTGTAAGACAGTCCCCGTAAAAATATTTTGTTAAGAAACAGATCATGGTAATATCAAAGTGCAGTATGAATGAAAAAGTCACACAAAAGTCACAGGATCAAGACTAAAAAATGTGAATGTCATTTATTTAAAAACCCATAGAGTGAACACAAACAGACAATTATTAGACACTAACCTTTGCACTTTTTAAATTAATTTTGTTTTCAATTCCATATATTTCTTGGAGAAGGTAACAGAGACCATCAACCTTTTAAAAGTAGAAGACAAATAATGAACATTTCCCCCTCAAATTTAAGAATTTTTTAATCATTTCAAAATACAATGTAGATTGAAAAAAGAAATCCACAAGGTTCATGAACATGGCTTGTAAAGTGCCTGTAAACATAGATTTGTTCAAGATAAAAGCTCTCATACCATCTGCTTCTGTTTAATAGGCTTTATGATGTATGATCCATCAGACATTTTTTCAAATGTTGCTAGTGTGATGTTAGAATGACCCAGATATTCTGTGAACAAAAGATATATGAAATTATTGATCCAACACTACTCAGGGAAGAGAGAAAGAAGTCATGAGAAGTATCATAACAAGTAAATAATAATAATAGTAATTATCATCCTGGAAATAAATTTATCATTGGATGATAGTAATAAAAATTCCAATCCCCTGATAGGAAACAACACATTGACTGTACACAAGAAAAAAAGCGAACACTAAAGGGTCAGCCATTCATGATCAAAAGAACAAATCAAAGCTGAAACAGCAATAGTAATAAATTAGATTTAGTAATAAACTAGATGTATATCTCCATGTTCTAAGGTGCTCATAATCAATACCATTTTCGAATCCAGAAAATTCCTTATGAATGCGAAATTTGCCATGAGAAAGGCATTTGAAAAACAATTGAAAAGCATGTGAAAAATGTTTCCCCTTTCCCAAAGTGTTTGCCCATAATTTCTCCACTAGTTCTCAAGGCAGACAGGAACACTTGTTGTGACACTTGCACTTAGAGCTGAAACTGGAAATTGTCAGTCGAGACAAATGATGCCAAATTTTAAACTCAGGCCTTGTCTGAAGTGCCTCAGTAAAGTGAACTAAACTTCTAGTGTTAGACCACAATCTAAGAAGAACCCTCTAAAATTTGTCTAGCTCTCAACATGTGGCTTTGTAGTTCAGTTGGTACTTAGCACCCAACCAGTATCAGGGTGGAACAGGTTCAAATCCTAACAGAGCCTGAATTTTCTTTGGGCTTCTCTTCTGCAATTGCTAAAAATTTCAGTTCCTCTGCTAGGATTAAGCCTTTAATTGACAGACTTTTATCTGATCATTAAAACATTTGAATATATTTAATACAATCTTGATCATACCTTCCTCATCTGCATCAATTTGAATCACGACTGGGATGCGTGGATGATTAAGAGGGGAATAGTTCAACTAGGGTAAAAGAAAAGTAAAAAATTTATATTAATAATCAAATATAAGAGAACAAAAAATACTGATAAGATTAAATTAAAAAAAACCCTATAAGTTATGTTTTAACATCAAACATTCAACTACTAGAATTTCACATTAAATTTTACTTAAAAAAAAAAAACCACTAATTGAAGGAATACATAGCATAGAGCCTTAGGTGACTTCTGATGTAACATCAAATTCTCCCTGGAGACAAAAGGGAATACAGGACAATCTGAAAAGAGAAACTCAAAGTCTACTGCAAATACTATCGTAATTTCTGGTCGTTTACCTGCACGGCCGATTACCTGCACAGGCCGATTATTGCATAGAGTGAAAAAAAAAGTCAACAGGTTACCCGCACTGGTGGATAACCCGCACGTTATGTTATTCAACTTTTTGGTGGCGAAAATGTGACATTAAGGTGATACATTTCTGTCTTTTAAAAGTTGTCTGATCCAACTTTTGAAAACTTGAAAGCGTCTTTGTTGAGTTTAAAGGTCAAAGAAATTCAGATGCGTGCACAATTCTGTGTCAATATTAGCAAGTACTTTGTTGATAAGATTATATAGTAAAACACTAGCTGCCCATGCCCAAATCTCAACGTTTCATACTTTACAGAATGCAAATTTGTGGCCACATTTTGTGCGAGCGATCGTTCAGCGCCATGTTGATTTGTTGAAAAAAAGCTGGGCGAGTATTAAAACTTGAATTATAAAGTACTGTCAGCGATTTCTGAAAAAAAAACCATATCTCCAGTTCTATTAGGCCTAACAAGTCCCTTAAAACGGGAAAATTCTGTTTAGCTCAAGCTAGTGTTAAATGGAAATTTGTTACTGATGTGCCAGATATCTTTGGATTATTTTTGTCACCATCAAGGTTTTGTTTTCATACGTGCCGATATCAATTTGTTTGTCGCGCAACTAATTATGCGTGAAATAAACTCTAGTCGGCATCATGTTTTCGTGCCACTTTGCGGCACTCTTAATACAAAAATTCACTTGAAAGGTGGAAACGCATGTTGGTGATAATTTTTTTCAATTCAACTACCACTAAATTTTAAAATTGTCACATAACCCGCACCTCCCTATTATCCGCAGTGGCACGTGTTTAATGCAAAATCAACAGATTACCTGCGGGTAAACGACCTGAAATTACGGTAAGGGCTTTTTTCCAGAAGTCTATACCTTTTACCCGCTAGGCTAACAGAAAGATGTACATATAGCTCATAAAATGTGATAAGAAATGACAATGGGATGATATGGAGGAAAAAATACGCTTATGTGAGTTATGAGTGCATTTACAAACATTTTAAGTCATGTTTAGTGTAGCACCACACTCACACCTTGCCAGTACCTGTGCCACTGGGGAAGCCATGCAGTTAATTTTTTAAAGTTTACACCTATAATATAATAGTACACATGAAGTGTTCCCATCTACCTAAGTTTTCTATGAGTAGTGTTTGGAGAGAAATGATAGAGAACTTCTTCACTTGGACCTTAACACCCCAACACACCGGTGTGCATATTCTCAATACTGTTTTCCATATATCTCTGAAGGTGCTAACAAGGAGAATTTGTTTGAAAATCAGAAGCCTCTTAAACTGGTGCAATTTCCTTTATTCTAGCGACCTTAATGTGTGATGAAGGGATGACATCGAGGGGAGAAATTACATGCCAGTTTACTCTTAGGGATCAAAGGGTTTCTTAAAGAGTATATGTTACCACTGCTTCATAAGTCAATGCACAGTAAATTCTAGGGTAGTGACCCTGAAATTAGAATAAACTCAGAATCACATGCACCAGCCTACAAATATCTGGCAAATAGCATACAGTGTTCATGGTATAGAAAATAATTTTGTCAGTCTTATCTCATCAATTATATTATCAATCTATTGAAAAATTAAACCACTGTTTCATGAGTCAATGCACAGTAAATTCTAGGGTGGTGACCCTGATATCAGAATAAACTCAATTTCAAAAGCACCACCCTACAAATACCTGGCAAATAGGATACAGTGATTTTGGTGTAGAAAAATAATTTTGTCTGTGTTATCAGTCCATTGATAATTTACAACTTGGCCAATGATAATAACAACTCACCTCCTCCTCAGAAAATAAACTAGGTCTGATCTTGTGTTTAGGAGAACTGTTATACACCTGACCTGATCCCTTTGGGAAGTGTGTCTTTGGTGAAGATGTGAGTGGCTCTTGTGATGTGTAGCTGAAATGAAAGAAACCACATAATATTGAAACAAGTCTACTACCCAGGTAGGGTTCTTGTTCAGAGTTGGTAACCAGTTTTATCATGTAAACTATGATGTTATACAAGGATTTCCAGCCCTAAGAAAAGCCATAACAACACATGAAAAAATACAATATTTTTTCAAATGTGATATCACCAATCAGCTGTTGACAAGTCACTTGCCTTTCAGGCTACTTGTTTAGATTGACGAATGAATGGTGAAGCCTTCACCACTATGGCTGCTAAAACACTGAAAAATTTGTATTGCTCACAGACAGTGATTTTCAAACTTTCCTAGAAGGGGAAACTTTGGTAATGGCATTCTTGCAGCTGAGAATGAAAATCAACAACTAGAAGATTTAACACAAACCAATTTTGGCCGTGCACCTGAAAGATTTCTTCTGTTGGCAAGGACCAAGTCAATAACTGAGAATTTTGTATATTGAAAACTACACCCATTGTTTTCATAGTGTTTCAATGCAGTTTTTCATCTTGAGCCCTAGTGCCACTGTAATTTATGATTCTTATTTGGGGATTGTCAATACTTTTATTTTCACTCATAAAGTTGACTTTTCTTGTTAGTAAAGGGCTATTGTATTTATATGATAAACAAAATAAAACATGGTTGCTTGTGTATAGGAAATTTCTCTTGTTCAATTCAACATCTCACTTGTTTGCTGCACTCACTCGTAAGCTATTGAGTTACACACTCAAAGAGAAATTCCATATCCACGCACGTCCATGTGTCATTCTCTAAATATTTAACTTGCTGTTCAAGTACCTTATTGTAATTTATTTTTGCAATAACTTAATTTTAGAAAATGGAATGGGCATGTTACGCAGAACCTTAATTTTGCGATTTTGACAAAAAATATATGTTAAAAGGAACTAGATTTTGCAAAAATTAGGGCCACCAATGCAAATGTTAGCTGTTGTTTAACAAAATTGTGTTCTAAGCCATCTTCAATTTAGCTGAACCTATTATCTGAATATTTCTTTTTGTGAACAGTGTCAAGAGGGCTGAAAGCTACTCAATTAAAAAGAAAAAGGCATTTATTATAGTGGAGCTTGCATAGCCCCATAATTATACAAAATAGTAGTAACCCATCAGGCTGAAAAAATTTGGATGTACAACTGTATGACTGTACAACCATACAAGGTGCTACTTTTAACATGCATGGTCAAGTGTACCGCGGGCACACCAATGCCACGGCTTTGTCAAGTAGTCCAGTGGTCAGTGCACTAGGCTCCAAGTTGGACAACCTGGGTTCTAGTCCTGGCCAGGGTAAGGTGTTGTGCCCTTGAGACGTGCGGGAAAAAAAAATGCAAGCTCCGTTTTTAGGCTTGGCTAAATCTATATATCATTAAATCAACCCTCTTATAGAGAATCCCTACACCCTCAGCTTGTGTAAAACCACAGTTTGGGTTAGACCTCCTGTAAATAACTGGCCCTTATGTTAAATTTTTCATAACAATAGATCCTAAATTCTCTGAGCTAAGATCATATGACATACATGGAAGACCATTGATTGACAGCAGAGAGTATTTCTTGCCATCCAACTTTTGAACTTACATTGCTAAGCCTGTGGACAAGTCTTCTGTTGCCATGTAATGTACTGCTACTGCACACTTCACATCCGCATCAAAAACAAACTCAATTCCATAGCTTTCTTGATCTAAGCTTCTATCAAAACAAATATTATTAACATAAGATCACACAAAAATGCACTGAAAACCTGATTTTAAATTTCCAAGCGGGAACACCAGTAGGTACATGAAATGCAAAATAAAAAATTATGTAAGAGAGCAACATACTTACTTCACAAGCCTTAATGAGTCTTTCCTTAAATTCACAAGACTTCTTAGTGTTTTTGTTGGTTCATTGTCTATTGGCTGCCTGTATGGAAACTTGGGAATGAAAATACAGAAAAAGGAAAAAAATTATTGCTTGAATAAAATCAAAAAGATTATTTATCAGAATTTTCAAATGGACACAGGATGATAATGGCTGACATTTTCACAACTTGGGCTGCAGTCTGTATGTCAGTCAGACCCTAAAAGTGACTTCAGCTCAGGGTCTCAGAAGTTGTAGCCTTTTCTCTCCCATGATGTTGTGAGAAATTTTCCTTTCTGTCTGTTGTACAATTCTTCTGTAAAATGTAGTTTGGAAAATTTGGTATTGGATCGACTCATAATCCTCAAAGTAACATTTTACTTTGTTCTCATCACTTGTCTGCTTGATTTTATATTGATATTGTAAAGATAATTTTTTTCTTGATCACTCTAGGGAGTGATAGGGTTAATACTTCTTTGATGCTACCATACCCACAACATTTATTTAAACTTTATGCTAAAAATTAATTCAAAAAACAACTCACAGGGTTATCAAAAAGATTTTGAGTAACTGGACTGTGATAAAATAGGCAGCATGATCACATGCTCCTAAAATAAGAATTGAGCTCCAAACATTTGCAACAGCTGGTGTGTTTTTCAGAGAAGATATTGAAATATACCATTTGCTAGCTTAATTATGACAACCACTTAAATGTTCATTTATCCATGTAATTATGATGAAAAACAACATCTTCTATGACAACTAACGCTGTAAATGATTTTTAGAAGGGAAAAATTAAATGTGTGGCAGTCAGGTCTGCCGGGAGATGCTTAGAAAAAAAACTATTATACTCTGTTGCATTTGTGAAGTTAATGCTTTCATTCCTGAAATTTAAAGTCAATTTGCATCATCATACGCTATCTTATTTTACTCCAGCTTAAAGGACAAAACTTTCCTGTCAAAATTTTATAAACGAAAAATAACTTTCCTTAGTAATAACACCATGTGTTCTCTCCTTTAGAATGTTTTACTGAGACATTGTAAAGCATAAATGTACATTATATTTACTTTCCTCTGACAAAAAAACGTCAACAAGATTAGAAATTTGATCCTTTTCAAAGAGAATCACTGCTTTTCAGGAGTAGGGAGTCTATCTAATAGTTTAAAAAACTCGTTAACATACTAGAGTGTCTATCTAATACTTTAAAAAACTCGTTAACATACAAGAGTGAGTTCAAAGTCACACAACTGTGAATTGCGGTCGTTGTCACCCTAAGTAAGATAAGTGTTCAAAGTCTGTTCTCGCGGAAAAGTCGCTCTGCTCTACTTTCTAAATTTAGCTTATAAACTGAATCAGCCACGATAGTGATATTAAGTGTGAAATACACAGAGCATCAAAAAGCTGTGTCTCGTATGACTGTTATTAATAATTTTATATCAGCTTATGTTAACTTAGAAACAGCTGTTAAATACCATTTAAAAAGTTTTCCTTTAGAAGCGGGTACCTATGAACATCGCTTACCGTCACGGGCTTGGGATTCAGTAGATTCAAATCACTGTTCTCTCCAAAGAGGTACGCCTCTGGCTGTGGGGTATCAAACTTCGATCCTCCCATGAGAAAATAATCGGCAAAGAAGTTCTTTCCTACAGACCAAATCCTTAGGTTAGAAACCATTTGAAGGGAATGCTCATGCATAACAAACATAGGCTTAAGCGTTCTTATGTTGTCAAACCCAAAAAACAGCGAAAGATATTTACCTGAACTCGGAGGATAACGGTAAGGATGCGAGGAAACGTCGATATCTTCGACTCCCTCATTCTGTCTGCTAAACCGATTACCCATTTTAGATGCGGTTTTACACAAAGTGGGCTGAGAAAGTCGCTGTAACTACACTACATGTTGGACCATTTCTTCTATTTCGTGCCAATATACGCATAATCACTGAGGATGTAAGGTTTACAAATAAGGAAATGGTAAATGACGTCAACCAAGATCGCGGGCTCCAGATTAAAGTCGCCAAGGAAACAAAATTCAATCTTGTTTTTGAAGGAAGAAATATGGCGGACAGGTTAGGTGAAAACGGGCCCACTGATTCAGAAGGAAAAGGAGATGAACGAAGGCCGGTATCCGGAAGATCAAAAGGCTCAGCTGATTCCAAAAAGTCTATTCAAGATGCAGTCAGTAAATTGACCGTTAACGCACTAAAAGAGTTTCGTTTGAGCGATCCAAGTGATGTAGACACCGTTGTTACCGGTGCAGAGAGTGAAGGTCTTGTCCCTACCGCAACTTTGACACAGGATATTCCAACGTTTGACCCTCGCGGAGCGCTTGGAGCGCAGACATTGCTTTCTGAGGATATCACTGGCAGTGGTGAGGAAGCCAGAGATGACGAGATTGAGGGTGATATCGGTGAAGATGGTGATGAAGGTCTTAGTGATGAAGAAGAATCAGGTTCAGATGGGGAGAGTGATATGGTGGTTCTTGATCCTGACCATGTAAGTCAATATTGTCTTTTGAAGGCTAAATGTGATACACATTCATTGTAAATCTTCCAATATAACTGTGATTGGTGTTGTGTTGTTTTTCAGCCTCTTATGGTCAGATTCCAAGCTGCATACAAATCACATTTAATCAGACAGCAGGAAAAAGTTAATTTGGAGCTAAGAGAATTGGTAAGTACTTCAATGAATATCTGGAATGTAAACTGATTATTGCTTTGTTTTATCATGGTGCTGTTTTATTTGATCTGGATAAAAAACAACAATGAAAAATAGCTCAGAGGACAAGAATGCTGATCTATTGATTATAATAGTTTCTTTATTGGTAACAAAGATTATTATTACTAATTTAATGACTCACACTGGGCATTTCCTCGCATAAGTGCCCAGGTGCTAATTTAAAATTTTGGCTAAAAGGAAGAGTACTTTAATTTGAAGGGTACTTATGAGAAGAGGGGTACCAAATTAAGGAGGGCATTTGTTGAAAAAAAACTGTTATCCAGTGCTAATACCACTGTATTTAAAGCTTAAAAAGTTATAAACAAAGTGGCAAGGTTTTCCTTGATTCCCTATTATTTAGGAAAGTGAGTGAGGAGGGGGCTGCCCTTATTTGAGAGGGGTTCTTGTTTGATAATATTGCCTAAGAGGTTCATTCGGGTGGGGGGGCAGTTATTCAAAGAGAAATGGTAAGTATTTTTAGGTATCAATTAAGTTTTGTTTACCAGTACAAGAACTGTTGTAAAAAAGTTAATTAATTTTGTCCTGAAGAAAATGTGCTCATGTTAATGAAAATGTGTTTAGACTGAAGATCTCAAAACAAAGAAGCGAGAGAGAGAAGAACTTGGTGTACAGTTATATGGCGTACAACAGGAACTTGCCAGGCAGCAAATGCTCTTGGAGAAGGAACATGACAATTTCAGCTCAGAAAATCATCTCAGGCAGCAAAGTGAAAAGCTTCTTGAGGAAACTAAAGAGCTTCATGATAAGACGGTGAAAGATGCCGTCCATCAGCGCAAACAAGGTTTGGAAAGATGGGTTTTACAGTCAATTACTTCATGTTTCTCCCCTCTTGTTGATGTACACTTTATTGTAAAATAGTGAGGAGAATTTGATGTTAGATGAAGATATCAACTGCTACTAGATACACAAAAGTTTGAGTATTCTCATAGCTTGTTTGCTGGATAATGTACGGATATTGTAGGGAGATGTTATATATAACTTCTGGGGGTTTTAAATTCTCAACAATCTCAATTCTAACATTAGTATGCATGTTCTGCATACTTTTCCCTATACATTTGCAATACTTCTGACCAGTTGAATTTGTATGACAATCAAGAGTTTCGTAAGAAGGCAATATTTTTTCAAGTTCATTCTTGTGCTCTTGTTGTTTGATTCAGTGGTGACTCTGCAAGAAGTTAGATGCTAGTCAATTTGTGAGGTAAACATACTGTATGAAAACAAAACCATATTTGATTCCTGTTTGTAGCTAAGGAGCTTAGAACAGAAGTTGAAAATCTGGCAGCTCGCTTGCATTACATGGAAGAGGCTAAGGAAGATGTAAGGGCTGACATTGCTGTCATGAGAAGAGCAGCTGAGAAAGCAGACACTGAAGTTACCAAAGCAGAATTAGAGAAGAAAAAACAGGTGTGGTATTCCCTGATAAATAGGTAGAGACAATACCAGTAAGCCATCACTGTTCTACAGAGAATGCTCCCTCTCTGTGTTACCATGAATACTCCATTCCAGTCTAGCCCCACCAGTCATTCCTACTGATGCATACTGGAACCTTATATATTTGCTTTGACCCCTACTGATGAGTGGGTTATTCAGCACTTCACAAATACAAAATACAGCATACAATTGTATCTATATTTACACATGTATTCACAATTACCGTATTTCTTCACCTATAAGCCGATCTCGGCTATAAGCCGAGACCCTAAAAGTTAAAGACCTTCCAACAGACTCATGTTGTCCAAAAAAAAGCAAAACCATCGGCTGTAAGCCAAGAGTGAAATTCTTGATTGTAACCGGTCATTTGAGTGAGTGAACCTCATGGAAAACATTGGGAAATGGAAAAAAGGGAAACAGTGAAAATGTAAATACTACCATGCAACTGCAGAAACACAACAATACTCATTGACTGTAACCTGACAATTGCTTCAATTGAGTATCTCTTTTGTCGCTGTTATTTTTCTCGTTACGCCAAAAGCACACTGCTCCTCGTATACAACGGCTAAAAGAATACAAGATAAAAGTTATTGCGGAAGCTGAAGCAAAACAACTTGGAAATCACTCAAGATTTATGGACTTTGTGAGTCCATGGTGCAATGCTGGAAAAGAGACCAGGCAACTATTCTTTCTGGCAAGCTTAAGATGTCTGCAAAACGTGCAGATATTGGCTGTTTCACTCCTAAGTATTCTGAACTAGACGAGAAAGTGATGGAGTGGTTTTCTCAGCAGAGAGACCAGATATTTCATCCATAATGTGAAATGTGAAGAGTTGAGTGAGATCGTCTTTCAATGTGTAGGAAGCAAAGAATCTGATTGGTGGCCAAAAATACGTTTTGTCATAACAATTTTAAAGCACACTGCAGTCATGGAATTTAAGGTCATTTCACATTAACATTGCAATTGTACTTGTTTTTTAATCCCAAAGCCTTGGCTATAAGCCGAACCCTGTTTCTCGGGAAAAATCTCCCAAACTTTTGTGTCAAATACTGTAAAAATCACTCGGCTAACAGGTGAAGAAAAACATTATTAAATAAATGATATTTTAAATGGCTGATTATACGCAAATAGGTAAATGATCTTTGCTGGAATTGCTTTTACCTGGAAAGATTGTTCTCCACCTGTATATCATTCATGGGTCAAAATGTTATTTTTTTCATTGTGAATAGATTCCTTAATGAGAAATTAGAACCTACTTTAATTTGCCTTACTCCCAACATGTGGCTTTGTAGCTCAGTTTGCAGAAGGGCCAGCTGGTGTCAGGGAGGCACAGGTTCAAATCCTGCTAAAGCCTCAAATTTTTTCAGGCTTCTTTTCATGTAACTGCTTTAATTGCAGCTTACCTGTAAAGATCATTTCTCTACTTCTAAACATGTAGGTAGTGACTGACATTGATTAACAGGCCAGAAAACTTATAGATGTTGCTGTGAGGCCTTGATACACACTAATTATTCAGTTATTTGTCTAACAGCTGCACTAAATTTTTCCTTTTGGGCATTTACATAGGACCTCCTCGTGGACAGATTAACACAAACAGTAGATCGGCTGAGGGAGGAAATTGACATGTTTGAGACCCAGTGTGCAGCTCAAATGGAGGAAACTAAAGCAGCTCAAAAAGCTCTCTCAGAGGCTATTACTGAAATAGAGGTTAGTAAGAATTAAAATTTATTTTGAAGACACACGCTTTAGTGTACAAAATGTAAACTATATGGAAAATTCCCCTATTGGTGGCATCTTTCACATCAGTCTCGTCATTGCCATCAATATTCTCAACAGATTACATTATTGCCTTAAATACCTGCACTCTTTTCTAGCCATTGCTTGAGCTTATCACACAACAAAGCATGTGAAAGCATGTGAGCAAAACAAGTCCAAGTGATGACTATGGAAAATATCAGTGATCACAATCTGTGTCATGGTACTGTGCGTCAAACACTTCTTCCTTTGCAATTGTTTCGCATTCAAGAATAAAATTGTTTCCTAGAAACTCACATCAAGATCCTTGAAAAGTTGTCTGAGTGTCTCAATCCTTGAGCCTTTATTCTTAAAAGTTTCAAAGATTGATAATTGAGTTTTGAGTCAAGATTGTTGACTACTTTTGAGTGATACTGTATTGCACATTTTAACCCTTTCACTCCCAATATCTTATTAATATTTCTCCTAACTGTCCACCATACATTCCTATTGATGTTAGTTATGAGAATTTGGTATTGAATCAAATAAGAATTCCCAAGTGGATATTTTCCTTTATACTCACCACATTTCTACTTGATATTGTATTGAATGGATATTATATTGACATTGATACTGTTCCCATGGAAGTGAAAGGATTTAAAAAAATATATATATATATTTATGTACAGGCTCTTCAGCTGGAAAAAAAGCAGCTAACACAGCAGTGGTACAGCAGTTTAATTGGAATGAGGAGACGAGATGAGGCATATGCTGCAATGCAAGAAGCTCTGAGGTAAATTTTGTACATTTACTACACTTCTGTTGAAATTAAAGGAATCATCTCCTGTTTAAGAAATTACTTTTTTTTCCTTGATTATCATGGCTTCACATTGGCTCAGCCTTAAATAGGCTGTGAATGACTAACAATACTCAAGCTATACTTTCTTAGTTAAGTAATGCCACTAAGAACGACTGTTGCAGTGAATAGAATGAAGGACAAACAATATTTCAAACTAGTTCCTTCTGTCCTTTTCCAAATTTTTATTATTTATAAACACCAGCAAGAAAGAGATAATTGTCACTCTATTTGGCAAGTAATTTACAAAGCAAAAATAGAATTCTAGTCTTGCGTTTCCTCAGAAGACATCAGTAAATAAGACAAGAAATGATCTTGTTAAGCTAACAAGTTAAGATTGATGGTGTCTGAATGACAGCAGTTTTCTTTTGCATGCCCCCTAGCTGTTTTGACATGGGTATAAGCTCAATCCAGAGGCAGCTTAGTCTTTTTAGCAGCTTTCTTTATGATATTATGGACTTAAGCTTCAACTTATTGCCTGGATATCTGAACTGCCTGCCATTTCTGGCTCATTGCTGCCATGTTTGTTTCAGGAGTGATGAGAGAAATAAGATGCAGGTCACTCTTTAATGCCATAGGGTTAAATCGCATTTCACAAACAGCTTTATCTCTTTTGCTAGTTAACCCTTATCCCCAAAATAGAGCAAACTAACAGATTGTAGCATTTTGCTAACTACATCTCTGCATTTGCCTCTCTTTTTTTTTTTTTTTTAAACAGTCTTCAAAGACAGAGAATCCAGGCCATTGAAACAGAGATTGAAGGCTACAGAAAGTCCATCAGCAAAGCTCAGGAACAGAATGAACAGATCACACTCATGCATAACAAGATTGAAGCTGACATCACCATGGTGAAGAAACTGGTTGCAGTGAGCAGGAACAAACAGGAGGTCCTTAAGACTGAATATAGTAAATACTCCAGGACACTCCATGAAACAGAACAACAACTCAACAGGGCTGAAACTGTAAGTGAGGTTGTAATCAATCAAGTAGTAACTGCTGAACAAATAGATTTAATGTTGCTGTACCTCTGTTGACAACAACTGTTTAGATGACGTTAACCCTTTAAATCCCAGAAGTGATCAACATGAAACTTCTCCCCATAATATCCATACAATATTCAGCAAACAGATGATGAGAATATTCGGACTTATCAGAAAGAAGCTGCTATCTTGATCTAGCACCAAGTTCTCATAACTAATTGACAAGGAAATGTGTAGCACTAGAGGGGAGAATTAACAATCAGATCTTGGGGGTGAAAGGGTTAAAATGTGGTAAGAATGAAAAAAGTGGCACACAAGGTGTAGCTGAGTGGGTCACTGATGTTCCTGTCACATTTTGACATCTTCTGTAATTCATTACTGTATAGATGGACCCACAGCTACATGAAATCTATTTGTTTAATATGACAAGAAAGCAAAATGTTTTAAATGATGACATAGCAACATAAGTAAGAACAAATCAAAGCGTGTGTATAATTCAGCCTGTCATATGATGTACAGGTTCAGACATGCTTTGCGGTATGACTTTCAAGATAAGAATAGACATAAGCCTAATGTAGCTGTCCCTTTGTAAGTACGGAAAAATGTTGCTTGACTGCTGTGGTTATTTCTCTTGGACCTAATTAGGAAGTGACACTGAAGGAGAACGAAATCACAGCATTAAGAAAACAGATTGAACGTGAGTTCGGGGAGAAGATAAAACTAGAAGACAACATTATGGAAAAGATGAGAAGCCAGCTTACATTGGACAAGGCGGCGCAGTACACTAAGAAGATGACAGACAAGCTCAGAAGGAGGGCCACAGAACTGGTAACAATATTTTTACTACTGATACAGTTAGGCTCGAATGAACAGAGTCCGTAATTGACGGGTGAATTCTGAAAAAAACCCATTGTCCTTGTCATTAACCTATTTATCAAGCTAAATAGAAATGTTCCACATTGTTTTGAGTCGTAATGTTTTGCTATGGGCAAAATGACCTTCAATTCGGAAGAGGGATGGTCTTCAGTGTTACTTGGTAAAACCTAAAGATGGCGCCTCATTGAATTTTAAAGCTGGTCTTAAAGGTAGCTATACATGTACATAACAAAAGTTCTTTTTTTACACAGCAATGTAACAGAAATGAAACTTGTGGGATTGATCAACAAAGTCATCTTAGTCGCGTGTTTATAGCGTACATACACACCTGTATAGCGTATATACGCGTCTAACGACCTGCGTCTGTGCATACAAAATACGTATGCGCAGTTAACGCATATCTGAGCGGTACTTTATAACCTGGAAAAGTTAAGCAAGAGGAATTGAAATCCTTTCAGACCCAAAGTGATACAAAACTACTTCAGATGTGGGAGGAACGAGTTTACTATTGAACAGCAATTTACGTTATGTTGTTCTTCCTTACAGGAAAGTTCCGTTGCTGAAGTTGAGAACGAGATTTCCAGGGATATCTTGGACATTTCTAACACGACCACTCGTGTTCGTCAACTTCAAGATGTCATGGACAACCTGAATGAAGAGATTCACCAGAAGAATGGCACCATTTCTAAGATCGAAGGAGAAATAGTGAAGCGAAACGCTATTATTGAACGGAAACAGAGCACTATTGACCAGTTTAACAAAAAGATCGATCAGTTGAGGAGCAAAGACGGGGTACGTCAATGGAATTTTAGTTGTTGAAGACGGTTCACAATTATTATACTGCAAATTTCAATTGAACATGGGAAAGTAGTCTAGTTTGCTTTCGTTTATTGCTTTCTTCTTTGACCGGTCAGTTTACACGAACCGGACTGATAACTCTTCACTTGACTTTGATGATGACTTACGCTTTGGTTGTCGAAAAGTCAGTTACCCAGTACTACCGACAACAGTCTTTCTCAGGACTGTTTTTCTGCTTTTTGATTGAAAGAAAAAGACATAAATTTCTAAAAAAAATAGTATGCTAAACTAAAATCAGTTTCAATTTGAAGTGTTGACCAACGTTTTCCCGCGCTTCTAGTTTTTACGTAAGTTCCCATTAGCTCTTACAGATATTTTCTTTTGTGCTGATTGTCTTGTGATCAATTTGATTTGGGTTTGACGATGCTCAATCGAAATGCGCACCAGAATTCGGGAGTTTGTGAGATGTGCGTTGCTGCGCTCTGACTGGTTTAGAAACTGAACTACATCACCCTTTCAACGAATCAGATGCAAAACTAAAACCACTCGCAACTCAATGGTTTTCCGCCTTGAAGTCTTTAGAATGTATTGACTTTCGTTTCTCTTTGGCTGGTTGAGATATTTTCCTTTGTTCCGATTGGGCACTGCAATTACTTTGGTTTCGTTACCACTGCACTCAATCGAAATACGCTCTAATGAGGAAAGTTTCCTTTGTCATTGTTAGGGAGAGGAAATAGGACCTTTGGAGTTACAGATCCACACGTTACAAAAGCAGATCGAAGCCCGCCTCAATGAAATTACTGAACTACAGCAGTTTTGGCTGAGAAATCAAAGTGAATTGGTGAAGACCTTAAAGGATGTACAGAAACAATCTGAAGACATGGAGTACTTTAAGAAACAGTACACCATATTACTGCAAAAGAAACTCAGGATCGAAGGTAAGTAGAGAAGTTACAGACGATGCGGATCAAAGTACTTGTCGCGTTTAATGACTCTCCTTTACTCCTCTTTGTTTCTCTGTTAATCCTTTCACTCCCAAGATCTAACTAGTAATTCTCCTTACTCTCTGCCATACTATTCTTATGATGTTAGTTCAGAGAATTTGGTATTGGATCAACTAATAATCCCATAATTAACATATTCTTCTCTATTCTCATCACCTACCTGCTTGATATTATATTGATATTGTAAGGAGAAATTCTGTCTTGGTCACTTATGGGAGTGAAAGGGTTAACAGTCTTTTGCCTTTGACCTAAAAACGACAAATTTATTGAGTCTTAATGATCGTAAATTAGCAAATGGCTACTTAGTGAATTGAAGCTTGCTGAACAACAATTTTCCGATAAACGCCGAGAAGATCCACCGTTTACAAGTTGATTAAGTGAGATCTTTTACATCCATTGAGGAATCAATCTTCTTCAAACTAGCTGTCATTATCTTCATGTTTTGTTGACCAGTCTTCGGCTTGAACTGCAGAATATTTATCTCATTGCTTTTCAAGTCTCTCACTCATTTTACTTTGATGAAGCTCACTTTCGGTTGAGAGAAATGCGAATTAATCTCTTTGCGCCGCATCGGGAGGGGAATCGAATCACTCAGTTTCAACTTGCCGAAAATTGACCCTTTGAGGGGGAACCTTTCACGGGTGTGAAAATCACCTGATGATTTCCCTGAACAGGATTTGTCGAAATCGATTTACTTAACTGAGTTTATATTTTTCTGAATATAATTTCTTCTTAGGCGAAATCAACTCACACAATAGCGAGATGCGAGATATTGAGCGAAACATTCGCGGCATGCAGAATGACATGACGAAGCTAAATACTCTGATCACCCAGGAAAGTGGCCTGAGAGAGGCCTTACGGCAAGGAACAGTGTTGATGGAGAGCGACTTTATTCAGGCGCTTAAGGTAACTCACTATTCCAATTATGATAGATAGGTAAGCCGGTGTGGCCGCAGAGACTCCCACGCGGGTGCTTAAAAGGTGCGTGCGTGGGAGTTTTGCGTGGAAAAAGTTCCTTTACTTTTACGATACAACTTTAGTCATTTCGATACAAGCAAGTGCAGGATACATTTTGATGTTTTCAACTGTCTACCAGCCTGATAAGGGGAGTTAAACATACCTTGCCAGGAGGTGTATCGAATCGACTTCAGTTTGTATTTATACGACTTTATATCGAAACGACCTGCGCGTAAGCCTTCGCGTTCATTGCAGCCAAAAGTATACAACTTCGTGTCAGAAACTGTATTATTATTTACGTAAGTTGAGCGTTCCTTAGTATAGAGACTTACATTGATCCTAAGATCGATGTGACATTAAATGACTTCCTTCGATTCTCACTTAGCAACGACCAATAGGATTATTCACTACTTTAGTATAAAATAAAGAATTTTCTCGGTCTCGATCAGAGAGCAATTTTATACACCTATTGTAGGACGAGTATAAGTGAGCATATTAAAACTCAGTCAGGTACACTAGTAATGAATGTGATCCGTCCACATCCCTTACCAGAGGGACATGTTTGTAAAACTCGAACGTATCTTTATGCTTGTTACGTAGCAAACGGATTTATCGCCGTACTCTGAGTATAGTTCACGTAGGATTTTTATCCAGCCCTGATGATCGAGCCCTTTTATTTATTATTTTCTTGATTAACAGCCCTTAAATGGTACAGCTTGGGCATGCACAATTACCTGTATTGCTCGGCGTTACACTTAAAAACCTAACTGATGAATTGCTCTGCTGTGGATATATACGAAGCGCATTTGACTCAATGTTTACGTTACAGGAAGCCGAAGGGGAATCCATCAACATGCAAAATCAAATTGATGCGCTGAAGGAGGAGAAAGAAAGGCTGCTCAATAGTTTGGTGGAGGCGGAGTAAGTAAACATTATTGTGCTAGTTTTTTTTGCGTGTCGGCGTTATGCCTTGTGTGATCACGGAACATCTAGGGAAGAGCAGTGTTAGAAGCAGCGTAGAAAATGTCACGCTACGTTGCTGTTGGACTGGCGGGGATGATAAAACTAGGAGGAACGCGATGAATTATCAAAAGTTAGGCATCAAGCGTTGTTTGCTCCCGTTATGTCCTTAAAAAAATGTGTTTATATCTCTTGCTTTCCTTTTGTCTGGCTTTGATTGTCAACTTTTTTCTGTGTAAATTTAATTTACTCTTACCCTTTACTCAGACGTCAAATCATGTTGTGGGAGAAAAAGACGCAACTGGCCCGTGAAGCGAAGAACGCTGTTGACATGGAGTACGGTCAAGGAGAGATTAAGTCAATGAAAGCAGAAATTCATAGAATGCAGGTCAGTCAGTCAATTTGGTGAAGTTGTAGGTGGGTTCTTTATGAAGTTCTGTTTAGGGATGAGAGTCAGGCGTTGGGTTTTTTTGCCCGATGGCAAAATTTTGCAGCATCTATACGCGTGTTACCATGAAGGACAAAAATGCTGCTAACTACGCAGGTTACGCTCCTACAGACAGGGTTTTAGAAATAAATTTGCGTTTCGTGGTAGCTTACGTGGCAGTATCTTCCCTTTAGTGAAACGTGAAACGTGAAACGTGAGCTGAATGGGAGTGACGCGAAGTCAGGGGGCGAAAGGGAACAAAAATCAGTATTAAGAGTTCCTTTAATTAACTCCACTTCCTAGCTTCCTGGTCGTCTTTCTTTAAAATTAAACCGGTGCTCTGATCATATCATTAATCGTACATCCAATGCAATTTAGAGCTGGGGAAGAGACAGAATCAGGAAAAGAAATTTACTGTTTGTTATCGAGGTTGTCAGGTCTCATTGGCTAATAGGTTATGTTTGTTTGTAGGTTCGTTACTCGCAGCTAATGAGACAACAGGAAAAGATGATTCAAGACATGGAGAAGTCTGTTGGACGCAGGGAAGTTATTATTACTCGGTAAGTGATTCCCATGATACCAGTTACAGATGGATATCTTGATGGTTGTTTAGGATATTTTAATTGGGTTTTCGTAACACCACGACCAAAGGGATTACAATAGCGCCACAGGCAACCTAAGCTCAGAATGCGAAACACGCTGATATACTTGTCTTGAGTAAGGACACCGAAAGAAAATTCAACCTTGAACTTTCATAGAACACAAATTGCATCCAAACTACCTATGATGTTAGTGATCTCTGTTTGTTCATTCGTAGTTATACCACAGGATACTGGACTAAAATACCAATTTTCCGCACAGCCTCTTTGATGCGTTAAACTACCGGCAGTCCCTCTTTTTGGGCGCAGTCCGTCGCGCGAGTCAACAAAAAAAATCAGTTGATTAACCCTTTAACTCCCATGAGTGACCATGACAGAATTTCTCCTTACAATATCAATACAATACCAACCAGATGAGTGAGGAGAAATATCACTTTGGGGATAATAAGTTGATCCAATACTAAATTTTCTAAACTAACATTAAAGAATTTGTATGTTTGACAGTAAGGAGAATGACAAATTTGATCAGGGGGTTAAAAGGTTAACAGTATCGTTTATTGTATTTATTAATTGATCGCATTCTGCGTTAGGGCTGTTTGTACGGACTTTTCACTGAGAAAACTTTCCATAAATTTATTTTACCGATGTAATTTTCTTTTTGTTATCAGTGGAGATGCTCAAGCAAAGATGGGTAAGGTTTCAAACACTAAAGGCACTTTCCAAAAGAAACTCGCCGAGATGAAGAAGAAAATCAAGCAGACAAACCAAGACGCTAATGCCTGTGATACTGGTAAATAAACGAACTAACGCGTGATAGTGTAGTCCTCTGTTCTACCAGGAGCTTACTTTTTCAAGGGTGTTGAATTCAATCATCGCAAGAATGTGACAGTGGAAAAAATCAGAGGTGGATCTACTACGAAGGAACAAGGAATGCTCTGGCGAAGGCCTAACGCTCGAAACTTCAGCTTTAGAAACCCCTTTACGGTGGTTAATCACACTATCAATTTAGTTGATACTATCTTGTTCTACCCCCACTGACGCAGAACCACAGTTTCTTTACAAAGTTACCGTAATGATTCGATTTAGCACCCTCATTCCAATAAGCTCCCCTATTCCAATACACGCCCCTATTCTGTTTCAGTGATAGCACTGTTAGATTGTATGAACATCGAGATTAACCGTGGTCCCTCTTCCTTTAATCACTCACTTAAAGCCTCACGACAAAAAAAGTGGTCTTCTTCTCTGTCTCTCAACTATCGTGTCGCCGTGAATGCACAGTTCCTTCAAACGAAAGATCCTGTCTTAAAATTTTGCAAAGATTGCTTGGCTAGTCGTTCCAGCAAGGAACGATCCAAGGACAAGTCCGTTTTCCAGTCTTTTTGATCCACGGTCAAGTAAACATCAAAGCTTTGTTTCACATTCTGCTGTTTCTCAAAAAAGAAATAAGCGCCCTGTTTCAAATAAGCACCCTTCCTTTAGCTAACAAAAGTAAATAAGCGCCCTGAGCACTAAATCGAATCATTACGGTACTCCTTTTACTATGAAGAGGTTGAATATGAAGTTGGCAGAAAACGGAAATTGGAGAAAATTAAACTTTCTCCTATCTTCTCTCAACTGTTTTTATATAAATGCGACAATATCTTACAATCTTATCTTAGAACTTAAAATAATAAATTTTGTTGCTTCAAAGTTTAGTGAAAAAATTGAGTGAAACCAGAGTTCACATCTCTCTTTAACTCACTGAAGTGACCTTCTTTAGGCCGACTTCTCATTTATCAGAGCTTAAAAGATCCAAATAGGATCGGACTTAAGATTTCTTACACAATCTCGACCTGTCTTCAAAAGGTTATAGGTTCTTTCTCTCCACGCTCGCGTCTTTGTATTGACTACCGAGTTTCGAATTGATCCTGAATTCTCAACGCATTTGTTCTTCGTAATGTTAATTACTAAGGGTGTTTGTTTTGTGGTTGTTGATGTTTTTAGATATTCAAGTGCTTCGTGAAAAGCAAATGACCGTGAGTCGTGATCTGGAAGAGAAACAAACAACATGTCTACAGCTTCAAACTACTGCCGATGAACTGGAGGTGCAAATCGATACACTGTCGGAAGAGAGACAAAGGGTGAGTAACCTTGTGCCTTTGACCACAAGTGATCAGTTTTCAACTCCTCTTCGCAACATCAGCATATCGTCCAGAAATATAGAATATATACGAGAAAAGTCAGACTTTTTAGCTAGATTTGACCTCATTGTTTCCTCTTATTCTGTCAGAATCTGGCTGACATAGTCGCCAAGCAACAGAAGTTAAAGTACTACAACCAGCTAAAGAATGGACGCTACACTCCGCTGTGCAAAACACCGGAGACGCTAGAGGCTGAACTTCAAAAACAACGAGCTCGTCTCCAGTCCCTTATGACGATAGTTGATCGATTGAATCAGGAGTTTCCTCAAGCTCAACCAGCGCTGCGCAAAATCACCCTGTCTCTAGGCTACAGGGGAATTCCTGAGGAAGCTGCAGCCTAATCTCTGCTCACCCCTCCCGTGTAGAAAATTATTTATTCATTAATGATATTGAGAATATGAGTAAATTTTCTTAAATAAAAAAACGACTTAAATTTAATTGTTCAGATTTCCATAGTTTTCAGAACCACGTTTCTCGATATCTTTTTCTGCTAGTATTGCTGTAAATAAAAGATATCAGCACATTAAACTGAGTCGTGATTATTGTACCGACATCAAGATTTTGGTGTTAACCCGTTGTTTGTTTTTATACTTCGCACTGCCTCCTTTACTGCTTGACGCCACCTCGCGTGCAACACGTTCACTTTATACTTGTACCTGACGCAAATAGATGCCCGTGTCCAATGTCCATGGATAACCAGCGAGCAGGCGCTCATTGTTAGTGTTTCGGCACGAGGACCGTTTCTTCTCCCGCGAGAAAGTATGAGGCCTTCAGCAACGCGACCTGACGAGAAGTCTGAAAAGGGTCTGGCATTGCTTAGTCCCAGCCCCTCGGAAAACGTCTCCCTTACTCGTCTCAGAGCTCTCCACGAGCGGAAAAACGCACGTCCTCCAGTGCCTTGTCGTGGATTAGCACAAGGAGAGATAACGAAAACAAGTGTGCATGCGCATCTAGAATACCGCAGACATCAGGACTACAAGTGGCACGAACTTAAACCCAAACTCAAATTGATGCGAGGAATCACTGTTGTTTCAACGAAGATCTGATCATTAAAAGAAGAGCATTGGGAACGAGATTGAGTTGGAACGCTCCGGCAAGTTCTCTGTCATCTGCAGAATGTTTTAGGAATTATTCGGGTTATGTCGGTACCTTTTTCCAACCAGTCAATTTTCATCTTGAGAACTGCTGAGGTGAACGGAGCCTCATGGCATAACTATTGCCATTTGCAATGATCTTCGTACGATTGATTGTCAAAATGAATGCAAAATCTCAGATCAACAAGGGTAAAAGACTTAAGCACGGGTTGTTCAAAGCTGGGTCAGTTAAGAGAACAGGGTTAGTGTGAAATTTGATTTCACGTCTGAAAGCTATGAAAGAAAATTCAGTTCAAATCTTTTTGCTAACAATTTGATTATTGGATGTTCTTGGAAAGGAATACGGAAATTTTTCCCTAAAAAGGCTTTTGAGCAAAGAAATAAAGAAATTTGGACTAAACTTTAACCCTGGGTTAGCGCTTATCGGCCTTCGAACAACTGGGCCTTGTTGGAGACTGTACCTTGACTGACCAGTACCAGTCTCCATCAGTTGGTTAGGACAAGCTACGAAGCTAGCGAAATGTAAACGGTCATTTACAGTATATCGTGAACACTGATAGTAATTTGCTTGGAATAAAAATTACAGTATGGCTATTCGAAAAGGATGAGATTAAAGAGGAAAAAAGGCGACTATTCAATTTCTATTCATAGTTACTAATGATAAGTCACCGTGTTTATTAATGCCAATACGTTCAAGCGTCTTAGCTTACTGATGATGTAAAGTTGTAGCGGTTTTCTTGAAGAAATAAGGTCCATATTAACTTTTTCAAAAGGGACTTAAGATAAAAGAGACTCAGATAACAACTATTTCTAAGATAGGGAATTGAAACTGCTTTTTGAAAATAATAGGGCTGAGTACTTGTCGTCCATGTCCGCTTAAACGGTCTTTGACATAGTGCGTATTTTATGTAAATCGCGTGCTTGAGCGAAATTGAATTTTTAATTATGTGTGTTTTCCCAAGAAACTTTTTTCAATTTCGGCCACCATTTATGAAGGGTCTTTTCAGAATTGTTCTACTTTCTACGATACGAAAAACAACCATGTTGAATCCGGCACACAGTAACAGATACGTATTCAAAGCTTGAAACCTAAAGGGGAAGTCCTCTGATCTCTGGCGCAATTTTTAATTGGCATGTCGAACTTACCTTTGAAAATTACCTTTCTGCTGGCGTTGCGAAATTTTCTTAATTTGCAAATTTGTCATTGTTGCCGGAAAATTGTTTTTGTTTATTCGTCGCGTGCTAGCATATCTCATAAGAACCCTATGTTGGTGTAAACATTTTGTGACTTTCGCACTTTTCTGTGAGGATTTCACAGTCTTCAGTTCTGTTTTGAATATTTACACCAGGGAAGGTATTTAGCAATTCATTACCACAGATATCTCATCCATTTTTAATTGTAATTAGAGCAGCTGGTTATTGAGGCAGCCGTAACTCGCTACGCATGCACACTCATTTTCATCTAATCTTAGAAAACGGCGCCTAATAGCTGTCGGTGACAGATGTAATTTTAAGTGTAAAGGTGTATTTACAGTATATTAGCTTAATACACGCAGCCCCTCTAACTCGATTTTGTGAAGCTGAAGATGAATAAGTGAAAAACGTATCTTCATTCTGTGATATTAAAAGCAAACCTTGGAAACCTTGCAAATTTGTCATTGACGCCGAAAGATTGTTTTCGTTTATTCGTAGCGTGCTGGCATATCTCATCAGAACCCGATGTTGATGTAAACACTTTGTGATTGTGTGCTTTTCTGTGAGGACTTCGGAACCGGGTTTTGAAGTCTTTCTTTTTTAAATATTTATACCAGGAAAGGTATTAAGCTATCCATTACCACAGAAATTTCTTTCATTTTAAATTGTAATTAGAACAGTGCTCGATGTCGAATGCTTGCATTGACTACGCAGCTGTCTAAGGAAGCATCTGTAACTCGTCACGCATGCACATTCATTTCCATCTGATCTTAGAAAACGGCGCCTAATAGCTGTCTATGACATGTAATTTTAAGTGTAAAGGTATATTTACGGCATATAAGCTTAATACACGCACCCCCTCTGACTTGATTTTGTGAAACAGAAGATAAATAAGTGAAAAATGCATTTTCATTCTGTGATGTTGAAAGCAAACCTCGGACATTTCATTTTCACCATGGTAAGAACGTAAAACTTTGACTATTTTTATTGTGTCTGTGTGGGTCTAATTGGGTCGCAATCTGTCTATTGATAAGTATTGAAAGTATGCGTTTAAAGTGAAGCACTAAATGACTCTTGATTTTCATTTGATCTTATTTGAAGTTGGTGAAATTTTCGTTCACTTGTGAAAATGAGGTCAATCATCTATATAATACATCAGGTAAGTCAAACTTTTTCATCTTTATATTGATAAAAGGATGACTAAAGAAAGTATTTGTATACGCATTTGAGGACAAAATAAACTTTTACTTCAGCAGTTTACCAAAAATATTCGCAGTCACGACATGAGACGAAATAAAAAAGAAAACCCTTGCTTTTCTTACACCCTCCAAATTTCTATTCTCATCATGACCTATGAACCTCTAAAAGCACGAATCAAGTGTTTCAAGGCGATGATAAAAGGCGATGGAGCAGGGTAAGCCTCAAATCGATTCAGGAGCGCGCTCGGCGAGATAACATTTTGTTCAATTTTTTGTTAGCAGTTATTTACTTATGCGTTCCCACGAATCGATTTCACGTCCGCGCTTGAGACTGTTATGACTGCAAATAGGTTTGCATATACCATCGAAATTGGCAAAATACAATGCTGGAAATCTGAGTGGGATAATGGGGTTTGCTCGGCGTTCAAGCAAGCCCCCGTACATTTCAAAACTCTCCGCCGGCCGCTTCTCGCTGATCAAACTCGGTCCGAAACTCTATGGAAAAAATATTTCTGAAAGGAAAAGCGTTACTTTTTCCTTCTTGCTTATCTGGGGTACTTGACTCAAAGTTTTCATCTTTTTTCCGTGGTATACATTAAAGCCGCTGATGCAAGCTTTCCACAGTCAAGCCAGGTTACATTTTAGTTTTTCCAGTCTACCAAGAAGAACAGAATTTTTTATAGTTTTCTAGATTCAGTAAGTTCTGTAAAGGGAAATTTAATCAACAATTTCAGTGGCGCTGAAATGTAACCTGAAATGCTTAGTTTGGGAAGTCACATCAGCACCAACAAATAGAAACTCCGGTTTGGACGTATAAAGCTTAAAGAACAAACTTTTAATAAATTCAGCCTAATGTACGGCGAAACTTTGAAAGATTAGAGTTTCGAATCCTCACAGAAGGAGTCATATTTCTAAGTCGTATTACGCTTGCGACGAATGTTTTTACTCTTTTCTTTATAACTGTGGATTATTTAAACGTCTTCGTGCATAGTTCAGTTAAGCGGTTCCTCTGTTACCGAGCACGGCACAGCGGTAATTTATCGGACTGACAATCTATTTTCGTGAAAATTAAATCAATAGAAACGATCCATGAGTCGATAAAATCACGAGTAAAAAAGCGAAAAAAAATGATTTTCGAGAAAGCTGTGTTAACGCGACCCACTCCTATGGGATAAATCGTAGATGATCAGTTGAAGAGGAAAAAACTAGCTAAGGATAGTTAGAAATGCAATTCATTTTTTACAAAGTTTCATATCTATCCTTCAGTGATAAAGTTAACACGGGATTTCTTTAAACTTTTTAAATCATGGGGAAAATTTACAGTATTCTTGATCAATGTAATAAACCAAGTGCTTCGAGATACATAATAATAAAACGCGTTTAATGATTGCGCAACGCGCAAAGTTGGCTTGTTTCATGAATCAGTGATGATGTCAATTTTCTCGACGATTAGTTCAAAAATAAACCTCCCTTTTATCTTAATTGTTGTAGCATTGCTACAGTGTCGAAAATTTAGCATGAGCCAAACAAGGCACTTAACAAAAACGTATATTTCTCTAAAAGAACCTATTGAAACTTTCATGTCAATTCAGTTACTTTCACCTGAGAAATGAGGCGCTGTGAATATTTAAATTTACAAAAATTTGTTTAACTGAGGAACAACCGTTGAATTACATTTTCTTTGATAAACTACCTGAAAAGTTGTGAAATTACCCCCTGAGGAATTCTAATATTTTTGTTGGTAAAAATTTGTTTTAAAAAGCTGGTTTTTTTTTTTTTCAAATATAGTAGTCTAAAATTTTCAGCAACACTTTGGAGAAACGTGGCCTCTTCTCTCAACATAATGTTCTGATTCTTTTTATGGGTTCTCGTCAAATTATTTTTATGGTACAAAGGAACTCTTCCGTAAAATTCCGTACGTTTACATAAGATACACTCCAGTGTTTAAAAGATTAATATGTCCGCGGGCTATTTTGGTCTATGAAAAGGATGCAACATTAATAAGCCACATTAGATGTTAATAAAAAGACAAACAAAATGTCTTAAAAAGCTTGTAGCTTTGGGGAAATATTAATTTTTTGACAAAGCATGTCTTCATAAAGGCTAAATTAAAATTCTACTTACCCGTAAAAAAATATTATCAAGAATAAGTAACAGTTACAAATAGTTTAAGTTTATGTCTTGCTGGTAGCTTTTCAACTGAATTTTCTATTTCGGGGAAATCCACTTCTTGGATGTTAATCGAAGAATTTTTCTAAAACTTTTGGCTTGCAAAACTTTCCTTTTTCTATTCTTCTCTACGATTAGTCTAAATGATTAGCGATTTATAAACTTCGCACAAATTTTCGGTTAACATTTATTCAGTCCAACACTGCCTCATTTTCCGCGTTTTTGGTAGCCTACGTGCAGCTGCATTAGCGGCGAAACCCGCAAGATTCGAGCATGCGAGAGGTCTGTTAGGGGTCTGGCACGAAAACCAGATCGTGCCAAACCCCTCGCATAACTCTCGTACACTCATATCACGGGTGTGCGGCGCCAATTGGAGCATGCTCGTCAGCTACGTTCGTTGTCGATGAATGCCTAAATTCGTGATGAGTTCTTTGATGTCGTGACAACTCGATTTAAGTCTGTCTGTATGCCAGAGGCATATAACCTAGAAGCTTATATGCTTCTGGTTAAACAGAATAACCGAAATAGCTCTATTGAAAGGTTATAACATATTAATTTGACGGATTTTTCTTGGCAAGTCTAAATTACACATCTATTAAAATTTCAATCCAAATCCTTCAAATCCTTCCTCCTGCTAAGGATTAATTCTTACACAAAGCCACTATCATTTCATCGACGGATCGATTGATTCCTTTGCTCTTATAAAATCTGCCGTACATCTTTTACAGTGGTCAGCTTTCTCAAGGTCAAGGTGCGATCACAAGCGAGGGGTTTGGCGTCCATTTTGGTTGACAATAGAAACTACACAACTCAGTCTAAAGGATACAATGTGGTAGTTCTTGATCCGCTGTCAGGTACATTCTTCTAATTCACAAGACGAGCGATGTCCTTTAGTTTGATAAAACAGTTGCACCAAAGTGATTCATTGCTCAATGTTACCCTCCATGCATCATTCCGTTTTAGTCATTCCTTATAATTTTAGCTGTATAGGTTGGTTTCCGTTTTTTTCCTCATCATATCTGTGCTCATTGCTCACGTAAATCAAAAAGAAAAAGGATATAGCTGAAAGATCATAGATCTTTTTACTTAACGCAGTCGTTTGGCTGATATGGGAAAGCTCTCCGAATGAGGAGAATTAGATAAGACAGAGGGTTTATAGACACACGAAGATTATACGGGGATACTCACCTTTTCACATATTCTACTTTTGACTTACGCTTTGGTCGGAAATTTTCAAGTGCAAGCGTTTTGTTTTTCCCTATTCAGGTCGTTTCCTCATCTCAGCTGCGTTTGATTGCGCAACGCACCAAACTGAGTGCGACAAGCTAGGTGTGTTCCTGAAAGGCTTGCCTCAGGATGTTGTTGTGTTGCTGGCTGCACAAGGCCCCGCTGTTGTCACTGGTCACGTGCTTCCAACGAAGGAATTGAAAAAAGTAGGCGCCAATCATGCTGAAAATGTTTCTGCGCAAACTCGCCACGCAGTCATTGGATATAAAGGACAGATGAAGGGAGTGACGTGGATAAAGGAGATCTTGAGCGACAAAGGATCGACCGAAGTATCATCAAGTATTCCAATCCGTTTTTCATACAAACCAAAAGGTAAAGGAATGACTGCCTTTTTTTTTTTCGTGTTTAGGTGCAGGATGCTTTTGCGTAATTAACTGCACTTAGGCATATCTAGCCGTCCGTAGCCATACTAAGGAATCCCTAGCCATACTCAACCATACTTAAGGTGATTATTCAGAAAAAAATAAGTCATTAAAAACTTTGTCTGTTTCGAAAAATACAATAAAATGATTTGCATCTTCGAGGAACGGGCTTCGTGCACGCTTTTAGCTTTATATTTTTTCTCTTCGAAGAATTTTTTTGATTTCCCCAATTTAAAGGGGATAACCTGTACATAGAAATCATCTAAAAAAATTTATATATATATATATATATAAATATATATACATATATACATATATATATGTATATAGGTCACCGTGCTCGTTCTTCTTTACTTGTTCCAGGTAATTGATTGAAAAACAATACTGTGTTCTCGGAATATGGGCGCGCTTATTTGCCTGATTACGTGATTTTTATGCGAAGTAGAGGATGTGCCGTGTAATACCGAGGAATCTCCTTAATCATCTATGGCCATTCTTGGCTGTACTTGAGAATAACTAGTACCAGATCTCCATTCGAATACCTGCCCGGACCACTCTATGCGTGCCTACACCAATTAGTTACACACTTTCGCCTCAAAGAACCGTTTCGTTCGTGGAAATGTAGAAGGGGGATACAACATCCCCTTCAGGAATACTCTTAACACTTCCTGCCGCCAGAGCGAGTGTTTTACTTTATAGTCGCTCAACACCATGAAATACGGATCAAACTGACTCAAGAAAAGACATAACCTGCCTAAGATTTGGAGTAGATGTTTAGGCAACTGTCAAACTGTTTAGTTTTATCATTCATTCACATTTCTTTCAAAGGAATCCCAAGTTTTATGTTTCATTCTCCGTTTTCTTTAGATTCTACATGTTGTACCCCGTTCAATGTGGCGTCCCAGAAGTATGGAGGCAGTTGTTTGAATCAGTCCTCCAGTTGGGGAGCCTTAGAGATTTGTCAACATGTCATTGATGGAAACATAAGTGTTGGCTGGAACTCGTCGTTCAAGAATGAAAGCATCGATAGCGTCAACTCTTCTATCACAATTGGTTTTCACTCAATCTTCGTCATCAATAAACTAAGAATAAGGCAAAACGCAACTACCAATCAACAAATCCAGGAAATTTTGTTGGAGTTTAGTGACAGTACCATGGAAAAGGTACTTCGATTAATCGACTATTTGTGTTTTTCGCTTTATTTAAAAACTCAAAATATCTCAGTTTCTCACGGACATGAGAAATTTTTTTGATAAATCTTCACTTGGATGAAGCTAACTTATTAATCTATACACAGCAGGTTATTTTGTTTTTAAATTGTATTTTGCAGATTACACTGACAGAGAATCGGTCTGATTTTGAAGAGTTTTTCTTCACGTCACGTAAGGCACGTTGGGCTAAGTTTACAATTACAAAAGTGAATGGTACCAGCGGAGGGGCCTGGATACAAGAAATTGAACTTTACGATGATAAGTGCGATCACAGTAAGTAACAAAAATAAGTTAAAAATTCCAAAATAGAAAGCAAACTAAGATAAGCAAGATCAATACCTGAAATTTAGAAAAAATTAATTTGTTTCAAAGGGTTTAAGGTGAATGAATTCATCCTATAACAAGTTTGCCTCTACCACCTTTGCATGTTCGCCAACGAACGTAAATCAAGTCCCCCCCCCCACCACCTTGAATGATTTGGGGGCGAACTGGTGAAGGTGAGGGCGAACTCGTTTACGTCAGAGGGCGAACTCGCAGAGGTGATCGGGGGCAAATAATTGGTACACCCAGACGAACCACCCTGCGATGTTTTGAGCCTTTGGCTGCGACAAGCAAACTTTTCTACACAGTGAGATAACAGTCAACCACAAAGTATAAGTTTGGTTGAATGGAAAAACAACCTAAATGGGAGGGAAACGAAAAAAAGATAACAAGGATGGTTCAAGATGAAGAACATTGACACGAATTAGAAATGACCAACTTGTAAAGTGTAAGTAACTCCTTAACCCTTTAACTCCCAAGATCTCATTAGTAATTATCCTTACTGTCTGCCATACAATTCTTATGATGTCAATCTGGAGAATTTTGTATTGGATCAACTAATAATCCCCTAATTGATATTTCATTTTATTCTCATCACTTCTATCCTTGATATTGTATTGATATTGTAAGGAGAAATTCTCTCTTAGTCACTGACGAAAATGACGTTGCAAATCAATTTTTCTCACACTTTTTTTCACAAGACTGACTTCTATTCTGAACTTGCTGCTTTACAACAAAAAGACATTGACTTAGCCCTAAAGAAAGCTGATGTGAGGTGATCCTCGCAAAAACGAAAACAAACTGATCCTGAGGAAATCGAAAACGAGGCGACCTTAACAAGGGCGAAATCGAATTTCAACTTAAAAATCTTTACAAAGTAATATTCTTAAAAGTCTACCATGTGCACGAATAATTTTGTCCCAAATGAGCACGAAAACTTCTCACCAGGTTGTGAACGACGCCTGTCAATTAGTGCTTTTGTTCAACTTTTCTGTCAGAAACATTCTGTGACACCATACAGCTTTTGAACCACAGTCGATCGATTCACTACCGCTTGCAAAGTAACCAGTTGGCACTCCTGATCGAAGCTGAGGCTGATGTTTCGGTGCTTCTCACAAGTGACTCACAAGACACTGATTATCAATACAAGATTAAGATTGGTTCAAACGGGAGTATCACTTTGAGTAGCAAGACCAACGAATGTGAACAACGGATCGAATCGAACGTTACTTTGTTGAAAGACAACGAAACACGGCTATTCTGGCTGGATATACAAACGGACCGGCTGGTGTTTGGTTCCGGAGAACAGGTATAATAAAAAATGCTGCATTTTCCATAACTCTTTTTAAAATGTCAGTATTTGGGAGTGAGCGATGGAGCGAGGTGGGCGAGAGAAAAAAGAGACTGAGAGAAGGACACTTCTGTCGCTCGCTCTTCTCTCGTCTCCACTGACCAAAAGCATGGCTCGGCTGACATTGATAGTTCCCTATCGGTAGAAAGAAACAAAGCAGAAAAAACAAACATAAAAACAAATATCCTTGGTTTATCAACAGCCATCTTCTCTTTTGCTTCATATAGATTTACCTATTCTGGAGAGAAGCAAAACTGATCAAGATCAAGTACGCTGTCTTTAACACAACAACTTCCTCAGCCTCGTTTCAGATCTGTCCAATCATGGGTTAGTACTGACATGAAATAACAACTAAAGTAAAGTTAAAAGTTACAGATCTTTGTAATTGCTGCTTTGGAAAAGCAATGCTTCTCACCAATTCAACGGTTCTACTCTTTGTTACTCCTTTGTTATGTTACTACTTCCCAATCAGTGGCGTATGTAACAGTTACGATTTCGCTTATTAAGTCGATAGCAGTGAAAGTGGATGATCAGTTTTTTGGCTAGAATTGGTCAGGGGTGCCAAAAAATTTTAATTGACTATTCGTTAAATCAATCACGTCTCCGTCTGAATACTTCACAGACACATTTGATGGCGCTCTCTATAGTTAACCGCTATTAATTCACCGAAATGGAGATGAATGTTTATCTTGGCCTATTCAAAAAAAGTGAGATAATGTAGCTTAAAAAAGTTGCAATATTTTCGGGCACAAATCCTGCGCGAGTTGCTTGGAGGTTAATTGCAAAGGATATTGGACTTTGAGTTGCTAATTAGAGTGCGCCTTCAGCGCTATCCACTGTTTTAGTATATACTTAACTGTTATTACTCTCAATTTTCTGCCTTCAGGAGTCATTAAACGTCTCAATATCACCGTGAGATCTGAAGCACGTCACACAGTTGGCAGGAATTTGCCAAATGGTTTGGCTTTCATTTGGGTTAACAATGAGAACTATGCTCCACAGAACGAAGGGTACAATATTGCAGTTTTTGACGCCCTGTCAGGTTGGTGTAAAGTGTTGATCAGTCATGAAAAGAAGGCAAAAGATGATTCGTACATTAATAATATTCTCATCTTGAGAGTTGTCTGTTAAATCTCCAGCGATGTTTATAGCAGTGGCGGATCAACACTGAGGGAAGGGGAAATGGCAACTAGTCTCCTCTCCGCCTTATATTTAGACCAAACCCCAAGCTCGTAAGGGTAGAGTGCCAACCACGCTTTAACGTTAAGAACGTGTTTTCGTCTCGAGCAACTGGCTTTATTTCCAGTGGCATAGTGTCGTTTGACCTCTTTTGGCGGGCTTTCACATTTGACAATCATTTACCTTCCGAAACTGGAGGGTTGCCTTTGATAACACCGTGATTTTAAGGTCAAAACCACGTAACAAACTTTTCATTTGTCTCACACTGAAAATTGTAATTACTTACTTTGGTCAAATCAATTTTCAAGAACAGACCCCCATTACTTCGCATCCAGACCCCTTGCCATAACGTGCTGTCCTTTGGTTTGCTCTTACTCTTGCTGGTGGTTACCAAAATGGATAATGGTAGGCTTAGTTTCTCTGTTTTATCATGCAGGTCGTTTCCTCACCTCCGCTGCGTTCAACTGCTATACAAGCCAAGATGAGTGCGACAAGCTGGGTGTGTTCCTGAAGGGCTTACCTTCGGATGCTATAGTTTTGCTGGCAGTACAGGACTCCGCAGTCGGCTCTTACAAACTTCCAACGAGTGACCTAATCGGCATTGGTGCACAAAAAGCTAACCGCGTTGTTGGGCAAACTTCTCACGCTGTTATTGGATACAAAGGACAGAGAAGTGTGACGTGGATAAAGGAAAATTATAAAGAGAGCGGTGGAGAACCGGCTGTAGTGTCATCAAGCATTCCAATTAGCTTTCTGTACCTACCAGAAGGTAAAAGAAAAACTCTGTTACTTTTAGGGTGGGGCGGGAGCTTTTTCTCTTTTTTACTATTTGAGTTCGAATCTATTTTATACTCGCTTTTTTTTTTTAACTTTTTAGGGACCAGTCATGATGTGATCCCCTGTAAGGCTCTGTATTTTAAATATGATCCCTCTTCATTGGAAGTTAACTAGCTGTAAATTTTCAATGGCCTTTATACTCTCATGGCGACGACTGATTTCCCCCTCCCATTCCTCCCGAAAACCATGTGTGACTTACCCACCTCCCCCCCTTTAGAAAATCACCTTACCCCCCCAGGCTGTAAACGAGGGCTGGTACTTTATTTTACGCCTTTTGGCCCGAGCAACACGGATAGTACTGTTATCTTCACTACTTTCTTTTGCAAAAGCTTTTTATCTCTATCCCTCTCAGATTCCACAAGCTGTACTCCGTTCAACGTGGCTTCACAAAAGTATGGAGGCAGCTGTTTGAATCAGTCCTCGAGTAGCGGAGCTTCGAGTGGCTGCGAAAAAGTCCTTGATGAGAGCACAGCTATTGGCTGGAAGTTGTCTACGAATGAGAGCATCCACTCCTTTTTCGAAATCGGTTTTCACTCCACTTTCATCATCAACAAGCTGCGAATCATGCAAATGACGACTCCAGGACGACGGATCCAAAACATTTTGTTGGAGTTTAGCGACCATTCAGAAGAAAATGTAAGGAACTATTTCTTTGACGAGCTGGGTCGCAATACTTGATGCTAATCGATCTAACTACGTTACTGGGGATTTAAAGTCATGGTTAAGGAAAATACATAAAATGAATAGACAAGCTTGATTGTCCAGTCTACATGTACCATATTTTTCATTCATTCGCACTGAAAAGTTCCTGAAAAGACAGTACTCACGATGTATCTGTGGTAGGCGTGAACCAAACTTTGCTCAAAAATGTGAGAATCTGTTTTAAATAGAGACCAGCCTTTGTGTTTTGCAACCTACACATATCTATACAAATAGATATGACATTTTCCTTTGTTTAATTTTTCTTTTTTTCATTGTATACTGCAGATCAGCCTTAAAGAAAAATCATTTGATTTTGAGGAGTTTGTCTTCTCATTCCGCAAAGTAGACTGGGTTAGATTTACAATAACAGATGTGTATAATGGCAGCGGGGGAGTTGGAATACAGGAAATTGAATTCTACAATGGAATGTGCAAACAAAGTAAGTTGTTAAAGAAAGTTGCCGTTAATAGCAAGTAAGTACAGTAAACAAAGTAATTGGTTTTTGCAAATCAGACTATTGCCGGCAAGAATGTACAGGTTAGGTTAATGGCGGAATACAGGCGTGAAGAAATAAATAAACAAAATGTAAGAGGAACGAGCGAACTGCACATGTACTGATTGAATGAATGACTATAAAATCCAAATTACTTCATGACTGTCTGTCATTATTTAAATTATTTCTGACTATCTGTCTGTCTGTCTGACTGAGTGACTCACCTGACTGCCTGGATGAACGGACCAATGAATGAATGCGGAGTGAATAAAAACAACGTCTATGAATAGCTTTACAAGCATCAATATCCCTTTTTGTAAAGTTCTTGTATGTCTATTAATTGGAGGAAATGGTAACTCTCTTTTCTTTTATTGATATACCATTACCAGTCTAAAGGAGCTTCACTTTGCTTACAACCAGGGCAAGCCTTCAGGAAGTCCTGTAATTTCTCTTTGTATTTCTTTTAGAAACAATTTGTGACGCCATCCAGCTCTTAAGCCACAGCCAATCAGTTCCCTACCGTCTACACTCCACTCAGTTCCCGCTGATGGTCAACTCAAGAGACAATGTCTCAGTGTCACTCACAAGTACTTCACGCGTCGACAGCCATGGATATAAGATTGAAATTATTGCCAATGGGGAAGTGATCTTGAAAAGTAACGATGACGAGATTAAACAAGTGATGAAATCCAACGTTACTCTGTTAAAAGAAAACGAAACACGGCTATTTTGGGTGGAGATACAAGCGGAACGATTGGTTTTTGGTTCCGGAGATAAGGTATGATAAGTTCTCATTGGCTGAATCAGTTGTAGACGTATTTTAGTTCAACTTCCGATCTATTGAACAACAGACGCATAGATAACGACATTATTAGCAAAAATTTTCTTTTTTATCACACGAAACAAATAAATTCCGTGTTGCCGTAGGTCTGTACAGTAATACGTCTCAGAAGACGCCAAAATCTGGTGAGAACATTAGCTCCATGTGAGCCACTTTTTTGTTCTGACCACATTTTGAAGTTAACTGTCATCTATTACCGAACAGACACGCGGTTGCATGGAATCTATTTGTTGAATAGACAGTCTGCGTCAGTTTAGTGACCAGAAATATCTGCCAATCCTTTGATGAAGCTTGTTACCATTCTTCCTCCCAAATATCTTACTAATTGAACAGCTCACCTTAGAAAAATTTTAGTGGTCTCTGAAGCCGCGAATTTCTTTCACCCTGCCCATAAATATATCCCCAAGAAAGCAAACACTTCACGTCACATTGTCGAGCTTTGACGATCTTGAATATGGAAGAACTTGCTAAATATGAGATGTACCCCGTGAGACGCTATTTACGATGTAAAGGTTGATTTGAATAACTTTCGAATCAGCGATATTTGTATGTTTCAAACAGCACACTTTTTTTAGAAATCTCGTATCATTAATTGAAGAAATATTGTCATGATAGATTTACCTGTTCTGGAGGGATGCGAAACCAATCAAGACAAAGTATGCTTTCTTCTCAACAACGAGTTCAACAGCCATGATCCAGGTCTGTGCACGTATAGGTAAGTAATTTTTTTTTTTTATAAAATTCAGAGACAGTTACTTAAATCAGTAGTATTTATCGTTAACACTTACAGTGGCACAGCACGGCTACTTTTACCGTAATTCATAATGAATTCACTAGATTCAGCACTGAAAATCAGCGCTTACGACCGAAGGAAGTAAAGGTGACAAGTAATGTAGATTAAATTTCCTCTTCGTTTCCCCTTAAATCAGATTACTAAGTTTTGGGCGAGTGACTTCGGCCGGTGACACTGCCGCACTGTAACACAACAAAGACTTTTCCGGTGCAGAGGCATCACTTCGATAAATGGTAGCTAATTTCAAAGGGGGGAACGCTGAGATACCTGTAGTGAGTTCAAGAGGCGCGGATTCCTTCACGACCCCTCATCAGCGCCTCTTGTCAGTCTATCGCTCATTTGTCTGTGCCCCTGAAACGCGTAGCAGGCCACATTCCACGATTTTCACTTGACGTATTTTTCAGATTATTGCTACAAAGACGCTTCTCATTATTGGCCATTGGACAAGTCCACATTTTATCAACAAGATTTGAAAGGTGACCAATCTCTGCCGGGAAAGATACACGGTCCGTGGATCCTACATTACGTACCTGCCAACTTAAGCTTCACACCGCTGGCACTTTCCCCCTCTGGCTCGCATTCTTGGATTGATCTTGGTTCCAAAAAAGACAACGAAGAAAGCTGTCTTTTCAACCCTTTGCATTGCCAGAACGGAATTTCTGTTAGCTTTAAAGCCAATCTTTCAGCAAACGGAACTGGTTATATTTTATCTTCAGGCGGGCAAGGCTCAGGTGGTTTTTCAATTTACCATGTCGATGATGTCATGCATTTTAATCTGCGTGATGGTCAGCGGATCTGGCAGGTCCAGGGATCGTATGAAAAGAACGCATGGCACGCATTTGTGGTGAGCTGGAGTCAAGGAGACGGTCTAACCGCAGTTATTAGCGGAGAGTCAACCAGTGTGTTGCGTGACACAGCTGGAAGGATTTTCACGCCAAAGCAAGCCTCTCACTCTTCTTTGAGAATAGGTCCAGGAGTCCATGCAGATGTTGTGCTAAGAGATGTAGCCATATGGGAAGACGCAATTGCTGAGGAGAGGATGTCGACACTGCTCGGCTGTAACGGTGAGCGTACGAAGATCTTCATTCTACAAAATGCATTTTTCTCTTCGCTATCTCGCCTAAGGAGTCCGTAAGTTATTCACGCGAAAAATTTATTATAACCAACAGGAAATTCTGATCCGGTGGTTTACATGTATCTTATTCAACTCCTTCTGAAGGGACGATGAAATAGATAGATAGAGAGACACCTTTATTTAAAAATAACCGATGGTGAAACTCAGGGTAGTCCTGTCAGAAGCCTAACGGTAGAGTTTCCTGCCATCACTAGGAGCCCTGAGTTTAAATATATTCTGAATACCAATTCATAAAAAGTATCTGTAAAAACATTTACAATATACGTGATCTAGTGATAGATGCAACATTTTTGATACAATTGAAGATGTCTTTTATGTCAGAATTGTCACGGTAAGAATGCCACAGGGTGTTTTGTTTCAGCGCTGATTCGGTAACAGTTTATCTTAATTCCCTATCACAGTTCCTTGGAATTACTTGGGTTGCTATGAAGACAGTACGATTTTACCAAGGTTCGTTTTCAATCCAGGTGATTACCGAGTTAGCAGAATGACTCCTGGTCTTTGCATGCACTTGTGCGGCAATTTCAACTTCAGTTATGCAGGATTGAGGGATGACAACATATGTCTGTGTTCCAATTCTACGGCAAACGTGACAGAACGTCCTCGAGATCTGTGCCTATCTGCGTGCCTTGGTGCTGGAAATCTTAAGTGCGGTGGAGGATCTTACCTATCCGTTTACAAGTCAGTCCAAGTGCAACCTCTAACCTTAAACCTGTCAGCTGATTCTTCCGCTGTGGCTCTCACCGCGTTCAACTTAAAAATAAAAATATTACCTTCTCTCTCAGAGGACCAAATTGTTGAGTCTTACGTACTATTTGTGGGGGACGGTGTGAACTTTTTGAATTATAATGAGACGAAGTCTGAAGCTACGCTTATATTCAGTGACCCGGGAAACTACCCCATTAAGGGGAGAGCGATTGTAAAACATACAAAAACTGGCCATCGGTCAGCGGTGGAGTCTTTCATGATAACACCAGCGGTGTCTAATGTTACGGATATCGCGTTCATCTGTCCTACGGCGTATCCTGTGAATTTTACGTTCAGCTGCTCTCTGCAATTTAGTCAAGGAACAAACGTGAACGCTACTATAGAGTTTGAAGGAGGATATTACAGTTCTGGTTTTGTTCCGGGTAAGTTTTGCTACACTGATAATCTAGTGAATTTGTCGGACTGTTTGGAGACTACATTCATATGTCTTTGAGTTAGCCACTTAATCAGTCAGTCAGTCAGTCAGTCAGTCCGTATGTCAGTCAGTCAGACAGTCAGTAGACAGTCAGTCAGTTGGTCGGTCAGTTAGTCAGTCCGTCAAATGAATAGAGGGGGTTCGTTTCTGAGGAAACTGTGGTGCTGCGTCAGTGGGGACCGAGTGTAACATGACAATTTAGTTTTATCAGTTCAACTGAGTTGATAATGCGCACTGACCACCATAAAACTAACGTTTAGATTGTTAGCCATTCGTCAGAGCCGTCAGTCAGTCGGACAGTCAATCAGGCAGACAGGCAGGCACTCACTCTATTGAGCAGGAGGTAAACAGCAAAGAATCAGATATTCAGTCAGTAAGATAGAAAAACAGACTGTCATTCGGGCAGTCGGTCGTGCATGCAGGCAAGTAGACCGGCAATGGACAGTGATTTGTTTTTTTAGCGCAAGCAATATATTTTTATGTATAGATGCCATGATAATGACTGCGGGCATACCAGTTTCTGACCCAGGGGGCCAGGTTACTTCTGACGGACTGTACCTGTTACCTACAATGGACGTCACAAACAAAGGAAAAGCTGTGGCTTTTGAAATGGATGTCGATCGAGGAGGCTTCCTAGAAATCAAGGTACCTATGAGTAGAAGTTTTTTCGCCTGAATATTCTAATTCTGTGTTTGAAGAAAAAGGAATCCCTGCAAAAATGTCTTCCGAAATCATTTCTTTTAAATTTTTGTTTTAATACGTTTTTAAATTTATTTTCTTCATTCAAAAGTATCACAAAGTTGCCATTGTATAATAGAAAGAAGTAAGTATTAATGATGCAACAAAACTGGCCTTTGTCTTCACCTCCCCACCCCTCCCCCCTTCAGCTGTACCAATTCTTGACTAAAACCAGTTCTCTGAGTTTTTGTTCTTTCTGAGTTTTATTCTGGGTCGTAGAGCTGTGTATCTCTGGGTATCTGTATTCTCATGTTTAATTTTGCCTGGATTTAACACTACGTGTCAGTGACACGAAGTACAAAATTTTAAACCTTTGTAACTTGGCTTTACAGAACATATCATATTTGGATTGTAAAATTGCAGTAAATTGTTGCCAACACGTAAAGCCAATTTTTACAGTCCAGAACCTAGAATTGCTTGAATACTCAAAAGTGTTGTTTCTGTGAGCGTTTTCCATGGATTCGCGGAATAAAGACAACAGCTCTATTTTTAATTTGTGTGCCCTAGGTTTATCGCCCGAAGTGTTTAGATTCCAAGCAGCGTTACTGTCGAGTACAAAGGATGTGTGATTCCTCTGTTGGTTGCTGGGATGGTAATAAAACATTTAGCTTTGAAGGAAAACAGTGCGTCAAGGAAGATGGGGCATTCAGCGAAAACAAAACGACGTCCCAAGCAAACTTTGATTACGAAAATATCTCAAATTGTACGATTCAGACAACCAGCGGCCATAAGGTTATTTTAGTCGAGAGTTGCACTCAGCAACTTGAGGTTGAAGAAGGCGATGTCATTGCTGTGCAATTTCCTTCTTCTAAGCCAGGTGCGGCAATTAAAACAAGTTTGTCAAGTATTTCTCTTTTTTATAACACGTCGCTCTCAGGTGGTACCGAAATTCTTCGCAGTAATCGCCATCCGGTAACAGCTTCAAGTCCAACAGAACTTCGTCATGCGCCCGCAATAGCCATTTTATACACCGCATTGTCTGGGAGAAGCGTTGATCATCTATATCAGACACCCGGAAATAAATCAGTTTCTCTTACACTAAAGAATTCATACGGCAAGTTCAACTTTACAGCACAGATTTTTGTCCAAGAACCGATAAAAGGACTCGAGTTAAGCTCGCCTGACACTTTCGCATTGTTAGAACCCGTTAATATCACCACTGATAAAACTAGTGGCACTGATTTAACATACTATTGGGAATTCAGCGACGGTGAAAAGAGCATAACGTTTTCTCCGTTTGTGACCCACAATTTTACGAGTATCGGAGAAGTGGATATCTTTGTCTTTGCGACAAACGATGTAAGCTTAGCTTCTTTTCGGTGTTCGGTTGATGTTCAGGAAAGAATTGAAGGCTTAAAATTTAGGAACAATTCCCTTTTGCCCGTTGAAAATGGAACACTAGTTAGCATTGACTGGCTTCTTCGTAAAGGATCACACGTTAACTTTAACTTCAGCATCACATCCAAGGAGTCTGGATACAAGTTTAACAAGTATTTTGATAACGCCAAGACCGTTAATACAATATTGTTCTCCATTTATAAAACAAAATTCAGTATCCCTGACTTGTACCTCATCACAATCATAGCTGCAAATAGGGTAAACAATTTGACTCTCAGAGGAAACTTGAGCGTAGAGCAAAATCTTACCAGTATTGAAATGAAATTTCCTCCTTTGGTAAAAACAAACCATAAATTTAAATTCGTCATGTCGCCCCACCAAGGAGACAGAACAGCCACTTATACTCTGAATATTACTGGAGGGATGGATTCCATATTTAAGAAAATTAACACCTATCAAAAAAGTATATCATATGTGTACAAAAAGGCGGGAAACTACTCAGTCGTCTTAAGTGCTGTGAACGATATCAGTTCACTCGTCCAAGGCTACTCAAACATGATCGTTCAAGACGAGATAAAAAGTTTTTCTTTCAATGACCCAGCTGGTGATGTTATCATACAGAATAAGAGTGAAAGGGTAAACATAAGGTGGTCGTTAATTCAAGGAACGGATGTAGAAATTGTTATTGACTACGGTGACGGTTACAACGAATCTTGGGTCATCCCAAATGAGAACATACTTTACACAAACACAACAACCTATGATTACAAGGAACCTGGAGAATATACCATCAGTTTCAAAGCCAAGAATCTTGTGAGTGAAAAGTCATTAAACAAGACAGTTTACGTTGATCCATATGAACTTGACATCAGGTGAGTACTTTAACTGTAGAGCAAGCAATGACGAATACAACCCCTTCTTAGTTCTTCAAATCAGGGTCAGAATCGAAATTTTCTAGGTAATCCCGCACATCATCATTCGGACGATTTAAACTGCCTTTACTTCCTCTTCGTCGAATAACTACTCGGATGTGAAATGAAAAAGTCTGCTCCTTGTTGCTTTGATGTAAGGAGATTTAGACAGGATTATTCACCTATGCTCGTAATTTGATACTAAAAGCGTGTAGAGAGTTACCGATTCTGTTTTCGGGGGTGGGGGTGTGTTTGGGAGCAATTTTTATTTGGGTGTCTTCGTAATCCCGCAATTACATTTCTTTGACTTGCTTCACGCTTAACTTGGTATTGTTCAGTTGAAGTCGCTCACCTTTCTCAACGTCTTGGTCACGCGCGTGTTTCCCCGTTTTTGAAATTTACATCTATTATCCAACGATTTCATGGGCTCTTTGAGATAATTAACTCTGTTATGATTGACCGTCATGATTAGTTTGTTTTTGGTTCTAAAAGCGACAACAACACAGAATCGAAAATACAAACTAAAGTTTAACGCCACTCTGGTACTCATTTCGAAATGGTTTACATGTAGTCAGAGGGTAAGTGTCAGTATCTGAGCAACTGCGCACCTACCCCTCCCTTAACCCGACAAAATTCGTCTAATAACAGTGTTAGTGTTATAGTCGAGATAGGGTAGGGGTAGGTGCGCGACTGCTCAGATCAATGACCTTGAACCGAGTGAAAATAAATTTATTGAGCACAAATTTATTATTCTTCCTTCGTTTCAGCTGTGCGCAATGTGGGAAGGAAGGAAACCGATATGTTGCTAACCCTTCCAGCAAAATAACGTTTAAAGGATATGGAGAAACCAAAGGAGGCAAATCGATCAAATTCAAGTGGAAAGTAAAAAATTGTTCTGCAGACGGGAACGACTGCTCAGTGGCGATGGACTTGAAGGGTTATAACAGCACCCCATTGAATTGGAAATATTTTGTTATTAGACCCGACAAACTTCAAGGTAACCTACATAACTTGACATAAGAGGGCGTTACTAGGCATAACAACGAAACAGAATGAAAATAACTTAAGTTATTGTACCATTACAAAACGTACATTCTGGTGACATGATGTCGCAGCATGAGGCAACTCTACAAGCGTAATGTCACGTGAGGTTTCATGACTCATCTTAACCCTTTAGCTCCAGAAGTGATTGACATATTAATTCTCCCACTAATATCCATACACCATTTAGCAAACAGGTAATGAGAATACTCGAACTTATCAGGTAGAAGTTGTTATCTTGATTCAAAATCAAACTCTTGTAACTTATTCACAAATAAATATATAGCAACTTGAGGGGAGAATTAATATTTAGATCTTGGAAGTCAAAGGGTTAAAAGTGATGCGCTATGTTACTAAAAATAGATTTGTCACTAGAGAGTGTCGCACAGACTCAGACAAATTTCAAACCAGGAACATTATCGTCATCACAGGTTAAAACCGTTAGAGATGGATGCAAAGCGCCCTCCATTCATATGCATTTTCCTTATCACAGACTTGTATGTCTGAGTCACGAGGGGAGGTCTGAAAACTCCTGACGTCTTAAGTGCGCTGCGCTATTTAAAGTAACGTCACGTAACCTGTTGGAGTATAACTTGACGTCACCCGACGTAAAAGAACGTCACACAGCGTTTCGTATGAAATGATAAAAATGTGTTTCTTCTTAAAGAGGTCTAGAGGGGACAACTTCCATATTTTGTTTTGTAGGTGGTGTAATATATAAGATCATCTTATTTGGAAATGTTGTCGGTGGAAAGGAAAGAGCAAAAGAAGTAACAGTCAGGGCGAACACGCCTCCTTCAAAAGGGAATTGTACAGTCACGCCGACGGAGGGCCAAGCTCTGGAAACGCTTTTCAACTTGACCTGTAATGGATTCAATGACACCGATAAACCAATATACTATGAATTTCTGTACTCCAAGAGTCCGAGAGACTTAAACCAAAGTTTAGGTAGTGGACCAGACCCTTGGCAGAATAATGTTATCCTTTCTAGTGGGGACAACATCACAATATACGCCAAAGTTTCGGACTCAGAAGGGGCCACCACAATCGTAACGTTCACATCAGCTGTTAAGGTAAGTGAACGCGTCGATATTTGATGCAAGCAATCCAGGTCATCCAAGGAAACAGTCATCACCTATCACCCGAGGGGTCGTAGGATTTACCTGATTTTCCCCCCCCCCCTCAATGGCAGTTAATTTTCTAAAGTACCCCCTTTCATACTCTGTTGGCGATGACTGGTCTCCCCTCCGTCCTCTCTAAAAACCATCTGATTCCCCCAAAATCCTCCCACACCCCCACCTTAGGCGATAGAGTGACTGGTCCCTAACTTTAAGCTAGCTCTGAATATATTGCTCTCTTGCTAAAAGGTCAGTAACTTAATCTGTAGGGATGCAACATTATTTGCGCATCTTGAACATTTTTGTCTTACTTTTGTGGGTTTATTATTTGCAATCTGCGGCAAGCTTCTCCATTCCTTGGTATATCATTATCTTTTTACTTTACTGTAATAGTATTTTCCGTCATCTTCAGGGTGATGGTTCATATGCTAAGGAAAATAAGTCTCCAAAAATCGTAAGGTAGCTCCCTTAAATTCTTTGGTATTGGCGTGAATTAAAAAAGATGATCTGAGTTCCCCGTGAGAACTCTTTCTAACCCTCTGGATTGAGTTAGGCTCTCGGTTTTCAATGGCAGTAATGCTAGCCAAAAACTGCAAGGGTCTTGGCAGTAAACAGACAAACAATAGCGACCTTTTTCTCCAAAAACCGCCATTAACGACTCTCGCGTTTTTTTGTTTGTCTTCATTGAGCAAGTACCTAGAAGAAGGCCACTACCTTAGGAGCCAAGGAAGTTTTTCTCTTTGGCGTAGGAATAACGTAATGAAGTAAGCGTCTTTAAACTAGGCCATTAGTATATGATTATTGGTGTTTATTGATGTTGTAGGTAAAAACACTGCCCGTAAGCTACGCAGACATGACAAAAAAAGCTGAGGGACTTCTGAATTCTACTAAAGGAGACATGAGGCGCACCACGTCTATTGCTCTCACCACTGCTGAGGTTTTGAACGAAAAGAGTGCGTCAACCCAAAGTGATGAAAGCGAGGTGGAAAAAAAAGTGGAGGTAAACTTACGATAGGTTAAAACTTGTACACTGAAAAGGTTGACATTGGTGTAAATGCAGCCTCGTGTGAAGTTGAAGGTTTCATACAACACGTACCCTAAATAACAAAGAGTTCCAAGGAAAATATGACGTTTGAATGATGTATGATCGTTAGTCTCACTATACAGTCCTTACAATGTTGTTACACGGTGAGCAAAACGACTACACCCAATTACAAGCGTATTGGTCACGTTTTCCAGCTGCAATATTTTTTCACAATGTTGATAAAAAGCCTGTCAAGTGATATAAAATGTTTAAACGGTGCAGTTTCAGAACAGTTAAACATTCGATAGCGTAATACAATATTTATCTGTGACTTGTTGGTTTGCAGAGCAGCCGCTCGGTGAGAACTGGATTATCTCACGCATTAGAAAGAAGACACGCGTACTGTGAGTCGTGTGCGTGTGGGTACTCACCTGGATTTACCCACGCGTGTACCCATGCATTTGTTCTGTCGGCGGCATGGTGAAAAACTCGTCTTGTGTGTCATGCGCGCGTGACCATTCCATCGTGTGCGCGTGAATTTTCGATCGCGTTTACACTTGCCTGTGACTGCTAGGCAGGCTAGTTCGATGTTTATTAACTACACGTTTGTTTTCTCGACAGCTGAGAGAAAAACTTGTGGAATATGTGGAATCTAGCGTTAGAGCGACACTGAATACCAGCGTGTCGGATGTTAGACAAATTGCTGGCACTCTTACTGTGGTAACAAGCAAACCCGAACAAAACACAAATATTATGTTGGTAGGTGCCCGTGTTTGTGCTCTGTTTCTTTCACCTTCTTCATTAGCAATTCTCTTCACTGTCTGCCAAATGATTTTCGTTGTGTTAGTTTGGAGAATTTGGTATCGGATCAATTAGTAATTCCATAATTGATATTTTTCTTTATTCTCATCACCTGTCTGCATGACATTGTATAGATGTAGTACGAAGAAAATTCTGTCTTGGTCACCCACGGGAGTTAAAGGATTAAGATTTAACTCAAGTCTCAGTTTTATTTTACTCCAGAGCATAGGCTTCCTGAAAAAGGAACGATTAAAAATTGTACGTGCATCAAGAATTTAGTACAATGCTTCTTTTAAATGGAGGGAGAAATGAAAAGAAAAAGAGACGATAAACTTTGGAGCTGGGGCAAGAATCATTGCAAAACGTATCAGTGGCAAAACGCCAGGTCACGGAATTGAACCTGGGTCACAGCGCTGCGTGGAAAGTGCGAAATTTTTTCAGGACATTACTCTTCCCTATCATACAACGATTATGAGCTGAACAATAGTAGCACGGTTGTCCAATCACAGTGAGGCTATTCTCTCAAAACAGAATGTGTTAAGCAATGATTGTGTAGCGGGAAATGCAGCTGGTATAGAAGACTGAGTTTAACTAACACTAACTTACACTAAACTGTCGTGTTGACGTTTTTGTTTTATATATGGTAAAGCCCTATCTCTGTTGTGTCGTCTTAAACAGGAGAAACTCTCCGACCTCTATGATAACGCAAGTAAAACAATCTTCGAAATTGCTATCCACAAAAGGGCACCTAGCGAGAAATTAAAAGAGGCATCGGCAGCAGTGCTGAACGGAGCCGTTAATCTCATCAGAACGGTGAACTTCACTCGAGGAGGTGAAAAGGTAAGATATGCATTTGGTTCAGTTGAAAATCGTTGTGATGATGCGTGATGCAATGCAAGTACATTTTGCGGAAGAGAATAACAATTAATAATTTATTACTTATATAGCGCAAAATACATGTGGATATGATCTAATGCGCTAAGAGAGAAAAGACGACTGAACGGATTAAATTAGAAGTCGCCGCCACTCTTCGCTGGGATTTTTGTCGCGGAAACGATTTTTGGTGTGAAATTGATAATTTCTGTGAAAGTCTTTTTCCTCAACGAAATTTGTGCAATAATCGCCGTGATAAGGTGTCTAGGTACGAGGGCGCGAGAGCTTTTTGCGAGTTATGCCTACGAGGCAAGTCATCGTAACTTGTTTCGGTAATCGACGACTTAACAGTAACAGTACTTTCCTCGAGAATAAAGTGTCTATCTTACCCAAGCACAAGGCAGCAGCGTGACCCAGTCCCCAGCTAGGGGTTGTATCCGCACCTTTCGATCTGGAGTCCCGCGCGCTGAGCATCAGACTTCCAAAGTCTCACAGACTTTATATGTAGAAGTTAATTTAAGCGTTACGTTTGAAAAGGTTTTGTTTCGTTTCATAAGCTGTCGTCTAAGATAGCACTATGTTTTTTAGTTGCCGTTTGAAGACTCGAACACAACAGAAAAAAATACAACAGAGAGAGTCATCGGAACGCTTGATAGACTGTCGCAAGCTCTTGTAATTTCAATGGTCGATGGAGAGGAGCCAACGACTATCGACAATGAAGTTCTCTCAATGGGACTTTCACTTGAAGGTGCTGAGTTTATCGGCAAGAAGCCCTACAAAGTTGGTGACAGTGAAGTGAAGATTCCAGAAGGAACGATTGAGCTAGGAGATGAAATCCTCAATCAAGTGGTATGTTGAGTTTGATATGGTAACTAAACCCTCCAAAGGTTTAAATAGTTAGAGAACAAATTCGTATATTCCTTCGATTTGTTTTTCTTAGAGCATACTTTCTGCGATAAAACTGTTCCCCGAGGGAAACGACTCTGGCCGCCTAAATGACAGCAAGTTCGTACGCTTTTCATTGTTCGAGGTAAATGCTGCCGACAACAGTCGCAAAGCTGAGCATGAAGTGAAAAATCTGACGACTGGGAAAGAAATCAGTGTCATAATCCCGCTAACTCTTACGCAATTGGACAGAAGTTTACGTCGGGCTGAGAGGAAGCTGTTTCTGTCTCAATACAGTGCGTATTCGTTTGAAATTAAAGACAATATTTCTACCGTCACGTTTGAAGTTACAACGGAGGCTCCTGTCGATGTCGAGATATTTGTCACCATAGGCCGTGAACCTAACATATCCCAGCATTTGTTCAACTTCAGCGCTAACTTCTTGGCTGAGAATTACATTTTACAAAACAAGGTGGCAAATTTGTCGAATTCAACTCTTCAGTCCTATTCCCACAGATTACTTTTGGCTGATGATGTCGTAAATTTCACAGTTGCTGGAAGATACTTCGCCAAGATCATCTTCAAGAAGCCCAGCAATCTCACATGGCTCCCTGACGAAATATTCACTGAAGAAATAGATTATAACATCTCTGTTTATCGATCTTGGTGTATGTTCTTCGACGAGGGAAATAATTCCTTGTCAACAGAGGGAGTCAAGGTAAAGAAACTTGGACATTTTTACTGAGGGGGAAAGACCAGTCGTTATGCATCACCTTGCGGGGGAGGGGGGGGGCGTTGACGGATCCACATGGTTTTCAACGGGGATCAGTCGTTGGCAACAGAGTTTAAAGGGAAAGATAACAGTGACGTGAGTCCACGATTAGGGATGCAGTCTCAGTTTGAGATATTCCAGACAGAGTCGTCATACATTGTTACAAATCCAATTTCAGGGAAGGAAGAGATATTCAGGGTTAAAAAGTAGTCTCACACTTAAGAGTGTTCGCTTTTTACTCAGTCTTTTACCTTAATTTGAACGATGTTCTGATCAGTTCTGTGTTGTGAAATACGAGTTACAAGGAAAAATGATTGAAATGTGTGCAATCCGAGACGCCATAGGGAACTCTGTGTACTTATCCATAAAGAGGGTCGTGAGACCATGACCCTGGCTTTATCAAGCTTGGGAAAGTGCATTTTGGTTCCTCAATACAACTCATGCGGTGTTTCATGTTTTCTCTTTTTTGTGATAGGTGGGGCCGAAAACAAACCTCACTCACGTCGAATGCCTTACCACGCACTTGACTACATTTGGAAGCGATTTCTTTGTGCCACCGAACAGATTGGACTTTAACGAGTTTAGTCTGCATGAACTGTTTCAGAGCCCTCACGCTCTGATTGCAGTGTGTACAATTCTTGGTCTTTACTTTCTGTGTCTAATCGTTGTCATACGTGCCGATAAGAACGACGCATTAAAGGTAATCATTGTGTCCTAAGTTATGACAGAGCAATGTAACCATGAGCAAAAAAAGACTTTCTGCCTTGTTTTCTTGATTTCTTGAATCGTTGTTGATTTGGAATTGCTGTCATAATAACTTTATTTTTTTACAAGAACATAGGATCTTTATATGATTTCAACGCTTACTTTTGTTTCTCTCTGTCTTCTTATCGAGGGTTGTGTTAGTTACGAAGAAATCAGACTAAGGAAATTTCTCTACCTTGCACTCTCTTCTAACATGCAGAAAAACAGTTTGAGTGACTTAAGTCCTTAATTTTCAATACTAAGTTTAAATGTCAGTCGGATTTAATTTCCTTACCTATCAAAATATCTTATAATGTTATTTTTGCAGGCAGGAGTAACTCCACTCCTTGATAACGATTCTCGGGATACGTATTGTTACCAGATTCAAGTTCATACTGGTTTTATTCGCGGAGCTGGCACGAGTGCTGAAGTATCTATAGTTCTCACTGGCGCTTTGGGCGACAGCGAACCTCGACTTCTGAAAGATCCGAAAAGAAAAACTTTCAAGACAGGTTTGTTATCTCGCTTTGTTTGCCTTTTGCAAATTATGGGAAACCCCTTCCCAGTTGGATTATGAACGAAGCCAGAAAAATGAAGTTAAAATCAATAAGGAATGCGCGCGCATGATTTTTTACCAACACCATTAGCTATGCTTATACTAAGGGCATATACATATAAGGGTATGGTTTAGAGTGTGTCACAGAAGGGTAAGCTGGTTATACTGGCATATAATGTTACTTTGTCAAGTTACAGCAAAAAGGTATATTTTAAAAGAAGGGTTTTAAAAAGATAAAAATGGTTCATATACGTAAGTAGCGAGTCAAGGTTGAATTCTTCTCTTCGCTAGGAGCTGTCGATGCCTTTCTTTTAATCGTTCCCCAGTCGCTTGGAAACTTGAAACAGATTCGCGTGTGGCACAACAACGGTGGGACCTTTCCATCGTGGAATCTTCTGCGCATCATGATCCAAGACATACAAACTGATCAGAGGTGGTGGTTTGTTTGTGACAACTGGCTGGCGGTCGAGGAAGGTGACGGCAAAATTGAAAGGACTCTCATCCCTGCGTCTAAGAAGGAGCTGACTAAATTCAACGTCCTTTTCGCGTCTGAAGTAAGGAAGAATCTCACCGATGGCCATATTTGGTTCTCGGTCGTGGCTCGACCACCACTAAGCACTTTTACTCGAGTTCAACGCCTGACTTGTTGTTTGTCCATCTTACTGTGCACAATGCTCGCAAATGCCATGTTTTACGAAGTAGGCAAAAACGAGACAAAAAATGCCATCAAGATTATGGGCTTTAGTTTCTCGATCCAGTCAGTTTCGATAGGAATCATGAGCAGTTTGGTAGTGTTCCCAGTGAATCTCATCATTGCCACAATATTTCGGAAAGCTAGGCCGAAGGAAAGTAGATACGAAGTGAAAACCGGCGCTGACGATACAGATGACGTTGATGTCGAGAAGGATGGAGAAAAGAAGAACGCTCCTGCAAGCAAAGGACTCCCGCATTGGTTTGTGTACGTAGCATACGGCCTTGCATTTCTATCCGTGACTACTTCGGGGACGTTTGTGATAATGTATGGAATGCAGTTTGGAGCTGAAAAATCTGTAGAGTGGCTCTCCTCGATGGCTGTTAGCTTCTTGCAAGATGTCTTGTTAACACAGCCAATCAAAGTCTTCATACTAGCAACACTTTTTGCTCTCCTAATCAAAGACCCGAAGAAGGCCGAAGATGATTCATACGCGGATATCAATGCTCTTGCAAAGGACGAGGAGTGGTTGCACACGGACATCACAGACCTTGCTCCTGAAATACAGAAGACAATGAAGAAGATAATTAGCGACAGGCCGCCAGAAGAGGCAAAGCTGGAGATTGCTCGTCAGCTCCGCTTGAAAGAGAAGCAGATGAACTCCATTATCCAAGAAATTTCCTGGTATATCATCTTCTTGTTGGTTCTTCTCACCATAAGCTACACCAACAGGGACTTAGATACATCTCGGGTGACCCAATACATGAGGAATACCTTTGAAAGAGCAAGTTACAGTGGAAACCTAACTTACGACAAGGTAAGCCCGTGAACTGAGTTACATTCAATGTGACGGTAACTCTCACATGTATTATCACTTCATTTCAAGGTATACGAGTACGCTAGTGTAACAGAGTCTCGAGTTAATTATCAAAGGGGGAGAATATTAATTTAATCACTATTTCCTTAACAAGGTACACAAGATAAAGCATTACTGGAGATGGTTGAGTGAGACATTCATTCCTTCTATAAAGCCTAAAGTTCACTACGATAGTTCGACGCACTATCAAGAGCGCTATCTTGCAGACATTCCAACCGCCTTTCTTTTGGGTGTGGCGCGTCTAAGGCAGCTGAGAATTAAAAAAGGCAAGTCTTTTTTTTTGTTATTATCCATGGACCAGAGGAACTTTGTGAGAGGGCCACATAAAATGATTGTGAATAACATTCAAATAACAAGGAACGTCTTACGTTTTCAACGTGCATCCCATTGTATTACGAGAAGTAGGTGTAAACCAAAGACAACTTTTATCCCAATCATTCCAAATGTTTTGCTTGAAATTCGAGTATTTCACCAGTTCCTTAATTGGTTTTGGTATTAATAAAGATTACAATGACTGTCTTTCTTAGATACCTGCGTATACAAACGCGTTTCACGCGACATAACCGAGTGCAACGACTTCTACAGCATAAAAGAAGAGGACGATGGCTGGTATTTACCAGGTTGGAAGGCCACACAAACCGCAGGAGCTCAATCTCAGTCCCTCTCTTCTCACAGGCAAGCTTCTCAGTTAAAAGATCCTTGGATCTATAGAAGCGGAGAGGAGCTGAAGACATTCCCATATTGGGGTTACAAGGGGACGTATAGCGGTGGAGGTATGACATGCGCATGTACTCGACAGATCCTTCTTTCTTTATTAACGAGTAGTGGAGGAACTGTTTGACAAGATAAGTTGAATAAAATCGTGAGATTTTCAGCGAGCGAGAACTACATACTTTAATTCAGAACCATTGAGCGAGGAGTGTGTAAACAATGAAATGCATTGACAAATCCACGCAAGACCTTACCGTCTGTCACTGAAAGTTACGATCGAAAGAAATGGCATACCTGTGAATTCTTAAGTGCGTTGCTTTTCCTTTAACTGTATCATGATAAGTTCAGTGCCAATTTCTACCACATGAAATTGTTTAATTATTTTTATGATAAGTTCAGTGCCAATTTTTTATCGTAGTTAACTTGCTTTTATTATGAGTTTAGACTATTTTTTAACACTAATTTTTTTAACCAGCGAAATAATCAAGGCGGCTTATTTTAAGGAAACTTGTATTGTGTTTAAAGCTGTCCTCAAATTGATTGAATTGACTTGTTCAATGAAATTCATTTGAAATTTGTATTTAAGTTAAAGTTTGTCTTGTTGTTGCAGGATATGTACAGAAATTTCCACAGAATCAGGATGTCAACAAATTGCGGAAGATAATAAGAGATCTTAGCTCACAAAATTGGTTGGACCGCTACACAAGAGCTGTCTTCTCTGAATTTGCCATTTACAACGCAAACACCAACTTGTTCTGTGTTGTCACTCTTCTGTTTGAACAGCTCCCAACGGGAAGTCTGTCTCCGTATCCCAACATTGTTACCCTTCGTCTCTTCAGGTACGTCGGAGGCGAAAAGATCTTCGTGATAACATGCGAGGTTGTGTACTTTTTGTTCACTTTGTTTTTTGTGGTTAGAGAGGTCAAACTGCTGTTGAAAAAGGGAAGGGTACATCTGAAGAATCCGTGGAGCATTCTGGAAATCCTTGTTACTCTTCTTTCACTCTCTGCAGTGGGACTGTATTTCGCAAGGTTAAAACTCACCAAAGATGCGTTGAGGGATATGAAAAATGACCGAGCTGACTTCATCAGTTTCCATTACACAGCTTTCTTGGACGAGTGGCTCAAGTGTGTCATGGGCGTTATCGTATTCCTATCATTCTTGAAAGTGTTCCGTCTCTTGCGGTTCAACCGGCGCATTTCAATGCTACAGCAAGTCCTCAAAAGGTCCTTCACCAAATTGATGTCATTCATGGTCATGTTTGCACTCGCGTTTGTAGCCTATGCTTTTCTTGCATGCTTGGTGTTTGGGCAAGAAATGAAAGCGTTTGGAACATTTTTGAGAAGTTGTACTTCTTTGATGGATACATTACTCGGCAAGTTCACATTAAAGGAATTGTCAACAACCAATCGTATTCTTGGACCGATTTTCTTTTATACCTATACACTGACCATGTTGTTTGCTCTTCTGAACATTTTTATTTCCATCATCAACGATGCATTTGCTGAAGTTTGCAGCGATGTAGAGAAGCAGTCTAACGATTACGAAATACTCGACTTTATGGTTCATCGGCTGAAGGAGGTATTTGGCAGGACAGATGGCCACGCCGTTCCACCAGTCTACAGAGAGCGTAAGAGTAAACTGGAGGCTAATTTAGATAAGATCGCCGATGATGCAGATAATGCAACTCACTTCATGAGGAACATAGCATTTGAGGATATGAGGGTGACGCGGTGGTTTCAATTAGAAAACTGCACAAAAAAGAAGAAAAATTTGATGCGGCTGCTAATGGAAGTGGATTGGGATTATCACGAGGACGAACTCTGTGATTCTATACCAGTGTTCGAGAGGTTCCTTGAGAAGTACAGCGAGGAGGAACTGGAGAGAATTCTGCAGCATTACCACCAAAAACGGATGGTGGAGGACATTGTCTTCGATAAACTCAATGCTACTGGTGAATTCGACGACTCATCCGATGACAGCAACAGTGCTAGCGATGACAGCAACGATAACAATAGCGGAATCGTCAGCAACGACGAAAAGATGTTTGATGACGAGATGCCTTTGGAGGACGAAGACGGTTGCAGAGAGGAATCGAGGATTACGAAGCCAACACTCAATGCTAGCCTTTACAGCACGGAAAGCCGTCAGCAATCAGGTCTTGGTACCAAATTTGAAACGATTGGAACTCGAAGTCCCTCCCCGTCAATTGTGGATTCAGAGACAGCAACTCTGCTTGCTGGTCTTGCCACAGTGATGAGTGGCAAAGAGCTTATAAAGGCATTGAAGGATGCGCAGAGGGAAGTAGAAGATCGCTGGGTTGGTGACCCTGAGTTAGCAACCAGTTTCGAGAAGCCTTTATCCTGTGATGATATCAGTTCACTGACGTTTGACTGCTAAATAGGAAGCTCAGGTGAAGAGGACGACGGATGAGAGAGAACCGCAACAAACTGAATCAACGAGTGGAAACTAATTGAATAGCCTTTAAAAGCAAAACAGTGAGGTAATTAGTGGTTTTGGTCCGAAATCAAACTACCATTTGTATAGTTGAAAGTGTTTTAAGTCAGACTTTAGAGATGCCTATGTCGCGATGATATGTCGGTAGATTCTAATGAATTTAGATAAGCTTGTTAACACTTATGGAATTGCATTTCTTTAAGGTTTACAAATCCATAGAAAGTTTTTCATTTTATACATTAAATTTTAAGCGTTATCATCGGCTATGTGAACGTAATTTTTTGATCCTCAGCGCTATTTGTTACTACTAGCTATACGATTAGGTGTGAACCATTTCAGTGTTAGTCGAGTAATGATCTACATCCTAGGAAAGAATTCTAATTTAACTCCGAAGCCGATACGCAAGAATGCTTTACAACTTTAATTATTCGAATGGTTTCTAAATACAGATGTGAGCCTCCACATCTGTTTTTGTGGCTCAATTGACAAAAGCATGCAACTGGTGTCAGGGATGCCCAGAAATGTTTTTGCTGCAATACCTAAAATTGCATTTTAATTGTACAGATCAATTCGTCTTTTAACTTTTGATGTGGAATAAAACACTTCCTTGATCAAGCCTGGTTTCGAGCGAGGCAGAGGGAGAACCAGTTTTTTCTCTTAAAAAGTAAAAATTTATTGCTGCAATGGTTCCGCATAAGGTAGCAAGTTTATCGTGGTAGAGATGAGCAAGATATTTATCATGATATGAAGCTGAAAATATTAATTCTTAGTAACCGAGCGTGATACATATATCTTATCAGACGTTTTGGTGTGTAGTATCGCTAAGTATTTTACAAGTTGTACCGTATTTTGACGACACGGCACAACTCGTAAAATTTCTCAGCGATACTACATATAAAAATGTCCAATAAGTTATTTATTATCCAACTGCTTTTTTTCGTGTTACGTCTTTCTTCTCCGTCATTTCTTATAGAGCGGGAAAAGCAAAGCGGATAGAAACGCGTAGCGCGCACCCGACTGGCTAAACAGGTTTTTTACAATACAAAATAATGAACTGTCCAAATAACTGTCCAGTATCTCAGGATATTTGTACTATTCACGCGTTATTTGTACTCTACTTTGTGCAGTTGGATAATGAAAGGGAATATTGGCCTGAGGATTAATATTCTTCACTATGGCTCGAGCAAGGGAGGTAAATACGAAGTTTATTGTATGGTACTCCAATCAAACTTGTTTATTCTGAATTTTCTGGCTTCTGTGGAAACGGTCCATATGGCAAAACACGGATCAAGTAAGAGCCAATCAGAATACTCGGATTTACCTAAGGACTATCCGGCCATATGATAAACAATTTCATTGACAATTGAACACACATTAAGAATATTTGTTTAACAACAAAAAAAAGGAAATTACGAAACACTAAAGAGCGACAGTATCTTGAACACTAGATTTTTTTTTGTTAAGGTGGGTTAGAGGTCGAAAGGATGAGAAGAAGTGATGAAATCTGGACTGAATTCCAGCACATGTCATCTTGCAGATCTACCTCTGAAAATTTGTTTCGAGGGGCTTCCCTCAAAAAAAAGTGTGACTTTCCTTTGAAATTGTTAGATGTAATTACTTGTCCGTTTACCTCACCTAAATTGCTGTTACTCTTCGCCGAAATAACAACGATACAACACGTGATACAAACGTCACAATCATTTAGCTGTCAAGCTGTTAAGGAGCTCGGCTCATCTTTTATGGAAGAGCAGTAACCAGTAAAGTAATGCTATTTTTAAATTTAATGATACTAATAAACGACAAACAAGGTACATGGTTCAGGTGTTAGTGGTTCCTTTCTCTTACATGGGTTGAAAAATTACTTTACTCGGCATTACTCATTAACCAAGAGCCTAGCGAAAGGAATTCTTGTACAGTCCTACATTCCTGATTCCTTCAAATTGAAAATCCGTGCAGAAAAAAAGGCAGCAAATAAATTAACTTGCCGAGACAGTAAACGGAAAATGTGTTTAATGATTTGTGAAGTCAAGGATAAATGTTGGTTACGTGTGAATAATTTCTGATCTTCCGGTGGGGGTTGTCGTGACAAAGACTCTTGTCGGCGGTAGTAAGTTTTGACATCTATTGTTCCAAAAATGGTTGCGTTAATTAAGAGTGTTTAAGACGTCAATAAAGAGAAAAAAGAGAAAACGCGTTAAAACAAATCATTCCGAAGGTGGTCAAAATCCAGAAGCAATTAGGAGAAGACAAATCTGAGATAAATACAGCAACTACGTGCTGCTTGCCATTTCTGAGTCGTCAAGTGTCTGTTCCGGGTCACCGGCTGGGAAACAATAACAGAACAATATGGATTTTATTTAACGCCTCCGTGACCATGTTAATGGTTGCGTAATGAATATTTATGCCCGCGCAGTTGGGAAATTGCTTTATTCAGGGGTTATTGGAGTACTTCTTGACAAAAGATGTCAAAAGCTGTCTTGAATAGCAATCGGGACATTGAGATTCTCTGATCTTTGAGAGGATTTTTAGACGCAGCTAGAGGCGTAAACTCTACATGCAATTCTGGTGTATTTAAAAACCTCTTTAGTTCATCGGACGCATCTCTGTATCATACAAAATCGCCCTCTGGGCGCTCAAAGGTTCGAAAAGTTATCACTACAAGACGAGTGACATGTTCAAGACTCGTCGGAAAAATGCCCTTTTGGTTGCAGTGTTGCTCCTACTGACTCCCAGTTTTGTTGTAGCAACATTATCTTCGTGTACAAGCAACTCTATCGCAGACATCTCATCACCATGTAAGTTTGCACCGGGAGTTCATTCTTATACCTCGTTAACTGTCCGTACTGAAGTCTTCCTGGAGACAACCTCTGGCTCCTCGCAGCATTTCTTTAATGTCTCTCAGACGTTTGACATTCAAGCAAATGGCAGATTAGTTCTTGATTATAACAAGGAAAGTGGCAGTAATCCTGGTGCGGGTGTGTTGACGAGTGGAAGCACCGGTAGATCTGGCGGGAGTTACGGAGGCAGAGCTGGCGCTGCCGCTAAAACGCCGCTATCTACATCTCAGGCTGAATCATATGGTAGCGCTTTTGTCGTCACACAGCCTGGGAGTAATGGTGGCGGCGATCCAAATACACGCGGGAGAGGAGGAGGTTTCCTTAAGATATACGCTCGTAAGCTTGTCGTCGCTGGAACAGTGCAGGCTAATGGTCAGCGCGCTCAGCAGAATGACGGTGGAGGAAGTGGCGGTGGCATCTCTGTAGACTGCTTCGAAATCGATGGCAACGGAAGAATGGAAGCTTCTGGAGGGATGGGTAGCGGCGAAGGGGGTGGTGGAGGCGGTGGAAGGATTTCGGTGCAGTTTCAACACGGTTCCTTTTTAGGCCAAGCAAAGGCGTACGGAGGCAGGACGGGTAAGACAGAGAGTTTCATCTGCTTTATTTTCCGTGATCGAGCTTACGACTTCCGCTTTGACTGCGTTCCTTTTTGCTCCTTGAGACAAACCTGTGACATTTACATGACAGAAGACAGCAACAGCGACTTCTTTTAAAAATCCCCTAAATTTGTTTACTTTCCCACAGATTATTTCCAAAAGTTTTCGCACATATCAAACCTCAATTTTTGTCTGGCTCAACAAAAGTGTGATCGTAATAAACCACACTTGAATGATTCTGAAAGCCAAGCGTCTAGGCGAGGGAAAAAATTAACCATTAGAGACAATAAACGATGGCTATCGGAGAGCACCCATTTGTCTGATAATTCGTGAAAAAATGGATGTTTTCGTGTTGGCGATTACATTTCCGTTGCATTCTCGGATAAAGCCTAGCAATTAGTGGAGAAATCAATATTTGATAAACGGAATATCATTCTTGTTTTCTGCCAATTTAAAGGAATCGGATCGCTTTCGCATTTTAAACAAGGATATCATTAGTATTATAAGCGAGGATATTATTGATCATTTAATATCATTGATATCATTTAATGATCTTATCAATATAAGAGTGAGGTATTTTCTTGTGCAAGGCCTTGCAAGAAGTCCATATGTATCTCAGTCTCATTGGCTTAATACGCCGAGCAAAACAATCCTCCTTTCTTTGATTGCCATATGCCAGACAGCCGGGCACGGTTTTTGAAAGTATCATATGTCTGTTAGGAAATGCCAATCGATCCAAAAACTGTTGGGTTTTTTTTTTGTCAATCAGTTGAAGAAATATCTAAACTTTGGCCTCATAAAGCAAAATCGCTTTGATCTCGATTCTTGGAAAATTCACTATAACTAATTAGCTGGCAACCGGGCACAGTCTTGATTGGACTAACTGCTCGCGGTGCAAAAATTTATTCATTCGTCTCTTTTATACAGGAGTTCCTCTTAAACTAGAACTCAATGCGATGTGTACATATTTTTAGAATTTCTTTTGGTATAACAACCTCGAGACCACCGAGTGCATTTCATCAACACAAATATGTAGAAGTAATTTCCTCATATTTACAATATTCTTATCAACACACAGAATAAGAGCTTGTGATTACAAAAATGTAGCAAAACACTTGAACTTTTTTCTCCCCCGGGCAAAAATCACAAAAATGATTTTTGCGTGCAGTCGTGCTCGTAGCATTTAAGTGTTTGTCAAACTATACGTGCGTCCAACATCGCGTCTGATAGCGTCATAGAAATCATTTCCGCTCCCACAATAAGGAACTTTGCTTTGTGGCCCGTCTTGATTAAACATTAAGTTACGAAAACAGTTTCCCTTTTAATTCTTCTTCACTCACCCTAATTAAATTGACTATGACAAGGAATTTTGGATAGGTGTCGAAACAATAGCTTTGGAATTTTTTTCCGTTTTAGATCTCGGAAACAGAACAAATTACTCACGACAGGACTGCGAGATGAAATGAGGTCTGATACGTGTAAACTCTATCAGTTTGATGGAGTTGTCGGAAAATGCATTGTCGTATCTATGAATTTTGGCTTAAGATTACACACGATCGCATGTTATCGAAAGTTTGCGCTAAGCGAAAGCTTGTGATTACAGACTTGAAATGTAACACTTAAATTTTACACCCTCGGGAAAAAGTCACCATGATTTTTAAAATTTACGATCGTTGTCATTGCGTTTTTTCACCCACGGGCTTAATCTACCTAAATTTAATTGGCATTTTTTCGAATTTCTGTTTCTTTTTTAAGATACGTGCGTCCGAAATCGTATTATTTCGTGTTTCACTGCGTGAAGGGTTTGATTCTTTTACGACTCATTGACGTAATCGCTGAAATCAACAACAACGAGGCCAACAACAACAATAAGAAAACGTCTTAGATTTTCCTTAAGCAACAATAAGAGCAGCAACGAGATGCTTGTTACACGCGCAGCAGATGAAATATCATGTAAAATTGGATTTTTTGCTTGCTAAGAGCGATAATGAAAGGAAAATCAAGAATGATGTGCTTCAAGGTTGAGACATATTTGCACGTTTAGGTCTTAAATTCATGAATGTGCACCAGGTTGTTCTTAGGCTTTTCCTAAATAACCGTGGTTGTCAGAAGAATCTATATTTCGGTCCCGATATTTTGTACACGAATCAGGGTATTTCCGGGTTAAAATGTTATCTATAATTTGGGCTTCCAGATTAAACAATTTCGTTTGCAAAGTACGTGACCATTAGCTGCTGTTGTAAGTACTAAAAAAAAGCGCAAATCAACACTCTAGAGAACGTATTTGAAGGTTATAGTCTGCCTCGTTGGAATTTCACTTTTAAAATATTGACGTTGCCACAGCCGTATTTGACATTATTACCGCACCTCGTCGTGATCTGTGGAAATCGATCGCAGTTTTTGTCATTCATTCATTTATTTTTTCAGAAAATGAAGTTAAAGCGCAAGGTGTTGCTGCTGGTTCTCACTCTTTAACTGCTTCCTCAAGGATGAGTGTGCCTGCCCCTTACCCTTCATCCAATATAGTCTACGACCCCTCCAAAGGCCGATTAAATTACCAGGGGTCCCCTGGCGGATGGATGCCAGCGACCAATAATATTGGATCTGAGTGGCTCGAGGTAAAATTTGTCTTGAGCTTGTTTCTCTTTGTTATTGTGTTTGCAATGTTAAAATTCGACCGAGACGAGAGACTGATCATTTTTTTTTAATCGCCTAGGGGGTGGGGGTTTAGAAGAGCAAAGGCAGAGCGGGTGGCGAAGTCAAAGGCTTAGTAACACATAAGAGGAAGAGGCGAAGAAGGATCCCCCTGGCCTCGCGCTTGCTGTTACGGGCATTTTTTGTGTCGATTACTTTGAACCTCGGTCATCATCCCGGCCAGAAAAGGGTCTTCAGGACTAATTATATTCTAAAATTTTGTAAACAGGTTCGGTTGTCTAAAGAGGCTTACATAACTGACGTGGCTACTCAAGGTCGACATAGCGGGAGTGAATATACCTCTTCATATACGTTGAAGTATCTTGATCCTTATATCAGTTCACCAGAGACATGGAGAGATGTAAAGGTAAGAACTTTGTGTGTCCCAAAGCAAATACTCTGTGGCTCTTATAGCTATATAAAACGGTAAAAATTCAAGAGAAGACTTTCGAAGTTTTCGTGTAAGAGAAGAAGTACAAATCTAAATGCAGCACTAATTTTTATTGGCACAGTAGGCAATTGACAATTAGTTCTTTACTGAGAAGAATTTTACAGTATGTGACAGCAAGTCAGTAGGTAGATTTGTGTGTAGTCACGTTTCCGTCACACAATACTTAGCAGTGGGTACGTCACTTTCGTACTGCTGCTTGTCAACCCGAACTTCCCGTTTAAAAGGTAGTTCTTTGTCGTTTAAATTTGTGTAACATCAATTGTTTTTATTTACGAATTTATATGTAATTCTATTCAAATAGAGAGTGAGTAGTTATGCTGTTATAGTTTGGCAAAGACAACGAACTGATGTTAAGTGTATTATTAAAATGTTCCTGTTTCTTGTGAATTAATCCTATCATCTTCGTAAAAATTGGCGATTATTTTGATAATTTTTTAGGAGAATGGTGAGGCGAAAACCTTTACAGGAAACTCGAACACAAATACAGTCAAGCAGAATGCTCTACCAACAGATGTATACACGAGAGCTATTCGATTTTATCCGAAGGCATTCAGCGGTGGAATCGCCCTCAGAGTTGAACTATATGGCTATGCTGCAGGTTTGTAAACATATTTTGACATTATTGCTAAATGGAAATTACTTAGATGTGTCAATAGAGATGCTAATCCTTCCTTGGCTGTCAAATGTTATGAAATTCAGTCAATTAACGTCGTTTCGTTTGCAAGGCTGCTTCGGTGCATGCGGAGCACGGTTTGTTTCCATAACTATTGAAGACCCAGTAGCAAATGATCAAGCGAGAAGAGGATAAAACGGCGACTTTTCCCTTTAAGGAAACTTTTGCGGCCCAAAACGCCGCTTTATCAACTCCTTGCCCGATTTTGGGTCTTACAGTTACCGAGTAAGGAAAGTAATGTAAAATTTTGCGTCACACAACGCGTCACGCCAATTTCGGTTGGAATGACTGACGGGTTTTTGAATAGGGGGTGCTCTCTCTACTTGGCAAGTGTGAAAAATTACTAAATCTAATTCATCTAGAGGCAAATGTGTGTAACTGTGGTTAAATCGTTTTAAATGTTCCAATTTTCTTGCTGGTGTCAGGTGTATTTCAAAACTGTTATCGGGGTCTTGAAAATGCAATTCATGTCTGCAGCCAAAATTTTATTACCATTCCGGCCGATCCTTAGCCAGCTAATGAATCCTTAACGCCATTTTTTCTCTCTCCGTGATGTCTCTTGAAATTTCTTGACCTCTTTCACGTATATGTCTAGGAAAGGGGTGCAAGGGGAACATAAATCAATTTAATTTGCCCGGCGACAAAAATTTACACTGTTGCTTTCATTGCAGATCTTGCCAGTAATCCTGGTTGCAGCTACGTGCTCCCTCAAGGTTAGTTTAATCATATCAGTTATCAATGAATCGCTACATTTGGTTGGTACCTCTGCAGTATACAATATTTATAAGGATGTGGTTAAACCTTAACATCCAGAAGTGATTAACATGCAACTTCTTCCCATGATATCTATACATTATTCAGAAAACTGGTGGTGAGAATACTCGAACTCATCCGATAAAGGTTGTTATCTTGATCTAACAACAAATTTCCGTAACTAGTTTTCTAGGAAATCTCTAGTAGCTAGAGGGGAGAATTAACAATCAGATCCTGAGAGTTGAAGGGTGAAGTGGTGGAGAGGGGGCGAAATATGCCCTTGTGGTCTGAGTTCCCAACTATGTACTTCCTTCCTCTGCCCAAAGAAGGTTCACTTTCAGTGAAAGAAGGCGGCGTGAATTTCCTACACCGATTACAGAACTCAGCGAGGAAAACCGTACACAATCCTGGACTACTTTTGACAGTCGATTAAAAATGGAACTAACATGCAGTTTTGTAACTCTTCAGATAACAATCCTGAACCCGGAGGACCGGGAACAGTTTACTTCGACGGCTACAAAAGCGGTTCCAGACATCGAGTGCTGAGTGTTGACAACCAGGGAAGGCGACCGAGGGTAAGTTTCAATAGCTTCTACCGCACGAAACCAACGGAAACTGTTTTAGAGAAAAATGAAAAAGATCCAGAGAGACAAAACAAACCAAATCAAGCAAATAATGGACCAATCATTCTTTATCGCCTTAAGGGGGGGGGGGGAGGGAGTTTGTAGGATCTTAGTTGTGTCACGATTAAACTTACCTGGATCAATATCAGTATCTGGGCAACTTCCCACCTACCCCTCCCCTAACCCAACAACAGTCAATTGATAACAAGTTAGGGTTAATGTTGGGTTAGGGGAGGGGTAGGTGGGCAGTTGCCCAGATACTGATATTGATCCACTTACCTAATCTCCCAATAAAGCTCTGTGTTATTTTTGTGATTCCCCCCACATTGGCAGTGGTCAATTTTCTGTGGTCCCCCCTTTTATACTCTGCTGGCGACGACTGATCCGCCCCTCTCCCCGCTCCCTAAAATCCATGTTGTAATCCCCCAAAAATACTCCATCCCCCGGAGATAAATAACGACAGGTCTCTAAAAACAAACGAAAAGAAATAATATAAAAAACACACTAATATATGCACACAATAAGCCATAGCTGTTGAAGGAGGTCTAAGAGCGTATTCGATCCCCCGTTCCCATAGAGAAAGAGATGAAACAAAATAAGCGAGATACCCCACATTCTAGCAGACCGTTAGTGAGGGACAGCTCCATTAGAAGACTGATTTCTCTGCTAGAAAAAGAAACTATTACTGTTTCACTTTAATGGCCAGATGTCTCTTCTTGTTTCACCCTTAGTTATGGTTGTAACGGTGTAATAACTATCTCACGAAGTTTGCTAATATCTTTTTTATTGCGATATGTATTTTTTCATGATGTGTTTGTCCTCGAAGTTATGATTCATACAAAGAATGCTCATTAATAAGGCTGTATTTGCTTACTTACAGATCAACAGTTCATCAGATGTCAGCGTGTTCTTGCAAACAGGTAACCTAACTAATCTTTGTCATGGCCTCGTTGGTCTAGAATGTTATCACTTCGCCTGAGGTTATCATGACAGCAGTACCATATTATCAAATGCTCCACCAGTTGCAGTGACCAATGAAAACTTAATCAACGTAAAACGTAATCCCGTTTTCTTGATGACCAGGTAGGAGGTCGAGATAACCGGTTACTGCCCCAGCATTTTGAGTAATCGATGAGTAATCGATGTTATTGAGAGAGCGAAAAAGAAGATTGCACAAAGGAGGCAGTTTTGACCGAATGGGCGTGGTGAATAATGAATAACGCATTTATCAAGTGGGTAGAAGATTACACCAAAGAAAAGTTAAAAAGATTCACGAAACGCGGAATGGTTTCCTTTACTTTGTGCTCTCTCCCAGAGTACAGTCGGTCGTGTGAAAAGGGCTTGCTTAAAAAAAGGCAGAGCGAGGATTTCTCAAGGGGAGGAATTTAGGAATTTTCGCGCAATCTACATGATTAAACCGGGGGTTATACCGCTGCTCTACCATGTGTATCGGTAAGCCCGTGTTCATGCGGTGGGGAGGACCAGCAAGTGGATTATATAGCCCGGGAATACATGTATGCCATACAGATTCTTCAGATTTGTGCGTTTTCAAAAACCTTAAGTAAAAGATGCTAGCTGAATCCCCCGCTGGTAAAAAAGGCCCATATCTCACGCCCTGTTGGTCAATCAGAACGTAAGGCTCACTTCATCGTGCTCGATCGCGCAGCTAACCCTTGGATAAATTTAGCTCTCCGGTAAACTTCGTTCATTTTAGAATGAATACTAGCTGGGAAACTAGACGAAAACCGTCAGTGAAAGTTACAGAGATATGCTGGCTTGTAACAGGAGTGAACTGGTAGACACCTAACGGTATTCAGGGTGAGGTAGTCCAGACGGGCTTCCATGCTCACGAGAGACTAAGCTTATTTTAACAATTTTAATGAAAAAAAAGTGATTGCTCTACGTTAACTGGGTAATTTAATTCCTATGGTAGGTGCTGCGGCCTGGGTTACAGTCTCCGCTGACCATAAGATAGAGGAGGTGGAAATTTCAGGAGGAGCTCAACTTGTCATCGCAGGCTCAGCTAAAAACCTAACCGTCGACAGCATAACGGACGACAACACTGGGTACTTGTATCTACTGTCATCCATGCAACTGCAAATTAGCACACTTTTGTCACCTTGCACGTTGATATATCACGGAGCAGAGCTCATCTTATCCGACCTAGCACCAAACGTCTCTCTCGAACGCTCGGTTGATGTACATGGTACGCTTTCCACTCTTGGTGCCCCGAGTGTCTATGTGGGAGCGCAAAAGGGAGTGTTTACAATGCATCCAGGTTCTGGCCCAAGTTCGCTTAGCTTTGGAGAACTCATTATCGAGTCTTCAAGTCATCTCCAGCTGTTGAACTACGATAAACAGTCTCCGGCCTCCTGTCGCTGGTCTGTGGCTCTAACATCCTCCAAATTCACCTTAAGCGATAATTCCAAAATGGACGTCGAATGTCCGTTTAATCTAACAGGCCATCAAATGAACATTGGGCTCAACTCTGCACTGAAAATAAACGGTAACAGCTCAGTTTCGTACATTTCCATGAACGGCGTCTCTATACGTGGCACCTTTGATCCAGGAGTTCTTTCCCTTTTAGAAGGTTGGAAAACTCTCAGGATTGAAAGATATGGTGATATGAGATTTTTCCCTCATGGTGACGTTAGAATAAACACATTTTACTCGAACGGGAACTTCCACGTAGAAGGAGTCGTTTACCTAAGAGGGAGAGATCCCGCGGTTACTCAATTAATCGAAGTTGACGAGTATGGAAGTGTGCAGTTTGACTTGCCCCTTAGTTCGAACTCTTTGGTGTTTGTGCACAACAACTCACACGAGTTTGGCTCCCATGGCAGACTGTCACTAAACGGAGTGTCCCTCGTTCATGCTGACATTGTTGTTGTTGATGGAACTTGGTTGCCAAACAAGTTGAAAATTGAACCAGGATGGAAAGAACTGACTGTGGAACACGGGGGTAAATTTCACTTTGACCCGGTTGGTATTTTTCAGCTCAACAAGTTTCTCCTTGATGGCGATGTCAAGTCTTTAAATGCGGTAAAAATGGAAGGTTTATCCCAGCAGAAAGTCCAACAATGCGAAGTTGGATTCCATGGTACAGTACTTATCGATTCAGCTGACCTTACAACAATTCTCTGCGAGTATGTCCTACTGTCAGGAACCCTGCGGGTCGGGAACTTGTCAATAGGCTCGGTATGGAATGATCTACACGTAAATGGCACAAATGGAAAATTCTATTTCGAGACCTCAGAGCCCCTGAACATCAATCAGATACGGGTCAGCGGATTAATCGACACCGGATCAGCGATCGGTCCAAGTGCCCCGCTAACTAGCGACAATTTCACTATCGAATCAGCAGGAGAAGTAAACATTCACTTTCAAGCCCAACCCGCCATAACTGTCGATGGTGCCATCAATTCTACTTTGTACGTGACCACTTTGGAAGTAAACGGTCTTTTCAAGCTTGGCTCGCTGTACCTCATTACTGATAACCTTAGCGTTGGATCATCGGGGCGCATTTCTGTGAACGGTGGCGGTGCTCAAGGAGGAATGGGACCTGGAGCCGGTTCTCAGAAAGATGGCGGAGCCTCTGGGGCGAGTCACGGTGGACGAGGGGGACGTGGGTCGCAGACACTAGCTCAGCAGCTGATCTATGGTGACATTTTCTCACCAGGAGGGTGGGGAAGTGGAGGTGGTAATGGCAGTGGGAACAGTGGCGGAGGACGAGGAGGTGGAGTGATATTTCTTCAAATCAACCAGACATTTGATGTCAACGGCGTGATCCAGATGAATGGACTTCCTGGACAGGTAAGCCGATTTAGGTTCTTTTCATTTACCCTACAAGTAAATTAACCTTGCCAATCACTTCTCCCTTCGTAAACCTAAGGGTTTCAACAAATTAAAGTTTGTTTTACGTGGCATTTCATTGGACCAAACAAGACTTTTAAATTACAAAGAAAACAGCAATTTACTTGATGTCAACGTTTTTTAACATATCAAACAGTTTTGTGTCTTCATTCGTAGTCAGCCTATGTAGTTTCGTTACGGAATATTAGCTGATATGAGTGATATAAAACATTTTGTGATGTAAGTTGAATACTAAAGAGATGTTCTTGGACCATCGTCAATGAACGTTCTTTCCTTCTATCTTTTAGACTTCCACGAGTGGCGGCGGAAGTGGTGGGTCTCTGTGGGCAACTTGTCAACAATTTACCGGAAGCGGTAAAATCGAGGCCAAAGGGGGTAATGGGAACACTTATGGCGGTGGTGGTGCTGGGGGAAGAATCACGGTAAATTACGTCACTGGTGGTTTCCATAGCGACGGTACGGATGCCTCTGGGGGACAGGCTGGTTCTGGGAGTAATGTTGAACACGGAGGACCTGGAGTCATATACTTGGATGGGAAATCACCCATTATAAAAAACCTGCGCATTGACAACAAAGGACTAAAGCCACTGGTGAGAGCTTCCTTTTATCTTTTCAATACCTGAAAATTTCTAAAAGTTGTATTTTAGCTCTTATCCCGAGGAAAGGCGAGAAGATAGATATTCCAAATACTTCAAAATGTTTCACTTTAAAGAAATCAATTATCATTTGGAGCTTTTTAGTTATTCTCTCCTAGGAACTGCTGGTTTTATAATGTTCAAGACGTAAAAATGAATACTCAATCCGGAATAAGATTGGTATTTTCGCAAAATGTCTGGAATTCGAACACTACCGGGTCAGCGCTACATAAAGACGTGCCTGTCAGTTTTACAACGGGAAGGTGGCCTTTGATCGTACTTTGTAGTCTTGACTGTGTGATCAGTAGTGATGTCTAAAACAATCTATCTCTCTTCACCGAGAATAGCAATGTCTTAAGAAGGTTTTTATTTTCTTTTACTTTTCCTTTGCGTTACAGACTTCACTTTCGGGAGATTACAGTACATTCATATATTCAGGTTTGTTACTTGCTAATATCATTATGAATATTTCTCAAGTCACCGTCTACGTTGAAACGAAGTCAACTGAAAGGTGGTTTTTCGTACAAGTAAATTGATTTTAAAACTAAATATCTATCTAAATTCCGAGGGATGAGGCCACAAAAGTATAAATGTATTTTAAAGTCGGAAGTCGAGATATCTTACTTAAAATTCTCTGATCTTTGAAATGTTATTTCCATTAGGTGCTGTCGCTTATCTCAACCCACCTTCGGATAATTTTGTTTATGATTTTACGCTGGTTGAAGTCTATGGCGGGGGCCAGCTGGTTTTCCCGCGCTCGGGAACTGAAGTGCGCGTCGATACCATAAATGGAGATGACACCGGATACATACATGTGCCTCCTTTTAACATCCTAAACGTGACGGGAACGTCGGAATACAGACGCATCAACGTCACCTGGGCGCCATTTATTTATGAGGACGCGACGTTTGTTTTACCAAACGGAACTGTCGAAATCCGAAAGGCCGAAAGTTTACTTTATCCGAATATAGAGCGAAGCTCCCACATAAGCTTTTGGGGAAGTGTGTTGGGGTTTAAAGCACATCTTATGGTGGCCTACGGAGCAACGGTTTCCTTTGAGAACTCCTGTCCACGTAATTTGAATTTTGTCGGAATAACCGTGCAGAAGACCAGTCGGCTTTTGTTTAAGAGCAATATGTCAGTCGAGGCCGATGGCTGGACCGTAGAGGTTGCAAAAGATAATGGACCAGTGTACCGTGATGGTATTGTGACTATAGAGGGTGATGGATTAATTGAAGCGCGAGCTTTAACAATTAAAGCTGCGTCACTGATAGTAGATCCACGAGGAAAATTGACACTTGATGGAAAGGGATACTTTGCTGGTAAGCTTTTAAGTTTTGAATCTGTCAGTTAAATAATGAGATAGGAAGTCCATTAGTCAGTTAATGAGTCAGTGAGTTGGATAGCCAGCCAGCCAGCCAGCCAGCCAGCCGGCTCCACAGTTAGTTCCTCAATCAGGCTGTTTGTCTAGTTAGTAAGTAAGTGAGTGTGAGTCAGTCAGTCCGTTCATCCTTTCGTCCGTCAATTGGTCATTCAGTCATTCAATCAGTCAGTCAGTCATTCAGTCGGTCTGTCAGCTTTCCTGTCCGTCCGCTCGTTTGTCTATCTGTTTTTCGGTCTAAAGGGGGTAAGTTTCTAAAGAAACAGTGGTGCTGCGTCGGTTCGGTGGGAGAGTATAACAGGGTGATTTAATATGTTCAACCGATTGGTAACGTAAATTGAATACCGTAAAGAGTTTAAAAGCTCACGTTTCGAGCGGTAGCCCTTACATTCGCTCTAACGAAGGGCTAGCACTCTAAACGTGAGCTTTGAAACTCTTTACGGTGGCCAATTTACGTTATCAACTCAGTTGATAATACTGAATTACCCTGTTATTCGGTCTGTCCCTGTTTTTTGTTTGTTTGTCGGTTTGTCTATCTGTATCTCTACCCGTCTGTCCGTTTGTTGGTCTGTCTGTCTATCTGTCTGTCAGTATGTTTGTCTGAATTTCCCCAAGTCTATTTGTCTGTTTGTTTGTTGGCCCTGTCAATCAGCCAGTCGATTAGTCAGTGTAATTAGTCAGTCAGCTTTTAGTGTTTGCAAATCAGATACTCCGACTAATCACACATCCCGAACTATAAAGGTTCTGGCTCTGGTTCCGGATTGTCAGACGGATCAGGAGCAGGTCATGGAGGCACTGGCGGAAACGGAAGAGTGACCACGACAACGGGTATACCGTACGGTGATTACACCAATCCTCGACTTTTTGGAAGCGGTGGTGGACTGGGCTCAAATGCTGGCTTTGGAGGTGGAGTACTGCTGCTAAAGATAGTTGATTCCTTAGTGGTGGAGGGTAAGTTGAAATAAACCTAGCATTCTGTTAACTTGTAGGATAACAAACGCCGAAAAACGGTTCCAGTGAGTTCCAGTGCTATCGATATTGTCACTCCAGGGGGTCCACCAGCTGTGAGCCACTGATTCAAAATGGGCGTTTGCTTTGCCGTTTGTATCCCTCTTCATGTATGACTATGATTTAAGTTGAAAATCGTTCATAGATGTTCTTGTCCCCAGGCTAACCTCATAAGTCATAGCGATCAACGTTACACTACGAAAGTTATTCTCTGTTAGGAACCATAACTGTAAGTGGAAGCCAGGGAGTAAGTTCTAACTCAGGTGGAGGCAGTGGAGGAAGTATCCTGATCCGTACTCGTGCCCTTGAAGGCTCAGGAGTCATAGCTGTCAACGGTGGCGCTGGTAATGGTAATGGGGGTGGTGGAGCAGGAGGAAGGATGGCTATCTACTGGCACGACAGGGAATGGTGGCGCGGGTCCTTGACTGCATTCGGTGGTAGCTCTTCTCAAGGTGGAAATGGCGGAGTAGGCACAGTGTATCTTGTGGTGAGAAAAATTTTATAATCAGAGGGAGGTATCTGTTGTTATCCTAAATACGTTCTTAAACTTACCTTGGTTTTTTTTGTCTCATCAGGATACCCAACATGGTGTGAACAACAGGACTCTGATCTTCGACAATAATAACTTGAGCCCAAGTGCCATGGAGATATCAGATTATTCATCACCTTACACGAATGGCGGAAGAGCATGGATACTACCAATAGATCAGGAGTTTGAGCTGGAAGAGGTGCATATATTGAGGAAGGCTCACGTAGCTCTCCACCCTAACATAACCAGGTAACAGTAACAACGTTTTTTTATTGTTAATCGTTCAGATTTGGTCGTAAATTTCCTTCTTGGTTTCATTTTTTGGTTTTTACCTCTTTTACCAGGAGGTAGGTAACTAGAAGAACCAAGTTGCAAAGCAGCGATCGACTTCCTGCTCCATTTTTTCGGGAATTTTTTCTGACAGTTAATGACAGTTTAACACGAAAGGAATGGGTGTTGTTTCGCTTTTTGAGTCGTAACTCAGTAACTGGATATACAACCATGCGTCATGCATTGGTTACGTGCATTTTCTCAACGAGTAACATAGCAGATTTAGTTGAACTCAATATTAGGGGAAGTGTGACCGTGAGAATTGTGTTCAATTTTTTATGTGAAATCATCTTTTTTCACAGACCCCATGGATTGAAGGTTTACAGCTTTGTGGGTGATCGCACAGGAGTTCTTCACGTGGGTCCAAACCAGGTTGTGATTGGTCAGTTTGCTGATCATGAGTTGTTCGAAGTAAATGTCTTTGTTTACAGAGACGGACACTTCCACCTGCCACCAACTTTCGCGTGTTACGGTATCGATATCACTGTCAGGTTAGAGAATACAATAAAATACAAATTTTATTGGCCATTCATAAAGAGAAAGGCGTTTTACATTTCCAAATAAGTTAGTTTACAATGCTTGTTAAAAACAATATTTTAATAGATAGCAAGGGGTCCTGCAGAAACCACGGGGCTTAAAAAGAAAGTATTGGTGATAATTTTTCAACATGGTAACGATGGTTAAAAGAGATACATTGTATTAAGGTTTTTATATGGTATTCTATGGATGTGCGATTTGGTATTCAATCTCCATAAGCTTTACTGTCGCCATACCCTAAAATGAATACAGCCCATTCCAAAATAGAATGTCGTTTAATAGTTAGTGGCCCTAAATCTTTCCAAGTGCAGGTACTAACGTCCCCCTTTAACTGGAGCATTTAAGAGGAATGCCTCCTTTATTTCAGTTATTTTCATTTAGGCCTGAAATATTGCATGCTTAACCCTTTAACCTGTGAGATTGACGAACATCTAATTTCTCCTTACAACTTCACCCTTGACTCAAACATTAAGGTCATGAGAATAAAGGAGATGATCAACAACCAAAGAAGCTCTTGATTGTTAAACAAATTCTCCTTGTCAGCACCCTAGGAATTGTCTAGCGAGTAGTATGGAGAATATGCATACTGATGTTAAGGAATAAGGGGTTAAGAAATAGATTCCATGTTACTATGCATCTGCGCAATAATAGATCACAGATGACGTCAAAATGTGGTAAGAACAAAAAGGTAGCTCACGAGGCGCAGCCAAGTGTGTTACTGATGTTTTACCTCATTTTGACGTCATCTGTGATTTATTACTGAACAGACATACAGCAACGTGCAATAAATTTATTTTATATAATTAAGAACAAGTCTCTGTAAGAATCAAACATCTTGGGAAATGAACATTTTCAATCCCCCTTCAAATTTTGCATGCAGTTAGGCGCTCAGGGGGATGCACAAAAATACCCTTTAAAGGTTGCAGCACTCTTGTTGCCATGGTAACAACGGCTGCTTGTTCGAAGCCTGGGGCCTCATTTTCATACAAAAACGTCGCAAAAAAAGAGTCAAATGTTGATTTCTCTATCTCAAGCTAAATACAACATTACAAATTGGCACTTCTACCATACATAGTGACATCATTCGTCTTCACTTTAATACATTTAATTTTCCCTGGGAGGGAATGTGAACTCACCAATAGATTATTCATCTCGGTACAATTTCGGTCATTTTCGTTGTCGGGTAAAACAGCGAAAACGTTTATCTGAATTTCTCCAAAAGTACACCGATTCTGGGACTGAAACTACCCACCTAGCTTGTTATAATATTTTTGTTTTTAAATATGTAAAAAACTCTGCGGGCCTGCCTCTACTTTTTATAGGGGCAATTCGCGAAAAAAGCTCAAAATCAGATATTGCATAATTTGGCGATGTTTACATCTAAAGTTCTCAATAACAAACGTTTCAGACAAATAAACGTGCGAGGCTTTGAAAGAAATGTTATCTTATGAGCAATATCCCGAAGAGAAATCTCACCTCTGGTTGTCATCTTTTAAAAAAAATTGCTCAACCTTCATGGAGGACAACTCGACATAACTACAAACATATAGCTCAACTCGTGCGCACATCATCTAGATTCCGAGTGCTGCACTTTCTTTCATGGATATTTGAGCAATCCGAAATCCTCAGAAGATATACTGTTATACTTGTATGTCATTTGAAACATGTCGAAGTTGGCTGATTTACACGAAACTATCCTCACACCGGTCATTTGTCATAAACATGTACGTTAACACGATGGCGTGACGTTGTTTTTCTCTATGAAGTTTCCATCGGTCGCTCCAAAGAAGACGAGAAATGGATGTTTTTCATTTATGTCAGCAGATTTCCGCTTTCTGAAGTAAAAAACAACCAAAAAAAAAAGGGGGGGGGGAAACCTCGAACCTCTTCCATGAAGATTGATCAATTTTTTTTAAAGGTGACAACCAGAGGCGAGATTTCTCTTCGGGATATTGCTCATAAGATAACATTCTTTCAAAGCCTTGCATGTTTCATTTTTCTGAAACATTCATTATTGAGAACTTTAGATGTAAACATCGTCAAATTATGCAATATCTTATTTTTGAGCTTCGTTCGCGAATTACCCCTATAAAAAGTAGAGGCAGGCCCGCAGAGATTTTTACATATTTTAAAACAAGAATATTATAACCAGCCAGGTGGGTAGTTTCAGTTCCAGAATCGGTGTACGTTTGGAGAAATTCAGATAAACGTTTTCCCTGTTTTAGCCGACAACAAAAATGACCGAAACTGTTCCGAGATGAATAATCTATTGGTGAGTTCACATTCCCAGGGAAAATTGAATGAACTAATGTGAAGACAAATGATGTCACTATGTATGGTAGAAGTGCCAATTTGTAATGTTGTATTTAGCTTGAGATAGAGAAATAAACATTTGACTCTTTTTTTGCGACGTTTTTGCATGAAAATGAGGCCTTAGGCCACGAACAAGCATCCGTTGTTACCATGGCAACAAGAGTGCTGCGACCTTTAAAAAGGAATTTTTGTGCATCCCCCCTGAGCGCCTAACTGCATGCAAAATTTGAAGGGGGTGGAAAATTTTCATTTCCCAAGATGTTTGATTCTTACAGACTTGTTCGTAAGAAGCAAATATTGTCAATGATGACGTCATTTGTACGTCTATCCTCAAATAGATCAAAAGTAAGGACCAATCAAAATGCGTGCGTAAGTTAGCTTAATAATGCATGCAGTCTTAACTTCAATTGAAAGACCGTAGAGATATCGCTGTTACTTTAATCTTTATTAAGATAAAAATACAAAGCTTATATTAACAACCGCACTTGCTTTGGAAAGCACTGCTTTTTCTTCGAACGTCTTAATGGTCATGTAGACTTTGTCTTCTCCTTCTTGCAGAGGTTACTTGGGCATTGAAGACATGACTATCGCCAAAAGCTGTCGACTCTTCCTGGCTCTAACAGGTTCTACAGAGCTGGCAAACAGTGAGGGAACTTACAGATACAATTCCCTGACGGTTGCTGATGGGGGAGAGGTGACATCAACATCAGATGTCGGAAACAACTCACTGACACTCGAAGTGGATGATATCACAATTCGAGGAGGTGGAGTGCTTCACATGGTGCGCATGCGTATATTTGTCGGAAACTTCACCGTGGATGATCTGGGTCACTTAAGGGGTGACACGTTCGATAACAGGTTTGTTGAATGGGGCACTTCCATAGCTTCTGTGTCCTAACATAAGGAGTTTTCGTAGTTCACCTGGATTTTGAGGACGTCGATAATTTATAAGCGGTTATTTGTTGTTTAAACTCGATCGTTTCCATAATATCCCTCTACTGTTTCTCACTATAACTTGTTCGGTGAGGTTTTCATGCAGCTCGTGTCAGAATGTATTGTTGAACGACATACGTGAGACCGAGAGATTCGTCACAACGAGTTCTCAATGTGTTAAAGATCAGTTAGCTCAACGGCCCTTTTCATTTGAGATTTGGTTACAGAGGCATTAATTTCACTCAGTAGTGTTGATGATAAATTTACGGTTTTAATTACTCTACGGAAACTTCACTGAACGCTGTTTTCTTTCCGTTTTAGCTGCACTAGCGGTGCAGGTGTCACAAATTCTAATGGTGGGTCTTCAGGTGCAGGGCATGGTGGAACTGGAGGCCTTGGAAGGTATGGAACACGTGTTGGAGTGGCATACGGTCACGTGTACGAACCTGAACATTTTGGATGTCGAGGCGGAGGCTCGGGGGGACTGGGCGGAGGGATAATTCGTATGTCTGTGAGAGGGACTTTGCAAATTGACGGAACAATTAGCTGCAACGGTGATAATGGTCAGCAGTCTCGATCTGGTGGAGGAAGTGGAGGAAGTATATGGATTGACACCAGTCTGATGAAGGGATACGGTACAGTACGGGCTAATGGAGGTAGTGGCCATGTGGAAACAAGGTAAGAACCCTTCAGTGTTGCTTAACTGTGGGATGATTTTCTTTGAAGGGGACATAAAACATTGCCCTTTAAACCATTGTTACTTCTTTTAATCCAGTCACTTTGGTTCATAGACCAACCTGCAGTCTAGATTCCTTGGTTTCCTCAAATTATTTTGAACTGTGTTACCCAAGATAACTGTTTTACGACAGTGTTGATACATCTTCTCAGAAAGGAAACAGACAAACAAACAAATGAATCAATTCCAATTATCATTTTGACCTCAAATTCATTTTAAAAGTGAAAAATTAGCTTAAAACGCTTAGGGCGCATTCTTAAATAACTCACACAGGCTCTTTTAATTTCTATACGCTGTCAACCTCTATGCTGAAGTTTTAAGGTGAATTTCCAGGGTTATTGACAACTGTTAAAAATGCACTTTGTATCAATATTCAGTATAATTATTCTGTTTTTCAGCCTTTCACTTCACGGCGGTGGGGGAGCAGGCGGACGGATAGCAGTATACTTCAGAAGTAACAGAACTTACAGCGGGGTTTTTGAATCCCTGGGAGGAGATTCTACCGGAGACGCTCTCCCCGGAGGAGCTGGCACTGTGTTCCTATATCACCTTATTCATAAACATCGCACTCTTTTGATAAGTAATGCCGGCAGAAAGGCGTTACCTGCCGAACATTTGGTCATTAAAGACTATTCTGAGCCAGCCTTGATATCGGGAAAAACTTGGCTTTTACCAAGCTCTGGAGAACATAATTTTTCGCGCAATCAAAATTATTACTTTGAGGAATTGCAGATTTATGGTGCAGCTCACTTAGCTGTGTTAACCGAGCCTCATAACCGATCGGCGACGATATATTTCCGAAATATGATCGGTGATCGCACTGGGACCATCCACGTTGGCTATAATCAGACCATGGATTTGATCCGACCGACTATTGATTTACCGTTTAATGTTCGTGTATACCGAGGCGGATTTCTAGGTCTTGCTCCAGCGACAGAAGTTCACGGAGTCGAGATTCACGTGGACGGTGTAATTTCGTACGTAAAGAACCTAACTTTGCATCATGGTGGCCTGTTAGCGTTGAATGAAAACTCACGTACTGGAAACGAGGCGACGGAAAATGATTTCAAGTTCGACTTTCTGCGTGTACAGTTTGAAGGAGTCATTCAGATGATGTCGTCACCTGTGACACACAACGGGATGAATTTGACCGTACGAGTGCTTCACATTGAGGGTGGTGGCAAAGTGGAAGGCAGTGATCTACGAATCCTAGCCGAGAACATAAGCATCAATACAGAAGGTCAGCTAACTGTCAGTGGTAGCGGATATAAGCACGAGGATGGAACCGGCGAGGGTGTTCATGGTAAAATTAACCGGGGACTTGGATCTGGAAGCAGCTCGGGAGCCTCCGGTGGAGGACACGGGGGAACTGGAGGAAGGGGAAAGCACACGTCTAAAGTAGGATTACCTTACGGAAACATGTACGAACCAATAGAATTTGGAAGTAGCGGGGGAGGAGTAAACAAAAAGCAAGGTGAGCACAATTTGGTTTCAACTATGAGTACAAAGTCTACGTCATCTTTATGTCTATGGTGATCTGCAGTATTATGCTCACTTCCTGGCACTTAATTTAAACATCCCTTAATATCGAGTAAGGTATAGTAAAGAGGGATGTAGGAATGGTCACCTGAATTCTTCAAAATGTGAGAAGCATGAAAGAATGAACTACTCTTGAAGGTCAGGTGACACCTCTGAGAACCCCGAGAAGGTATCGCTGTACTAAGAATATCCCATTTTCTAGTGCCAATCCTATTAAGAATATAGCAACAATAAACTACATTGATGAGAAAACGCTCGCTATTGCAAACAAAATACAACCTTTAAATGTGCTGGCTTTTTTAATGGCGACGGGCCATTAATGTTTGAAAATGGAACACCTGTAATCCTCATATGATGTTAGACGAAAGAAATAAACTCAGCTCTCTTTTCTTTTTTCCAAGGTGTTGGAGGTGGAACAGTATTTTTAAACGTCACTAATCTCCTGGAAATCGACGGGGTCCTTTCTGCCGATGGTGGCGATGCTCTCCCCCAGGGAGGAGGGGGCAGCGGTGGTAGCGTATGGATCTACTGTTATATCATAAAAGGTTTCGGAAAGATCACTGCTAATGGAGGTTCATCTCCCTCCGATGGTTACGGAAATCACGGGGGCGGTGGAGCAGGTGGACGAGTCGCAGTTTACTTCATAAAGAATGACACCTTCTCCTACTTCAGGTAATATGAACTAAATATTGATCCACATGGAATCCAAGGGTGATAAGAGAAGTTACTTTGCTATCAACTAAACGTTCAAACAAGCTTTTATTGATAAACTGCAAGACTACCGATTGGTAATCAATTAACTGTTTTATCTTCCGTCGACTTATCCTGTTTTTTCGTCGGATGCGGATACTTTTGCTTAGAAGTCTTAGAAGGCTACAAGGTTACTTTAAAATCGCTATAGCTTCATTCATTAACAGAAACACAGACCACTTGACCATGCGCTAAAAAGATTGCCAGCGATTTGGTGTCTTATCTGCAGATCTAGGATAGCCTTTCAGTTATGGTTGCAGCTTTTTCGATTTAAAACTACACGTTTTTGAAAGCAATTTCTTCTTGAAAGATTTGCTAAATCCGATAGGACGAGCACTCTTTCTGTGAGCTTATTTTTGTTGATCAAACAGTAGGCCACCTTAGAGTTCTCGCGATTCAGTGATCTGGTGCCGAAATTACGGCGTGAGAACGAGGCTAAGTGCGAAGTCGCACAAAGAGTAAATAGCTGTGGTAGTGAAAATGAGCGAAAATTTCTTGAAATTCATCGTGTGAGAGTGAAAAACTAATTGTGGGAGAGAGGCGTTGAGTGAATTGATGGCAGTAGAGGGAGAAAAAATCACAACTGTTCGATTTGTGAAAGAAAGGAGCAGCAATGAAGCTGATCAAGGTAGCCGCTTCTTCAAGGACCCAAAAGCTGTTGGAGGAGAAATAACAAACAAGTGAAGGCAAATCTCTAATACCTAACATTTTGAATGCTTGTAACTTATGTGTTCTGCGTTCGTATGCAGCCTTGCCAAGCCTGGCCTCAGTTTCTTTTAAGTCATCATTCAACCGTTGCTTTTTTCCCTTACTGATTCGTAGCGAGGGCTTATTGTAATTTGCCAAACGATCCGAACTCAACGAATTGGAAATCAGTTATTTTCGAAATGAGCTCAAAATTTATAATTAGCAAAATGGAAAGCTGTAATTTGCGAAATGAAATCTGTTATTTACGAAAGGAGAGTTTGTGCGGAAAACTCCACCGACCAGAACAATGAATCGGTCAGCCCGTCACTAGCGTGGGTTACAAACTCAACTCAGCATAAAATGTTATTTGTTATTAACAACTTATCACCGAACTAAACTTTTTTGCCGATTTAATTTTATCTTCGAAGATATTTGTTGTAAAAAAGAGCGACGGCATAATATTACTGCCATGTTTTCCTGCTGAGGAGGATTGCGTGACGCTTCCAATTCAAGTAAAGTGTCTTGTTACATATTCAATTTATTCATCGTAAACGCTCAAGTGCATATTTCGTAAAGTACGCCACGAAGATTTCACTTTCGCCTTTCCCCTAAAAGCTAGTATTTGTTAGGTTACTTATTTAATCCAAACTGGATGTGAACTGATTGATTGGTGGCCATAAGTTTTATGCACCTCTTGTTTTGCAAATTATAGATTTCCATTTCGCAATCTATAGAATTACAGATTTACAGATTTTGACTTCATTTCACAAATGACTCATTTCAATTTCGTTTCCTTTCATTTCGCAAACTAAAGTAAGCCCTCGTTACGAATCAGCAAGAAATAAAACAACAGTTCAACAGTGGTTCAACAACTGAGGCAAAGCTGCATGTGGTCGCTGAGAGAGAACGAGAGCTCTGGAATGATAGAGGAGTTGTTCGTCCAAGCATTCAAAATTTTTTTGGTACCGAAGATTATCTCACACTTGTTTGTAATTTCTCTTCCAACAATTATTTGTGGTCTTTTGCAAAAGAGGCCAACTTGCTCAGCTTCATTGCTACAGCTTTCTCACTTAAATCGAACAATTCTGCCTTTTTCTTTGCTATGCCTCCGTCACTTCACTGAATGCTTCTTTCTCACAAAATAATTTTTCACTCTCCACCTTTGAATTTCGAGAAATTTTTGCTCATTTTCGCCACCACAGCCCTTTACTCTTTGTTCAGATGAAAATGGCGTCGCACTTAGTCACGTTCTTGCGCCGTCATTTTGGCATCAGATCACTGAACCACGAGAAGGCGGAAGTGGCGTATTCTGGTAACAGTAATGGAGATATGTAACCAAACAGCTCACAACTTTAGCTGGAAAAGCCGGTCGTAAATTATTTAATAGGAAATTATGGTTCGAGGCTCACTGATTTCATAACTTTGAAGTCATTAAGAAAGATGGTATTTTTTCTGTCTTTATTCTAGCTACCAGGCACATGGCGGACAGGCTAAGGAAGGCCAGGATAAAGTGGAGAATGGCGGACCAGGTACTGTCTTCTTGTACCATTTGGTTCACACTCATCGAACACTTCTTATCGACAACAATGGCGGTAAGCCATTGAATAAACATATTAATTATGGCCGTCTGGATGAGGAAGGTGGCAAAGCGTGGATTATGCCAGAATCGGGATTCCATCATTTTGCTGCTGAAGAGGACAAATTTCACTTTGAAGAGTTGCAGATCTACAGCAAGGGCCATTTGGCAATATGGCCACGCGCGGGAAATGATTCAAGAAATGTTTCCATGTTCTTTAAATATATGATCGGTGACAGGAGCGGCATGATACACATCGGAGATAAGCAAGTTATGGACCTGAAGCGGCCAGAGATCGATCTTCCCTTTAGTGCTCAAGTCTACCTCGGTGGCTTCCTTGGTCTCGCTCCTTACACACAAGTTCATGGCATTGAGATCATTGTTCGTGGTATTCTCGCATACATTAGGAATATGACCATTCACCATGGTGGTGATCTGTGGTTGAACCATGGAGGACGAACAGACCACGAAATCATAAACCACTACGACTTTGATTTCATAAGAGTCCAGGATACAGGAACCATTCACTGCGTCACCTCACCAGTCAACGACCCGGGCGTTCTCTTCACAACTCGTGCAGTCTTCATTGAAGGAGGAGGCCTGATGCGAGGTTCTCGCCTGACATTTGTGACAGAAAATATTACTATAGACGATGGTGGGAGGTTAATAGCAGATGGCCTCGGCTACAATACCTCACATGGTTATCAAGGAAACGATATATCTGGTGCACCAATTAATCCTGGTCACGGTATTGATGATAATGAAGGAGCCTCTGGCGCTGGTCATGGTGGCAGTGGCGGCCGAGGAAGCCTCACCTATGGCACTCCCAAAACAGGTTTTGCCTATGGGGACCTGTACGAGCCTTATATATACGGTAGCGCTGGTGGTAAAGGTAGAGGTGGTACTCGAGGAGGTAACGGTGGTGGAATGCTGTGGATGAACGTAACTGGACTGATTGATGTTGATGGGTTGGTCTCCGCAAATGGTGAAGACGCTTTGTCCCTGACTGGAAGTGGAGGTGGTAGCGGTGGAAGCATTTGGATGTATTGCAAGACGATCAGAGGCTATGGTAGGATAGCTGCTAATGGGGGTGCTGGTTCTAAAGACAGTTCATACCCTGGAGGTGGCGGTGCGGGAGGAAGGGTTGCCATTTACTTTCAAATAAATGAGACGTCAACTTATTTTGTTTACGAGGCCCGAGGTGGATCAGCTCTTGGATGTGAGGTTGGTAAAGAACATCTTTGTAAAGCAGAGGCTGGTGGTCCGGGCACCGTGTTTCTTTATCATATGATTCACACCCATCGCACATTACTCATCCACAATGGTGGACAAAAACCGCTGGTATCAGCAATAGCAGACTACAACGATTTATCCGAGGATGGTTGTCGGGCTTGGATCTTACCGCAGTCAGCCAATCACGATTTCGCTGGAAGGGGGCGTGATTTCCACTTTGAAGAGCTTCAGGTGTATGGAGGTGGTCATCTGGCAGTGCTTACTGAACCGGTCGGCGAGAAGGCATCGTTATTCTTCCTTCATATGATTGGAGATCGCACTGGTACATTACACGTATCGAAAAATCAAACCATGGACTTACATCGACCCGAAATAGACACTCCATTCAGTGCGCACGTTTATGCTGGCGGTTATCTTGGGCTTGCCCCATACACCGAAGTTCATGGCGTGACATTATTTATTTCCGGCACCGTAGATCACATACAGAATATGACAATACATCATGGCGGCGCATTTTGGATGTATCACGGGGGAAACACAGCTAATCAAACGAACAGTTCTTTTGAGTTTGATGCAGTTCGAGTGCAGGATAATGGTGTTATACAAGCTATAACATCTCCAATCATTCACCCAGGAATCACAATCATAGCCAGGGCGTTTTTTGTTGAGGGAGGCGGGCTTTTCCATGGGACAAGGATGACTGTCTTAGGGGAAAATATCACTGTCGATGATGGAGGGCTGATCTCCGCAGATGGCGAGGGCTACAACAGGTACGAATATTTCGTGAAGGGAAACGAAAGTAGAATACTAATCGCTGATGTGTGGTATGCAGAATTCTTACTGAATTGTTTTACATTACCACAACAACGCGGTTATTAATCGAGGTTGGTTTGCTCAGCTAAATAGCATTCAGTAAATCTATGTGGAAAATGGGTTATTAACTCACAATTGTTCGTTCTGGCGTCAAAAGCAGTAGATCACAATTGATTCTGTCAAGTGAAGAGAATAGCTTGTTATGTTGCAGTCGATTTGCTTTTAAATTTAGAAAAATTAACGTATTTTACAAAACCACCATCAAGTAAAGGATGACGGAAAATTGTTGTGTACATTTATTTCCTAAATGTAACGAGGATAATATCGAGATGTTTACAAATAGGCAAACGAGTTTAAATTATGACTTTTTTCTACCTTTTGTTCTTAGGACGCATCCCCAAGGATCAGGCCTCCATGGTGTCATAAACCCAGGTATTGGTTCCTCTCACATCTATGGTTCCTCAGGGGCAGGCTGTGGTGGAAGAGGAGGGAGAGGCGACCACAGTGCTGTTGTCGGAGCTGCTTATGGGGACCTCTACGAACCTGTCCGATTCGGAAGCTCAGGTGGAGGAGATAAATCGGGAAGAGGTGGTGGGGTTATTTGGTTTAATGTCACCAATGTCATTCAAATAGATGGAGAGGTTTCTGCAGATGGACGTAAAGGCGACAACTCAGGTAGCGGAGGAGGAAGTGGAGGAAGTATCTGGATGCATTGTTACCGGATAAAAGGTGTTAAAATTAATTTTTACACTCCTGACATTTCGACTATTTTTGTTAATTACCCTCTTGAAATAACATACTTTTCATGGTTTCGTTGGATTCTTAATGCACTATTATGTAAACTGTATTGATTGTCATGTTACTTTCATATAAAAGGAAGTCCTTTGAAAAGCCTTCTTCTTCGAATAGGTGCTACCCCTTGTATTGTAGATTTGAAGAAGGCGACTGCGTTGCTTATTCCAGGAATTACCGTAAGACACCTTACGAAAACCTGTCATAAATGAAAAGTTATTTTCTTAAGCAAAAACGAACTCATCTCACTTCTGTCCTAAAGGTACTGGTGCTATTAAGGTCAACGGTGGTGCCGGTGGTGGGAATTCTGGAGGTGGGGCTGGTGGAAGGATTGCTGTGTACTTCACTGAGAACACCACATACACGGGCTCCTTTCAGTCACGAGGAGGTGCCAAAGGTGGAGGGTCCAATACTGAGGCTGGCGGACCTGGAACGGCGTTCCTATATCATCTAGTGCATACTCATAGAACACTGCTTGTAGACAACGGAGGTCAACATCCGCTCACCAGAAGAATATCGGACTATTCGGATCTCTCGCGAGATGGAGGTCGCGCTTGGATCTTACCTGAGTCAGGTGGCCATGATTTTGCCAATGGCTCTCACGACTTTCACTTTGAAGAACTGCAGATTTATGGTGGTGCTCATTTGGCGATATTGACTGAACCGGTGAATCGTGCAGCTTCAGTGTTCTTTCGCTACATGATCGGTGACCGAACAGGAATGATTCACATCAGCCAAAACCAAGTTATGAACCTACATCGCCTGTTCTTGGATATTCCTTTCAGCGCATATGTTTATGACGGAGGGTACCTTGGTCTTGCACCCATCTCTGAAATGAATAAGATTATTGTGTACGTGGAAGGAACCCTTGATCACATTCGAAATCTCACCATTCTAAACGGCGGTGAGCTTCACTGTTACTTGACAGGCTCAACTGGAGAAAGAATTCAGCGTCATTACAACTTCAACGAGACCGTCAGAATCATGGCGAGATCTCAAATCCAAAGCCACAGCCCCAACGCCCATAAAGAAACATTCAGCCTCACAGCCAGGATCCTATCGGTGGAAGGCGGGGCAGCAATAAGCACTTTCAACATGAACATAACAGCTGTCAATCTTACCGTGGACGATGGGGGCTCTATTGATGCAAGCGATGGTGGTTACACAGCAACTAAGGGACCAGGAAGTTTGTTGACAAACAACTGGAGACGAAGTGGCGCAGGACATGGTGGAACAGGTGGAAGGGGAAGTTGCGGGGGCTATCACACATGCCGGCTCAAGAAGGGACTACCATACGGAAACTTGTATTATCCGAGGGATTTTGGAAGTGGTGGTGATGGTAATGGAGGCAAAGGTGGCGGCATTTTAAGTATTTCTGTGGCGCATACCCTACAGGTATTTAACTCAATACTTATGTGTTTTATTACATGCTATGATACTTAAAAACCCATTTTGTATTGAATTTATATTTGTTGTTGATGAATGCAAATGGTGCGGATTGAATCCACCGAGTATGACTGCTCTGCTTTCACATTTCTCTTCCCCTTTTTCAGCTACATTTCCTTAGCTACACATTACTATTCCTTTGTTCTGTTTGACTATGATACAGCTTGGATTCTTCCTGATATCTTTGCCTTATAAAGGCTTTTCTTGGGAGGCAATGAGCACGATCTGTGTTTTTTTCGTCAGAACTGTATAACAAATGCCACAGTAAGAGGATACCAAAGTTGTGAATAATCTGTCACGACATACAGAGGTTTACATGAACATGCTTTTGGTGTTTTTCAGACGGTAAAATTCTTGACTTGGTTCTGGTTCAAGTTTTGGACAAATTTTCTTTTCTTTCCTTCTTCCTGATAGGTGGATGGTAACATTTTTTCAAATAGCCGAGCTGTCAATAATGATAACGGTGGCGGGAGCGGTGGAAGTATCTTAATTCACACCCAGGTTCTCTCAGGTGGCCATACTGGTGTTATACAATCTAAAGGTGGAAGTGGTACCGCAGGCTCGGGTGGTGGCTCGGGAGGTCGCATAGCAGTTTATTACAGCAACAATGACACACACCATCCGTACAGGGGGAAATTCGACACCAGTGGTGGCAGCGTTACATCTGGCGCGGAGGCTGGTGCTTCTGGAACAGTTTACCTTAAACACACCGGAAGTGGATTTTCGACACTTCGAGTGGATAACAATGGACAACAAGCTTTGGATGACGAGATTCCGAATGCAGGTGTCCTGTTAGATCTGTCTGGAGGCAGAGCAGACCAAGGCACAACCTACAATGCGCCAAATGGAATGACAGTTACATCCAGCTGTGCTATTAGGTCACCTTTATGTCATAACCCATGCTACAGCTGCCGCGACTACTCAATAGCAAACCTTTTCGATCAGACATTTTCGACAAGCAGCTGTGCCGGTTATTTCTTGTCTGGCTGCCATTACACGAAGCTGACGGTCGATTTAAAGAGTTTACTGTTTATCAACCACATAAGATTCTACCCATTCTGTAGCGGATCTCGACCTAACTTCCGCGTAAGTAGAGTTAACGGTCTCTCTTATCTTTTCTAACTCCATGCGCTCAACCGAAAGGAACCTGTATACTAGTTTCACTGAAGTTCTATACCTCAAAATAGTTTTTCTTCACTGCCAAGGACAAGCTCTATTGCACTATAGCTCCAACATTTTTCTTAAAACACTTAAACTGAATTTTTAACTCTGACCAAGTTTTAGATCTCCGAGAAGTATCATATTAATTATTGCATAAAAAAATAACATAATACCATTCCTTTATTTTTCACTTGCGTTCTCATATTAGACATTTCTTTGCTTTTATTTCTCGAATTCCCAAGGTCACAACGAACGATGGCATCCGTAATGTGCCAGTTACGAGTAACTACGTTCAAATATCTAACGGCTGCATTCAGGGATCTTATGTTGATATGCCGGTGAGAAGGAACGCAACTCAGATATATGTGGAACTTAACCATCCCACAAGTAACACGTATTCTGGCCTCTCTGAATTGGAAGTATTTATTGATGGAAAAGAAGTTTGGGACAGGTTAGTAGTAACTTAGCAGAAACATTTATTATTTGGCCGTTGATTTTTCTGTTGGTGGAGAAAAAAAAAAGCGCAGAAGTTAAGCTTAAGTGTGAAACCATCGGGAAGCGATATATCGTTTCTTGGGTGGACGGAGGAGTGGGGAGTGGAAGAGAACTCACCTTAGTCATAGTGAACTAATGACACAGGTTTACTTGTTTTTTATCACCCCCTTATGAATGCCATCGGGCTTGTCGAAATGAACGTACTACACATAACGCAGTTAAAGCCATAACTTTCCAGGTACGTTCGTAAGATTCAAACTTACCCTTTGCTCTAAAAAGTAACAATTCTGGTCAAAAATGGGCAATAAGACTGTTAAATAGACATGGTTTAGTGGATCTCGTGCTCACTCTTCTTCCTACAACCAGGTACAAGTACAGGAGTTTCGATGGCGCCAAAACGTGGATTGAACCAGCAACTGGCACTGATGTCTACAGCTTCAGTGAGGTTCATATCCGGGGATCTGCTCAGCTTGCTGTGATGCCGCTGAATGGCTTGCAGGCTCCGGTACATTTTCATGCTGACAGGTTGTACGGAGACAAGAGTGGCTTCCTTCATGTAGGATACAATCAAAATTTCTCTGTGGCAGTTACCGATCCCGACATTCCATTTGGTCTGCGTGTTTATGAAAACGGGAGTATGATGCTACCGAGAAGAGCCTTTTTGCAAACAGTTAGTTTCAAGTCATCAGGAAAGGTGTGGATTTTTCTTCCTTATAATTTGTTTTCCTCTTTGAAGTACCTATGAAAGGGCATTGAGCTCTTATTTTCCCTAGCAATGATATCTCTCAGCCACAGTTACATTGGCTCTTTCTTTAACTCCGTTGCAATTCGTTGTAATGCTAGCATTATCAAAATCCCTCTTGCGAACAAAATTAGGTTTGAATCCACAATAGTTTATGTTTTAATGCCTCAGATCTGTAGTGTATGAAATTTCTTCACAAGGCTACAAATATTCCACCGAGAGGTAGACCCTGTTTGCCATTACTTCTCTCATTTTTTTTTTGTTGTTTTTTTTTTGTTGTAGATATGGGGCGTCCAGGACTTGTTTGTGTTCGATCACGGAACCTTTTACGGTGATTCAAATTCCAGTCTTGGAAAAGACACAGTTCCTGGACAGTATTTGGTCAAGTCCCTCCACGTGCAGGATAGAGGGGTGTTTGAGCTGCATTCAACTGACAAGAAATTGACCAGTAGACTGTCGCTCACTAACTTAACGGTGAGTGCATGGAGCATGTGTAAGCAAAGCATGAGCTCAAGCGAAACTTTGGGCACTTCGTGATGCTATTGAAAGTGTTTCAGAGACATATTTTGTAAAAAGTGTTAAAGAAACAAATAACGATATCAAACATTTTCAAAAGCTTGAGAAAAAAAAAAAAATATATATATATATATATATCTCGGTCTTCCTGGTGTGAGAATTTAAACCAGAGACAGTTATAATTTCACAGTCTACCACCCGAGAGACAGGGACGTTGTTTTCTATGTCATATTCTAGGCTAATACGTCACAAGTGTGTGACAAGCGCTCTAAGATCATGCAGCTGCGCTTTAGAGGAATTTTAATATTCTTCTTCTTCATCTTATTATTATTATTATTATTGTTATCGTCTTTATCATTGCATTTATAAGCATTAAGCGTCCGGTTATCCCTCTGATCAGAGACGTCGAAAATCTTAGTAAAATTCGAGCGGGGTCCCTTGATGTTCCTCAGTCGTAGTTTATCTATCTCTGTATGGAGCACCGAAATAGTTATTAATTCTTCACTGAATCACCGCTTCAAACTTCTTCAAAAAGAGGGGGGACAAAAAACCTCCATGTGAAATGTTTTATGAGTGGAGTGTGCTCAGATGAAAGACTGCGTGTCGAGAAATCAGTTCGACGCCAAAAAAGTCTCAGTATCACTATCAGTGGTCTTTAACAACCACATTGTGTCAAAATTAGCAAGTAGATAATTTTTTTTAATCATATGATATGCTTTGCCAGATTTTCGGCGGTGGTCACTTCAAATCAAACAACAAATTGCACATCGCAGTGAAACATCTGCTACGGATAAACTCCGGAGGAAGACTGAGTCACAATCATGCTGGGTACGTCACCAAAGAGGGCAGGTCTGGAGACGAGTTCGAACCGTCTGAAGGCCCTGGCCAAGGGATTGGTAGTGTTCATGGTGCAAGTGGTGCTGGCTTCGCCGGAACTGGTGGAAGAGGGACTGGGACGGGTCTTGTAGGGCAGTTCTATGGAGATTACAGAAGGCCAGATGATTACGGGAGTGCTGGTGGCTTTGGGTTACATTACGGTAAGATGATTGAGAAAAGATAAGTCTAAATAACCTGAACTAAAATACCACAACAACTGATACAAGCAGCATGCATGATAAGTGACAAATCATGGCGAGAAGAACCATGTGGTAGAATGATTTTTACTTGTTTCTTTCTCAGGTAACTTGTACTATGGAGATTATCGCACAAGCTCTGTGGGCCCATACAGAAATTTCATCACCCGTAGTGGTCTGGGAGGACAAGGGGGTGGAGCGATAGAGATTGTAACGCGTCACTTGATTCTTGATGGACACTTGTCAGCTGATGGAGAAGACGGTCCCCCACCCAGCACAGCAGGAGGAGGCAGCGGAGGTAGTATTTGGATTGACTGCGAAGAGCTGGATGGCTACGGAACAATCAGTGCTAATGGAGGGGCAGGCTCACCAAGCAAAGGAGGAGCGGGATCTGGTGGACGAATAGCGATTTACCAGGCGTTCATGTTGAATTTTAACGGCACTCTCTCTGCCAAAGGTGGAAATAGCGCAGTGGAACCGGGTGCTTCAGGCACTGTCTTTCTTGAGACTCGAAACAACAGCAAAGTTGAGTACAGAGTTTTGAAGATAAGCAACTTCGGCTTGGCTTACCCCTGGGCTGTTGATAAATCACAGGGGAGGTTAAGAAACCTTATGAGGGGAATTTACACTGATACAAAATATGTTGGAGCTGTCACTTGGTTACACGAAGCAGATAAATACACCCTCGACGAATTTCATCTTCATGGAAACTCGCACGTGGCTCTGTATGGAAACGGGTCCCGCGGGAATGTCACGCTGTACGCGCACACGCTTCGCGGAGATCGCAGTGGCGTTTTTCACGTTGGTCGTTTTCAATCCGTAGTGTTTGACTTTGTCGATTTGTATTTCCCAATTAATACGCTTGTATACTTTAACGCTACACTGGAGGTGCCTCGAAGGTTGTCGCTCCGTGAGGTTTACATGGAGATCAACGGGACGCTAGCCGACTCAGATGATTACACCATTGATAGAGACGGCAAGCTGTTTTTATGGTCGGGAGGACAAACACTGGGCGAAAAACAGGGACACTTTCGGTTTATAAACATGTCAATCAAGTCACTCGGTTTGCTGCACACCACAAAAATTCAGGGTCATGGTCCAGTAAGTCTGCACACCACACGATTTGTAGTAAATGCCGGTGGGCTGGCTAGTGTTGATGACTTCTTTCTGTACTCTGTGAATGCCACTATCGATGTTGCTGGTGAGAAATACGTTCCTTGTTTACTAAGCCGTTCCTTTTCTATTTTCGTGAGAAAACACGTAATAGGAAAAATTGATCCTGTACGCCACTCGATCTACATAACGTTCTTGGAAATATTTGTTCCATCAATGCCATCTGTAGAGGCTGAAACTAGTATTTCTAACGCTCTACAGACCCAGAATTGTCAAAAATACTAATCAGATAGCTCTGACGCTTGATTATTGAGGCCAACATTTTCCTGCACGATTAATTGTCTGCGTCAATTTTATTTATTTCGAAGTTAAGAAAGCTAACTTAGCAACATGAGCGAATCAATGTCTTCATGTTAAAAGCAGATAAGTAGAAAGGCAACGGAAACGGCAGCTTATCTTTCGCGACATAACTACATGTTAGGAAAGGCTTGTCACCTACGATTTGTTTTGCTGTTCCTTGACATAAATCTGATCATGAAAGTTTGATTTTTATTTTCCCGCTTGTGGTCTTCTTGACTAAGTCGCTCTCGAACTGTGTACGAAAGGTCAACTAAAAAATGTGGGGGGTGTCATAGTAGCGGTTAGAACAAAAGGAAGACTCCATACCCGTGGCCATGCTAAGATGGTTTGTTTTTCTGTGTGCAGGTGACGTGTCAGCAGACTTCAGGGGATATGGTGCAGAACAGGGGCCAGGAACTGCTGTTCAGAGGACTCCTTATTACACTGGAGCTGGAGGAGGGAGTCACGGTGGCCGTGGTGGACGGGGGACAGCTGGACTCCACACGCCTTCTTCCTACGGCTCTATATACGAACCTACTCAGTTCGGCAGTGGTGGTGGTAATGGTCTTAACGGTATGGGTGGTGGGCAAGGTGGCGGTCGTATTGTCTTTGAAATATCAGATATGCTTCGACTGGAGGGACACGTTCATGCAGACGGAGAGCCGGGAAGTAGGAGCTCCGATCCAAGTGGTGGAGGCGCTGGAGGGAGCATTGTTATCCGTTCATTCAAGTTTGACGGCGAGGGTACTGTATCGGTGAACGGAGGATCATGTCCGTCCACGTATGCGCCCTATGGGGGCGGTGGAGCTGGTGGCCGCATTGCTGTCTATTACAATGGAAGTTACACTTTCATTGGATCATTCCAGAGTTATGGCGGAATCAGTCAGGCAGAATGGGGTGGAGCAGGAACAGTTTATATAAAAAACAACCAAAACGTGAGTCAGCCCTACAGCATTCTTAGAATTGACAACAGAGCTACTCGCAGTGGACCATCAAGGCTTAACGAGATTCAAGAACTTCACCTGGCGGGAAACAGTGCTGATTATCCCTATTACTTGACATCGTATACGGCCCCCAATGGAGTTACTTTAACCACAACTGGAATTCCCTACTGTGGAAGAACTTCTCATCACGATTCCAAAATATGTGATACCGACGATTCCAAGATATCGAATTTGTTTAAGTCGACGTCCAATAGTTACTACACTCAGAATTCAAACGCCGTTGTGACTTACCGTTTTCCTTTACCTTTGTTCTTGGAGTACTTATTGATCTATCCTCACTGCAATTCGCATCACTGGACGCAGTTTTATGTAGGCGTTTATTTCAATGACAGTGAAGTTGTTGGATCCAATGGATGGATTAACCCAACAAACTGCCTCCAAGGACAACCGCTCAGAATGAACGTGAGACAGACAGTTGAAAAGGTAAAACTACGTCTGTAATGTATCACTTTAGGTTATAAGAGCAAGTACTAAATTTGGTGCCTCGTAATGTTAGTAGGGTGTGTAAGATATCTTACGGCGACTTGTGGGAAAATATTTCTGAAAAAAGAAAGTTCCTTTCCCCTAAGAATTTCGCCAGTCGCAGGATGCGTTAACCACTTCCTACGGCGCGGCCCTTCCCTTCGTCATTGCATGTGAATGCAGTGTTGAGTTCAAAGTAAAACCGAGTAAAACCGACCAAAATGCTGTTCAGGTTTCCTTGCTAAGAGTACGTAAAAGATGGTGATTCCACGTTTTTGTTCTGTATAGGCTGGTTATGAAGTATACAAAGTTCTAAAACGAGAGTGCTGCGCTATTGTGTTGTTCTTTAGATCTTTCGTTTCGCTTGCTGTCGCCGTCGTAGTTTTTTAAAAGTTCCTAGTTGTATTTCGAAGTGGACTGTAACCAATGGCTGATGCTCGAAAGTCAGTTTTTTTTAAACATTTGACACGACCATATATTTCTCTCTTGTCATTAACAGGTAGAAATAAGTCTCCAAAGAATCAGCTCGTACTCGTCCCTCAGTCTCGTAAGATTTTTCGTTCGTGAAAACCCTTCAACCACCCTACAGACGCCACATTACACAAGTCCCAGTACTTCTTGGATCGTGACCGAAGAAGAAAAAACTACACAACATGATTTCAGTGAGGTATGATGTGCTGTTGGTGATTCAATTGCTATTTTTACCTTGAAGCAAGAAACTAAAAAATCGACGACATGTTCATTGATCGTTCCGCCTTAAACGTCTTTTAAAAATCTAAAAAACAAAGTAGATCGCGACAGGCCTGGAAAGATAATTTTAACCTACCCACGTCCCCAACAAGTGTTGTTTCTATGTTTCACGAGTGCTCAAAAATAACATTTTGGATCACCCATCGCTTAAATTATGTCTACCGCTATGGTGGCCATAACATTCACTAATATTGCTTTTCATTATATACCATGAAGGAGAATAGCACTTTTCGCGCGCTGATTGGCTAGTTCGGAAGTGATTGGCAAGTATTATTCACCTCCGAGCAGCCGGAAAGACAAAGTTGTGCGTCAAGGTTTTAATTTCCGGCAATTTTTCGGTATATTGAACTAAGTAAAATAGGTTGTTTTGTATTTGTGATATATACAGTAATTAACAATTATTTACCTCAGTGTCGGTGTTAGTCTTCCACTATTCACTTCCACTTCGGTAAATAATTGTTAATTATTCTTGTTTTTGAAGCTACAAATCATGGGCCAGGGAAGTCTGTCCATGTCCGGGAATTCCGTCAAGATGAGTGTAAACAAGGTTGTTGGTGACAACTCTGGTATCTTGACAATGCGCCCGACACAGAACATTCTCATGAGAGGCTCAGAGGGACACCTTCCATTCTCGCTCCTCTCTCAGAAGGGCTCCAGTGTAGCCTTTCCCACCAGCATGAACTGTCGTGAGGTCGAGGTGACCATTCGTGGGGTGATGGGAGAGATGAAAAATCTTACCGTTGGACCACAGTGTCGGTTTGTTCTTGATAACTCTTCAGAAACGGAATTCATGTTAGATCATATGGTCGTACAGACTGACGGTTACATGGCAGTTCTAAGAGAAGATAGGGAGGACGTAAAAATGGTTGGAAAGACTTTTGATATAAGAGGAGGAGCCAAGGTCAGTAATCATTTACAACAGAGGCAAAGTTCTAATAGTAGATGTAAATCATTTTGTCATTCGCTTTGGAGGCACTGAGTCTTTGTATCCTAGATTTTTTTAAGGAAAAGAAGTTCCTGCACTATTGTTTTTCGACGCTTTGTGCATCTTGTCTTTAGAAATAATAGGCCTTGTACCTTCGTGGAATTTATATCGATTGATAAACTTAAGGATGTTGATAAATGTTTAACTCTCGATCATGGACTGAAAGGTTGCTGAATAGACTTCTTTAGCTTGTATGTTTTTTTACAAATTTCAAGTCGTGATAATACTCTAAAGATTTGTTTCGTTCAAATTTCCTCCTATTCACGTGCACATGTACGCATAATATAGAAAAGATAAAGCTGTGAAGTCCCTTGAGACCTGAAATGGGTAAACTAAACATACAAGCTATTGAGTGGTTCAGCTTAGAGATGTTATGAGCATTTGCAATTGAGAGAACGCGCGTCTCCTTTCTATAACAGATGGAGGCGAACAGTCTTACATTGGACTACATCAACATCACAATAGAGCCTTTCGCTGATCTCTCAAGTGATGGGCTCGTCGATGAAGTTCCCGGATCACGTTACCATGGAGATGGATGGGGTGGTGATTCTGGCGGCGGATCCTCGGGCGCAGGGCATGGCGGTCATGGTGGGGTTGGTGGAAGGCAGCAAAAAGTTGGTATCTCCTACGGGAAGTATAGAAGGCCCACAACATTTGGAAGTACAGGCGGAGCTCAAGTATTTCCCTTTACTGGCGGATTAGGAGGAGGTCGTTTTAAAATTATTGCCCACGATACACTTGTGGTGGACGGAGTACTGTCCTCCAAAGGGGGAAATGCCCGAGCTTCTCGTAGCGGTGGCGGAAGTGGTGGCAGCATTTTAGCATATACCTCAAGAATCCATGGCGACGGAGAATTTGACGTTTCAGGAGGCAACGGAGACAGTTCAACCGGGTATCATGGAGGCGGAGGTGGAGCTGGTAGGATTTGCTTGTATTATCGAGAGAACCACTTCCTTGGTCGTTTTCTTGGTTTTGGAGGCACCAGTTCAATCGAACCCGGTGGTCCAGGGACAGTGTTTCTAGAGAACGTCCCTGGGATGAACGCTACCTATGGGCATGACCGTATAGACGAAGCAGCGCACGCAGAAAGAGTGCTTCTGGATGAAAATGTTGTCAACGGAACACAATGGGTTCGCAATAGAACATTGTACGCAAATGCTATGGGTCGAAAACCTCAAAGTCCAGACGCTAATCTAAGTTCAAGCTATCGTGATTTCAGCGTTGGTGGCTCAAGCAGAGTATGGCTCATTTTGGACGATGAGGATCTGGAAGCGAACGGGACCGATGTTGAGCTTGACGAGTTACAGCTTTACGGCGGAGCACAACTCGCCATTATCAACCCAGCAAACACCAAAGCGTACATATCCATTGTGATTGGTCAGATGGAAGGAGACAGAACTGGTAGAATTCATCTCGGCTTTAATCAGACTTTCCTCTCTCTCCAGTCGTACCTTCCCATGGACATGATCATTTATCAAGGTGGACTCACCACTATGCAGGGCGAGCTGCTTGTTGCTGGGGTAACAGTCGAAATTGATGGTGTTTTGAGAAGATGTCAAAACATCACTGTGGTGGATGATGGTGTGATTCGCATGAAGGAGATGTATGATGTGGAGGGAAAACCAACTGAGGTAAAAGCACGAAGTTGCATATGAATTGGATTTTTTTCTTTTTCATTAGAAACGAATACTGATTTACATCCAATTTTTTATCCTCAAGTGCCAGAAATAAACCATAGATAAGGGAATGTCTTTTAGAATGTCTGGTTTGACATAATGATAAAAAGATATTCCTTTTTCCTGATTCATCTTTTTTTGTGAAAGAAACAATTAAAGACAGGCCGCCATAAAACCTTACTCACTTGAACTACAAGGGGAAAAAGTCTTTATGTATTTAGTGGAGCTTTTGCCGGGATCGTATTTCAGCGATATATGTTCTTGACTATTGCAAGTTTTTCTTGTATTGTATGTTTTTACTCTAATGTCTTAAAGCTCATTTTCCTACATTTCAGACATTTTATTTCGAAGCAATAAATGTTCGAAATAAGGGCACCATGATGGTAACCAATCAGGAGCGAGTTCGTGAATTTCGTGGGAAGTCCATGCAAATTTATGGAGGGGGAACGTTTACAGCAGTTAATCTTCATGTACACGTCGTGAACTTTACCATCGATGCGCTAGCAACAGTCCACGCAACTTTGGAAGGGGAAAAATTCGATTACGAAGGTATGGCTGCTTTAAAACGCCATACTTTTGTAGAGTTATGTAAATTGAATTATCAGACAAGCTTTTTAAGTGCGAGACTTATCTTACCTTGGATTAGAACTAGAAATGAGACGACTTTCGCTTGCGAACAGCTATCAGATTCGAGCATTTACAAGACGTTCTAAGCATGTAAATTTCACAAGGAAAACTCTGTTACATGTATTTATGTCTTACGACTCTATTGTTTTCGCGAATTATATTGTCTTTGTGCCCAAAAACTTGAAATCTGAGACTACAGTTATGCTTTATTCTTGTAACTGACATTTTAGGTAAGGGCCCTGGTGCCAAGTATCCAACCCCAGGCTTTGCTGGAGGATCAGGCGGTGGTCACGGGGGACTGGGAGGACGTTCTACGAGTCAAGTGACAACTGGGGCTGCATATGGTTCAGTAAAGGAGCCTACAGAATTTGGTCGGTAGTTTGTTTTTCTGTTGATTTTCAATGCTTTTTTGTTGTTAGGATAAATGAATTGGTTTAGATCCTCCAAGATTTGTACGTGTGATTAATTTTGATGGAAAGTGCTCATGACAGGTGCCTGGAAGTTTCTCCATTTCGCCGTGCAACAATCGAAATAGGAAACTTCCATATGCGGCTAGAGATTCGTGTAGATAATGAATCACTCCACTATTATTAAGAAGGGTATTTCTATTTATGTCATTGGGCGTCCAATGAGGACGAATTACGAAAAAAAGACCAATTAATGTGTTCAGAATTGTGCCTATAATGTAAATCCTAATGCTTCAAAGCTTAAAGCTAATGCTTATGGCGCATGTAGTTGCATATTTTCTTTCTCCCATGTGAGTGCTTGATGCTGTACCTACGGTGTTTTATTTATCTCTTTATTTATTTATTCATTTTGATTAAATAATCTAGCTTTCTGGACTGACCATGGCGCTCTTGTCATGAAATAAAAATGCTGGGAAACGCTCGGCATGGTTACCTCTTATTTTTCCAGTTTCACGTTAAATAGAATGATTTTCAAATCCACAGGTAGCAGTGGTGGCAAGGGAAGCAGTGGGGCTCATGGAGGACGCGGTGGCGGTATTTTATTCCTGAACATCAGCGACACCCTGGACATCGAAGGAACCCTAAGTGTAGATGGTGCCAACAATGGTGGGTCCGAAGCTGGAGGAGGAAGTGCTGGAAGTATTCTAATCAGAACTGTTTTACTGGAGGGGAGTGGAACTGTTCAGGTAATTTTACCTTGAAGGAAAATCGCTTCTTGAACCAACCGTCGTTAAGCAATTAATAAAATAACGTAAAATAGTAGCAAACTTTTTGACAAGCGGACTACGAATCGAAAAAAATAATGTTTGATATTTTGAGATATAAAATTAATTTTCTAATACCTTTTCATTAGAAACTTAGAAGGTATCTTCTTATATCAAGAGCACGGTGAGGTACTTAAAAATATTATGTCTTAGTATTTACCACTCGGGTAAAAGATACAATTTTTTTGTATTTGTGTGGTATATGCTTAAATAATAATTCACCTCAGTGTCGGTGAAAGAGGTGGATATTGAAGCGGCGAGGTAAATACCCACCACTATTCACCTCCACTCCGGTGAATAATAATTAATTGTTATAAACCTAGACTTTCACTCAACAAAACAAGCACTGTGGTTGGTTGATTCTTGGTCACGTGCTCCTGATCAAATTCAAATGTATCCCGACCAGGATACAATTGCGCAGTTGTTGCCCGCGCGCCGAGTACAACAGCACGTTTATTTGTTTTTGCCATATGATTGTTCAAGGGAAAGTCTAAATATATAATGAAGCACTTAATGTATGGTCCCTTGTGAATCTAGTTAGTTTTGTTTTCCCTCGAATCCCCACGACCCAGGACTCTCGGGAAGACAAAACTAATTGTTTCCTTGGGATCGTAGATTAAATGTACATTATTTCGGAAGATTCATTGTCTTGAACATAAACATTGCTTTTTAATCAAGGCATTATCCTTTGATAACATGCTTTTGTTACTACTGGTAACAGCAACTGTCACATTATTCTTCTTATCAAGGCAAACGGTGGCAATGGTTACACTGGTTCTTCCAGAGGCGGAGGCGGTGGTTCTGGTGGCAGAGTCGCCTTGTACTACCAGGGAGGGTTCTTTGATGGTGTCCTTGAGGCCGCTGGCGGGAAGGGCGACTTAGAAAACGGTGCGGCAGGGACTGTGTACGTAGAAAAGGCGGTGAATAATTCAGACACGCCACATCGAACTTTGAAAGTCGACAACAAGGGTCGACCACCACTTAATGAACGAGTCAATGAGGTAAAAAAATGAGTCACTGACTTTAAAATTGCTTTAGAAGGGGCAATTGATCATTAAACGCGTTATACACTCTAAAAAAAAACAAAAAAATCAGGTATCGCGAAGAAAAAAAAACATATTTTCTTTATATTTGTTATTTGCTGGCGCTCTTGTTCTGTTAATGAAAAAAGATAACGAGCCAATAATACTCCACACACTTCAAAAAATTTGATTAATTTTGTTTTCTACCCTAACTGCGCAAAACGAATTAGAACCGCGTGTCTTTCATTTGGGCTGCAGGCCAATATAGTGATTTCATTGACGATTAAGCTTGTCCTTTACGATTGTTCTTGTCTTTAAGGAGGGAAGGATACGATTTGGACAGACAACGTTGAGTAGCCAATCACATACACACATGTACTCAGCCCTGGCTCTTCCAGCTCACTTCTACGTTGCAACACAGTTGTAAATACCCTAACATGTTACTCTGACGTTGAGAAATATAAAGTTAATTTATAATGAGAAAAGCATCAAAGTTGACCTTTTGTTGAAGGGAAGGTGACGGCTAGATATTGTTGTAGGTAGTTCTGCTTGCCTAATCTATATTTAAGTCACTCCATATTTTGTTACAGATCGAGGAAGTAAAATTGTATCCAGGAAGGTTGAAAGACGGCAGAGTCTACTCAGATGAGTACACCAGCATAAGTGGCCTGAGGTTCAAATCCGATGGGTCTACGATGCCCCTCTCTTTAGGATCCAGCAGTTATTATTCGCTGTCCCGAATGTTCGACGGAGACCTCAAGAACGCTTACATAGTGCAATCGTCCTCCGTCCATGTGGTCATCGAGGCTACTTTGCCAAGGCTAATGTTCATACATCACATCAGGCTTTATCCTGTATGTAGTACAGATTTTTCTGTCTAGTACAATCCTTACCTTATCAAGCTTTTACCTTCACAAGGAGAACGGTGGCATTATCCCTCAGGAAGAAGGGTGGAGCCCTTACAACTAATTTTTGTAGCGGAGAATTCTGTTACCGTTTTCGCAATTGTTATAACACTTCCCGTTGCCCCTTTTATTGTTAGTAACGGAGAAATTGACCTTATGAAAAATTTTATCATTGGTTTGGAGGCAAGGCGTGTCAGTATAACAAGACGAGGGTTTTACCATTAAATCTAACTCTGACGTCCTTGTTATGCCTTTAAGAAGCTTCTTCAAAAGTTTTTGAGTCATTTTTAGTGTCAATGATAACCGCTTCTATTTGTGTTAAACCTTGAAATAAATATTTGTATGGGTAGCAAATTTCCACGAGGCACTAAGAGGAGACAAATAATTAAGAAATGAAAATTTGGTTTGTAGGAAAAAAATTTGTTCGGGCGTTCACCTGACAAGAACCTATTAAGGGATTGTAAATAAGGTGTTCACTAGATTTGTAGCAAGTTGTTTTGAAAGTACACAAGAAGCAAGCATTAGAGGCTAAAAGTGAAAATCTGTTACATGCACTATAACGCTTTCTTCTTTCATGTTTTTTAGTATTGTCATCAACACTACCGCGTGAGTTTCACCTTAACGACGGACCATCCAGTTATCGGTTGGAAAGACAGAACGAAAGGTTCGCGTTCATTCGCAAATTGTTTTGATACTTTGGTTTACAATGATGTAACCATAGAAGATACTATTTCGAAGTTCACGGTAACATTGACAAGACTTGAATCAAACGTTGCGTTGAGCGAGCTTAAAGTGTTTGTCGGGCGTGATACGTCGTCCTTCAAAGCCATTACTCTTGAACAAGACAGCTCAAGAACATGGTTAGTATTCAACGATCAGGGAACCATGACATTTGAAGTTGACGAGTTGGATGTGCGTGGAAGTGCACACCTAGGTATTCAAAACGGAGCTGGAAAACTGGATTTCAAGGTGAAAGAGTATAAGGGGGATTTTACAGGAACTGTTCATGTAGGTGGAGCACAGAATTGGTACCTGAACGCCAGCAACAATTCCGTGATTCCTTTTACCCTCAGAACTTACCAGGTGAGACTATTTTCACAATCTACTGACTAACAGGGAAACTACCTTATTATGAGAGGGTTATTCTCGTGTTTATCAGGGTATTTAAAATCAACATGTAAGAGAGGTTAAATTTCAAACCTGACTCTTCCTTCCCTTTATACCCTTCCGCATAGAGAAACAGCATTTCTTGATTCCTTAGTCATGGTAAAATTACAGCATTGCAAATGCCAGAGAAGGATCAGGGAATTTTCGTAAGAAGTAGTTTTTAAAAGTCTTACTACTTCGACCGTTATTATTGTCTATGGTATTGACTCTTTGAAAATACGGTCGGCTAAAGAAAACGTCATTGTTTCGTAGTAATAAAATTATTTTTTTGTGCTAAGAGAATTAATAGCCTAATTAATGAAATTGAAGGATAGGAATTTAAAAGCTCTCGGAAAATAATGTGGAAATTAAGGCTAAGTAACTCAACGTGAATTGGGAGAAAGCTCGTTTATTTCAATGAAAAAGTCTGATAAGTCTGCATAAAAAAGCATTTATTTTATTGTGTTTGGTTATTAGGTATTGTAAAAGAAAAACACATGTTACCACAGTAGGATAGGTATCGTTTTTATGTATGCTTACTTTTACTCCTCATGAGATGCTTTTTACGTTCTCAAAAATATGTTTTTGTCTTCATAGGGCTCACAAGTTTTCCTCCCACGGGAAGTCTATCTCCAAACATCTTCAATTTACGCAGATTCTAAGCTGGAGGGGCTTAAAAACCTCTTCATTTCACAGGGAAGTCGCTTTGACGTTTCGCAAGGAGCGCATGTAAATTCCCCCTCGAAAGCCACCATTTTGTTGGATCGCATCACCATTCTAAATGGGGGAACGTTCTACCAGCGGACCGCTGTGCCCGCAAAATTAGCCCTGAATCTGACAGGGGAGCTGATCATCAACGCTGGCGCGTCAATGGAAGTCAGCCAAGTTCATCTCCAGGCCCATAATATCTTCATCGACATTGACGGTGTTCTGTCCGCGAGTGGGCGGGGCTATTCCTCTATGAAGGGTGATGAACCAGGTCGGAAGTCTGACGTCTCAGCCTCCGGAGCTGGTCATGGAGGGGCTGGTGGAAGTAGCACGAGTCAAGAGTACGTTGGAAGGGCTTACGGATCCTTTCAGATCCCTCTTGACTTTGGAAGTGGTGGGGGACAGGGGTATCAGGACTTGGTGAGTTACACTGATAAATTGGTCTGCGGTTTAGAGCAGCTTAAGTGGTATATCTCATTACATGTCTAACTTCAGATCTTTGTTCATGTTTATTTCCAAATACATATCTAAAAAATTAGGTCGAGAAGTATGTTCTTTTCTGAGAAAGAGTATTTATTGAAAGGCTGTTCAATTACAGAATATTCACTGGTTTAAAAACAATACTAAGGGTTATGTTTTCTATCGTTCTTAGCCGGGTAGCTCCGGCGGCGGGGCCGTCAAGCTGAGTGCTTCTCATATCGTACAAGTTGACGGGCTTCTTGATGTATCAGCTGGTGCAGCTGTCAATCCAGGCACCGGTGGCGGAAGTGGTGGTAGCGTCCTCATCCAAGCAACGCTATTTCTGGGGAAAGGCAAAATATTTGCCGATGGGGGCGAGGTTGCTCATTCGTCGCTTGGAGATGCTGGGGGAGGAGCTGGTGGTCGCATTTCTGCTCATTACAAAAGCACAAGATTTGCAGGCTCTTTCTCAGCCCATGGTGGGGCCAGCAGAAGCGAAGCTGGAGGGCCAGGAACGGTCTTTCTCTCTGAAAACTCCACTCACACAACCATGATTATCGACAATAATGGTTACCGTGCTTCTAAATTGTATATCTCAGACTACAGAGATCGCTCCAACGACGGAGGACGTGCCTGGCTCCTTGCTGGCTACATGGACGAGTTTACCTTAAACCTGTTACAGTTACGAGGTGGCACTCACTTTGCCGTTTATCATCTTAAGCCTTCATTTACTCTCAACGTGGAACGACTGGAAGGTGACCTTGGGGGTTTAATTCACGTGTCAAAGAAAAACAGAGTGTATATCAAGAACGCTCCAAGACTGTTCCCTTCAAGTTTCCACATTTATAATGAGGGATTTCTTCATCTTCCCCGAGATGTCTTACTCAAGGACTTGTTTTATCCGAGAATTTCCCTTGAAGGGTTGATCAGTGGAATGGATAACTTGACACTTGGTGGAGGAGCGGAATTTGTGGTCACAGCAGAGGTATTGATTTTGAAGATTGTGAACTGAATGTAATTAAGAGTGTTATGAAATATGCTGAGCTTTCAAATGTGTTATTTAAAGGGTAATGGCTACTCGTTCAGCGAATGCTCAGTGTTATCCTTTCTTTGAAAGGATAGTTTTGTAAATTTTGAATGTGAAACTTGAATCCGCGCTTGTGGAAGTTGAAATGATTATGGAACGTCGCACAGCCTTATCTCTTTAATTGTTATTGACGAGAGGGAAATAGGAGGTAGACCTATTCTTCGCGGGGTAAAATTGCTTTTTCTAACAACAAGCTCCTTCTTAGCTGTATTATCAAAGTTTTAGTCAACCTTCAGTGTGTTATGTTTTAGTCTCGCTAGTTTGTTTGTTCAGGAAGAGAATCTCTCACAGCAAAGAAGCTGTCCAACATTTATACGCAATTACCGATAAAATGAATTAGGATTTCAAAGTCTACCAACTAGCCTATGTGAAGAAGTTCAAATGTTTGTGGCGTCGGGAAAACGGACATAGGAGAATAACGGTGGTTTTGAATGATGGGGAACTTAAGATGCGAATGAAAAGGCACTTATGAATTGAAGGAATCTTGTCACAAACAGAAGAAACTACGAGTAACTAATCCGAAGGAAGTGAATGTGTCTAGAAGGAGAAAAATACGCTACAAAGCAAAAACTATGAGTGGAACGTGGTGTAACAAGGAAGTCGGTCAGCCAGTTTGTCATAGAGTCAGGGAGTGTGTTGGTCAGCCAGTCAGTCAGTCGATCAGTCTGTTAGCTAATCAGTCGGTCGGTCGGTCGGTCGGTCGGTCGGTCGGTCGGTCGGTCGGTCGGTCGGTCGGTCGGTCGGTCGGTCGGTCGGTCGGTCGGTCGGTCGGTCGGTCGGTCGGTTAGGTAGGTAACTCTATTTCAAATGTAATCATAGACGGCTTGGAAATATATCCTGCAAGTCTTAAATATTTTTCGTTATCGCACTAAACTTATCCCTTTTGCAGGGTCAAACGGAGGGCTATAGCAAAAAGACAATCCATTTAAATTCACTGACAATCATGAATGGTGCCAAACTCGTGGCCACTGATACTGTTTTGGACTCACCAACGGTTACCCTGCTACTGAATGAAAGTTTAAGAGTGATGGCTGGCGGTTGGATACAAGGCAAGTGGATAGACATCAATGCTGGTGATATTGAAGTGGAGGCATCTGGAGTCATAACCGCAGAGAAACAAGGCCACGATGCAAAAAGTGGATCTGGGTCGCCATCAGGTAAATAAGCCTCTCACGCAGTTTGCATGTTTCGTGATATGTTTTGATTTCTACTCACAGAGTTATTGAGGATATGCAGTACAATAAGTTTCTTATAAACAGTGATATGAAACTATATATGACATTCTGTATGATGAGATGAATTATGCATTCAATTGGATTGGTTGTTGCTTATAAACTATTGTCAGAGAGATGCATGGATGATATCACCCTTAAAATCATTTTGCTTTTTTTGTTCTTATATTGAAAAAAATAGATTCCATGATGCCGTGGGTTTGTACAGTATTGTGTCTCAGAGGATGTTCTCTGTGTTCTTACCACATTTTGATGTCATTTTTTATCTATTACAAAACAGATGCACGGCATTATGGAATCTCTTTGATAAGTAGATGTGTATTTCAATCTCAAGATAAAAGAGTAATTTTAAACCAACATCATTTTTGTTTACCTCAAGAAAAAACAATATCCATCATTTACAAGTTTACAGTTACATTTTATCGAAACCTCTCCTAAGTTTTCTTCAAGGATTTATTGTTGACCTCTTGATGAAATTACTTTAAGGTTCCGCTGGTGCCGGTCATGGAGGTCGCGGAGGTCTTGGAGACTCCGGGTCATCCCCAGGTAACTCATACGGCTCCCTTTTTCGACCTCTTTCACATGGAAGTGGCAGCATGTTTGCTGTTGGAGGTGGTGTCATTAAGCTGGCAACTAGCCAATCAGTTACTATAGATGGTTTAGTACATGCAAACGGCGAGGATGCCCTCAACAAGTCTTCTGGAGGGGGGAGTGGGGGAAGTATCTGGATCCTATCCAAAGTCTTCAAAGGGAATGGAGTCATCAGAGCCTCAGGTGGAAGTGGATTGTTTTTCGAAAGTGGTGGAGGGGGTGGAGGACGAATCTCTATTGCATTTGACAACCGCACATTCAGTGGCAAAATAAATGTTTTTGGTGGAGCAAGCAACAAAACGGCAGGGGGCGCTGGTTCCTTATATCTCCATAATAAATACACAGATTTCAAACAGCTCATTGTTGACAACAACAATATAGGTTCACCTTTAACAGATGACATTACAGACGTCTCAAATGACGGAGGTCGAACCTGGCTGACACCAGAACCCAACACAATTGAAATGTCATTTGATGAAGTTGACATTCGAGGCCAATCACAACTAGCCGTCCTCACAACTCCACCTGACTCACCTTTCCGCTGGAACATTGGAGGCATCCGTGGTGATCGCTCAGGAATCCTGCATGTTAGAGCTAATCAAGAGATGTATATGACAATATCTGACAATGAGGGAAAACAGCCTCAATTGCTTTGGGGTGTCAATGTGTATCCAAGGGGTGACCTCAAGTTGCCCCATAACCTTGTTGTTGATGGGATCAAAATTATTACTGCGGGAAGTTTGAGTGGAGCTCAAAACGTCACTGTGGGAAATAATGGAAGACTCATCCTCAGGTAGAATAATTCTTAGTCATCAATGCCTGCTTTATTAAAATTGCAGTCCTTGCACAAATCACATTTAGGAACTTACCCTGTACTTTTGAATGGCCCCATAGTAAATGGCTAAGATTTATCCCATCACTCAATATTATTATACCTATTTGTTTTTTGGTAGTCTGAACGCATGGATTTTATGATTATTGATTATTACTATTTGTAGGCAATTAATTTCTCCCAACAACCAGATGTCCAGAAACCTTACATTTGACGTGATTGAGATCCAGGGCGGAGGTAGAATTGAAATACAAAGCGACAAGGACGGCCTTTCAATAAAATGCACAGCCCTGTGGATCCGCAGTGGTGGCGTTCTCATCGCAGACCGCCTTTCAATTGTGGCCGACTCAGTTACAATTGAGCAGTCAGGAATTATTGATCTTAACTATAAGGTAAATTTTTGTTATGAAAGTGTTATCAGATATGGATTCTTAGATATGAAATTCCACAAATTTCTGTGCTGAATCAGTATATGGGAATGGTTTGGCATGGAAATGGACATGACATTCTGATTTTACAACTTTTTCAATCTGTTAGGCTGTTTAGGTGATCCCACATGTACACTCACTTTTACCATCAAAAGCCTTTCTGAAACTCCCTACCTTTTCTTCAAAGACACAAGCCTTGGGAAGTACTATGGTTGAAATACACCGTATTTCTCTTCTTGGAAAGTAATTCTCTTCCCTAATATCAACATTATAGCCTCCTGGCTATGTTTTTAATTGTCTTCTGTTTTTTTTCTAACAGGCTGTTGTGGCAGGCTCAGGACCAGGAGCTGGGTATTCACACTATTCGGGATCTTCAGGGGCCGGCCATGGCGGTCGGGGAGGTAGAGGTCAATCTGAGAATCGAACTGGTGGTTTCTATGGAGATTTCATCAGTCCAAAAATGTTTGGTAGCTCCGGTGGTGGAGGAAGTGGTGATGACATAGCAACTGGCGGAGGTGTTTTCTACTTACATGCTCAACGGATTGTGCACGATGGAGAAATTTCAGTAAATGGAAAAGATGCTTTAAACAATTCTGATTATGGTGGAGGAAGTGGAGGAAGTGTTTTTATTGAAGTAGAATATTTTGACGGTTCTGGGATAATTGAAGCAAATGGTGGTGCTGGTGGAATCAATGGCGGTGGTGGAGGTAGTGGTGGAAGAATTGCCATCTATTACAATCAGACATTCTTCACTGGACAGATTTTCGCATATGGGGGAGGGTCTACTGTTGAGAGTGGAGCAGCTGGGACTATTTACAAGAAAAACAAACATAATGGTAAGAGTATCCTAGAGGTTTACAATGAAGGGAAGAAGCCATTGAAAAAGGCAATCGCTGATTATTCAGACTTGACAAGTGATAGTGCGAGAACATGGCTGACGATAAGCCACATTATTGGTTCATCGGTGCCAGTTACTGTGCCAGATATAAATCTTGGGACCACTGTTTACAAAGGCCTCACAATTACCGAAGTGAAGCTAGGTGGATCAGCTCATCTTGCAATTGAACCTGACGCCACCAAGATTCGCCTTCACACGTTTGCACAGTTTTATGGAATGTTTGAAGGAAACAGCTTTGGCTTCGTTCATGTTGGACCTAAGCAACTACTTGCAATGCCAGACACAGACTACTACATTCCAGTTAATTTAAAGGTTTACCCGTCAGGCTACATTAAGTTACCGGACAGAGTCATGCTACACAAGAACTCCCTGTCTCTTGATGCTGGATATCTCATTGGTGTCGAAGACCTAGCTATCTCGCAGTGTACAGTTTCGTTTGGAGCCGGCTCTGGAGCACAAAGCACAGGATCATTACAGGCGATGTATTTTAAGATTCAAACACTGACGATCATGAGCCAAGGGATATTAGATATGGTTGCACCAAACTCTAATTATTCATTACATATTGACTCTCTAGTCATCAACTCGGGAGGTGCACTAAATGGACGAAAAGTAGATATTGTTGCAAAGAGCGTAACTGTTGATGAGTCAGGGAAGATAAACTTGGATGGCCAAGGAGAGAAATGTCTAGATCCCAACGTTTACTACGCTGGGTCAGGAGGAAGTCATTCGGGCTATGGAGGGTTTGGAATTGGAAGCAAGCGACAAGACCCATTTGATTCAGTTTTTCTCCCAGTAGCATTTGGAACGGCTGGGTATGCTGGGCGTTCATCTTTTAGTTGTATGGGTGGATCTGGTGGTGGATCCCTGAACTTGACAGTCGATGGGACACTACAAATTGATGGTGAAATCTCGTCCAGGTGAGGATTTATAATATGTATTTTATATTTTTCGAAAGAAGTAAACTATTTCAGTAAAGTTACTGTTTTGAACTATTAAAAGTATCGTTTGGATGTTCTCTAGTCAGAATGTAATCCTCATTTTCATCAGAGAAATTGAGATTATGGTAATACTTCTGATGTCCTGTGTGTTACTTTCTAAACCATTTCATGTAGTATATAGGGCCTTAAAATGTTTTTTGACCGTGTGCATTCATTTCCTTTTCTCCAGAGGCCAAAATGCTAAAGACAGTGAAAGTGGTGGAGGTGCAGGTGGTAGCATTTTAATCAGAATCACTACACTAGAGGGTACTGGTACGTTCGAAGTCCAAGGCGGTGATGGCGGAGTCTCCTCTGGTGGAGGAGGTAGTGGTGGAATTGTTGCAATTTACTACAAGATATCATCACATCAGTTTTCCTACAAGGTTCATGGTGGAGGTGGCAAGAAGATCGGTGCTTCTGGCTTCGTGTACACGAAGAGGGATCTCCAGCGTAGTCGTCGGCAAGTATCTGAGTCAGATTCAGTACTGATCCTGGAAGGAAGGGAGGTTTTGTCTTTTGAATCTCCAAGTGTACTTGTCTGTGATCCAAAACTGATTGACTTTACTTTTGAGGAAGTGAAGCTTTTAAAATCCAGCACCCTGACGATGATTTCATGTTCTCAGGGAAGTCCTATGACTCTGATCGCAAGAACAATGAAGGGTGACAAAACAGCGTGGTTGGTCGTGAAACCAAATCATGATGTTTATATTGGCGTTACAAGCATAGTTGAGCCAAGCATGGAGCTAGAATTTAATGCGGAAATTGAAGATGGAGGGACGCTGTCTGTTCCGGGGAATTTCTTCATTTCTGGTGGTACACAGATAAACCTTAGTGGCAGCTTAATTGGCGTGTCGGACTTAACAGTCAACGATAAAGGAAAACTTGTGCTTAAATATCCTGGACATACTGGCTTTAGAATAACTCCTGACCAGGGAAAATCTGTAGTGCAGATTTCAACTGTGCGAATCAAAGATGGTGGAAGCATTACAACAACTTCACCAAGCAAGGTTGGAATAAAATCGGATCTCTTACAAAAAGACTTTGGTGGGAATCTTGGACCTGGAATTTCTGTGTCTTCGAATCAACGAATAGAGCACACCAATGGACCCTCTCTCAATAAGCAGGGCTGCCCACATGGATACGAAGTTGTTGAAGTAGCTTCCAAAACTTTGTATAACCCATGCGGTGTTGGGAAGCACATTTTTAACAAAAGAAATGAATCTTACCTCGTATTAAAAAACGTCTCAGTGGCCATATCACATAATGAAACCGTTTATGTAATTAAGAATGAGACACGCTTCAACGTCACATACTACATTGCTTGCGACTATGACGATTTCAAACTTTTACCTGGCCAATCTTGCACCCTAGCACCAGGAAGCTATAAATACAATTCTCTGGAAATACAAGGAAGTGCTGCAATGTATGTTGAACCAGGAACAGAAAAAGGAAATACTAGTACTTTATCTGTTTCTAAGCTTACCATCTTCTCTCAAGGCCAACTAATTGCAAAGACGTCCAATTTTATTGATGCCATCTCGACACCCTCGGACTATGGTGGCAGCTATGGAGGTCTCGGAGGAGGTGCTTCTGAAAACAGCGCCCTATATGGTAACATTTCATTTCCTGTGGATTATGGTAGTAATGGTGGAGGAAGCAGTCAAAATCATGGATGGGGAGGAGGTGTGATAATCCTAAAGACAACAGAACTTTTCAACGATGGGCTTATTGATGCTAGTGGTGGGGACGGATCTTCTGGAGCTGGTGCTGGAAGCGGAGGCAGCATCCAAGTAGTAACAGATTATATGAAAGGATCTGGTATATTCAGGGCTCGTGGTGGAAATGCGAACTTCCCTGCTGGAGGGGGAGGCGGGGGAAGAGTTGGAATAACGATACGTAAGGGGCAGAGTGAGTTTCGCGGTCTTTATGATGCTACTGGTGGAGATGGACGTAGACCAGGCTCATCTGGAACTGTTTTTGTTCGTGACCAAAGACAAGGAGCTTCATATGAAATGATCATGTTCTGGAACAAGATCATTGGCTATCCTCCGGCTCAATTACCAAACACGTCAGCTCCCTACACCTATGATGAAATCCGTTTAGAAAATCGCGGTACATTCCTAGCAACAGCTCAGCTAGTAGTCGCTAAGAGCTTTGTTACCGATGGCACTGGCAAACTAACAATTTCAGGAGGTGCCCGAGTTGACATTCTGAGTTTTTCAAAATCCTCGAGAACATTTTCATGTGACCTTGAAATACAAGCAGGTGGTTCCTTGTACTTCTACAATCAACCAATCTTTTTAGGTCCAGGTTCCCCTACTGTGGTAGTTGCCGGTATTTTGGATGCTAGAGAGCCTTCTGTTGGCAAAGGCAAGTCTATAAAAATAACTTCAACAGGGGAAATAAGACTGGATAAGCTGAGACTTCTTAAAGACTCTGTGATGCGAGTGGATTCTGATGCCTCAATCAAGAAGAGCTTCTCGTATGCTCAATTCCATCTTACCTCACTGAGACTGGATACGAATGCACAACTTATATTTGCTCAAGAAAATGTTTCTTTGAGGGCTGATTTAATTCATCTTAGCCAGGGAGCAGCAATCACGTCTGATACCGATACGAAACTTATCAACATCACAAGTAATGATATTCTTATAGATAATCAAGCAAGAATAACTGCTGATGAAGGAGGCTTTTTGGGTGGTCCAGGAAAGGCCAGCGGCTCTGGTAGTGGCTGTGGACATGGTGGAGGAGGTGGGGGAGGCCAGGGAGGAGAGTCGTATGGATCAGTATTTGAACCCCAGCATTATGGCAGTGGTAACAATGCCCGTGGTGGTGGAGTAATTTTCTTAAATATTAAAAGAGGATTTACTCTATATGGCAGTGTAAGTGCAAATGGTGCAAATGATTCAAGGGGAGGAGCAAGTGGCGGTAGTATACTGGTCCATTCAGGAACTTTATCTGGTCACGGGGAGGTTCTATCAAATGGTGGTGAGGGACTTAGTAATTCTTCCGGTGGCTCTGGTGGTCGTATAGCGCTGTACATTACAGATAGGACATCTTTCAAGGGTGTTCTCACTACTTACGGTGGATGTGGGACCACTTGTGCTGCAGCCGGAACAATCTTCATCCGTGAGTATGTGGTTGGACTGCCTCAGAACTCTACAGTAATAGACAATGGAGACAGGAAAACAGAAGCTAACACGATTATAATGCACGAAATGAAGATCTCTTACACGATGCGACTACTTAAACTCGTCAATGGGGCCCGGCTTGAGGTAGCAACTGTTCCTAATGTGGAAATGAAGATAGCCATTCAGAATCTTGAAGGTGATGGAAGTGGAAGCTTTCATGTGCATCACAATCAAACACTAACCCTGGGGGCTGGCAAGGCTGTTTCGTCACGACCGTTCATGTTTCCATGGGCAATGATCGTGGATGAGGGAGCAACGTTGAATCTAGATCCAGTACTTTTCATTACGCGAACAGCAATTTCGCCATCCCTGTACTTAGCTGGTAAACTGACTGGCGGAGAAAAAGTTACTGTTGGACAAGATGCCTCTGTGGTTATAGCAAAAAGTGGAGTTATTGGAACTCACTCCAACACACCTGGAAAGTACTCATTCCTCTCGCTTAAAGTCTCTAGTGGCGGACGCATTACAATTGAAGTTGATGACGATGCAAATGCTCCTGTCGAACTCAAGTCCCTCTCTGTTGATGTGGCTTTCGGTGGAGTTATAATTGGAAGATACCTTAGAGTTGACGCATCATTATTAAACATTGCCTTTAGTGGAACTTTGCAAGCAAATGGATTAGGTAACCCTGCAGGAGTTGGTCCTGGTGCTGGCAGTTCTTCTTTGTTAACAGGAGGTGGTTATGGAGGTTGTGGTGGAGGTAATACCAATGAAACCTGCGTGGTATATGGATCATTGTTTGAAGCAACAGAGTTCGGTAGTGGGGGAGGTACAACACAAGTTCCAGATGGTATCTTTGGTAGTGGTGGTGGTATCATAGAGGTAGAGGCTCAGGTTTTAATTGTTGATGGAACCATTTCTTCAAATGGTCAGAGTGGCAGCAGCACAACAGGCGGTGGTAGTGGTGGAAGTGTGGATATTTCTATCTCGGAAACATTCAGTGGTCGAGGAAAAATAAAAGCTGAAGGAGGATACGTATCTGGTCAAGTGACAGGAGCTGGTGGGGGAGGTCGCATTTCTATACTTATAACTGGTGATAACAAATTTAGTGGTTCTTTGAGTGCTCGTGGCGGAAGTTCATCGGCTAAAAGTGGATCGCCTGGAACGGTTTACACTGAAGATGGAGAAACAGTTTTACGTAAAAGAAAACTCTTTCTCGATAATGGCGGCATCTCTTCAAACTCACCTTTGCCAATTTTTTTGAATCAATCAGTTGTGGCTTCTTATGATTTTCAAGAAATCCACTTAAATGGCCTGGTTATGCTACACGTTGATAAAGATATGGAAGTTGAGAAGCTGGTCACAGACTCCGACAGCGTTATATATATCAAAGATAATGTTACTTTCACTGTCGAGCCAAATTCGAAGTATCTCCAGCCTGATTGTAGCTTTATTGTGGACGCCAATGGTGAAATTCGTATTCCAGACAAAGTCATGTTTCTCGGAAGAAACAACGTTTTCAAAGGTACTTTGACGGGTATACTGGATATGGTTATTGGTGAGAACAGAAAGGTTTATCTATTGGCCTCGGCGCGAACAGCTCGTTACATTGATGGTAAGTACACATTTATCACTCACCGTGGAGAATACAGATTTTCATCGCTGAGAATAAAGAATGGTGCATTCTTCTCGTTTGAAAATGCGCACTTGAAGAAAGTTCCTCTCACTCTTGGGCGGCTTGAGATAAACTTTGGGGCTTCGATGCAAGGCAGCTGGCTTGACATCAAGGCTTCTGATGTTATCATACACTCTGGCGCCACTATTGACCTCTCTGCTCAAGGGTACGAAAGTGACAAGGGGCCTGGGGCAGGAGGTCTACATCAGTCCGATGGAACTGGCGCTGGGCATGGTGGCTATGGTGGAATTAGCACCGTAAACTTTGGAAAGTGGTATGGTTCTGCACTCAATCCAAACAATACCGGAAGTGGCGGTGGCAGCTCCAGTAGTGGTAAAGGAGGAAAAGGTGGTGGTTATCTTCGCTTAACAGTTGTTAGGTTACTTACACTTGAAGGGACAATATCAGTAGATGGAGATGGTGGAACAGTGTTAAATAGTGGGGGAGGTAGTGGAGGTAGCATTTGGATCTCAGCAGACAACATACAGGGTAATGGGATTGTTAGTGCAGAAGGCGGTGATGGCAACGGTACTGGAGGTGGAGGCAGTGGTGGACGTGTTGCTCTCTACTTGCAAGGATTGATGAGTTTTGAAGGTCTTTTGAATGCAAAAGGTGGTGACGGGAAAGACGCTGGTGCTGCTGGAACACTTTATATTCAGGATAATAACAAACGCATCCCTCGCAAACGCTTATGGATTGACAACCTGAAAGTTGGCAACAACAAACCTCAAACGGTGCTTTATGAGGCAGACAGAGTTAACTTTCTTTTTGATGAGCTTCGGCTTAATGGAATGTCTCGCTTTGAGATATACAATCTTCAAAGGAAGCTTCAAACTATCCAGGTTACAAATTTTATCTCCGATGGTGTTGGTGAAATTGCCATAAGAAAAAACCAAACTCTTCTCGCAGAAGTCCTTGAGGCAAAAGAGAGTCACCTAACCTTGACAACGAACATCTACGTTGAGGAAGGTGCTAATCTGGTTGTGGCTTCGAATTTAACAATTGATGGTGCAACACTTACCTTGGATGGTAAACTATCAAATGTTCGACATCTTGTCGTTGAGTCAGGGAGTGCCATTAAATTTGGAGTCACATCACAGACAACGCTTATGGAGAACAAGAACTTTGTATTTCAGAGTGACCCTGGAACGCAACAGTTTGCAAGTGTGACGCTAAAGAGTGGCTCTGACTTTGGGGCTCCCCTTAATCTTAAGCTTAGTGTTGGAAAGTTGAATATGAAGAGTGGGGTGATTCTCCAAGGTAAATTTGTTGATATCAAATCCCAGTCGCTTCTCATTGGTCGTGGGGCAACTCTAACAACTAACGATATCATGGAAATAGAGTTAAATGCTGGTGGTAGAGGACACTCTTCGGGTAATGGTGGCTCTGGCGGCGGGCATGGAAGTATTGGTGGAACTGGATATAATACGTTAGCTGGTGGGATTCCCTATGGAACGATTTATGAGCCAAATCAACCAGGAAGTCCAGGTGGTGATGGCGGTTCTGGTGACTCAGGTGGAAAAGGCGGTGGAGTTATATCAATTGACACTGATATTCTAGAAAATGATGGATCCATCACAGCTAATGGTGGAGATGCATCTCAGAGCAGCCAAGCTGGTGGAGGAAGCGGTGGCAGTGTGTACATAATCGCCAGTAGCGTATTTTCTGGTACAGGGACAGTTTCTGCCCATGGTGGGCGTGGAGATGGCGCTGGTGGATGCGGTGCAGGCGGACGAGTGGCAATAAATCTTAAATCTCAGTATGCATACCGTGGAACATTGGAGGCCTTAGGAGGAATTTCTAGTAGCAGTGGAGCTTCTGGTGGTCCAGGCACAGTTTACATCAAAGACGTCCGCTACAAGTTATATTTTGAACAGTTGCACGTTGATAACCAAGGGCAAAGTTGGCAAAACTATGTTACTCTAAACGAAAGTAAAACATCCTATCACTTTCATGAGCTTCACTTAGTACACAAAGCATCGTTACGTATGACTCCCAGTTCAAACTTGACTCAGTCTTCAACGCTTAGCATCGGGAAACTCTTTGGAGATCGATCAGGTCTTCTGCATCTGTATAATGGCCACAAAGCAATAATTGAAGTAGTAGAGGCACAGCTGACAACTACTAAGACCCCAGTGAACTTAAGAATTGACAGTGGGGCCGAAGCTGTTATGGCAACAACGGTTTACATTGTTGGCGATGGCGCTGTGGCGTTACATTGCAACGGAACATTAAACGGCGTTCGTAACCTTTATGTTACTCAAAAACGTGTCGTTCTCTTGGAACAAGGCTCACGAACACTAAGGGACGATGAACAACCAGGAACCTTTATGTTCTCCAATGTGAAGTTATTTAGCGGAAGTTCAGTGACCATGAAGGATGAGATCGTGATGAAAATTATTGCTGGATTCTTAAACATAAAGTTCCATGCAAGCTTGGAGGCTCATTATTTCGATATTGTAACTTCAAATCTTGACGTGGAAACTGGGGGACTACTTAGTGTTGCTGGTGACAACAAGGCACGTTTGGCTGTTGAACCAAGTGAAGTATCTTCACTTCCGCAGGGAGCTGGGGCAGGACATGCCAGCAACGGAGGAAGTGGCTATGGAGGGGCTGCTGGAGGCTTGTATCATGGATCCCTTTACAAACCGAAAGAGTCTGGTCGCAGGGGTGGAAAAGGTACAAATAACGGTATTGGTGGAAGAGGTGGTGGATATGTTAAAATTGAGGCTGGCACACTCATCATCAACGATGGCATCATTACTGTTGAGGGTGGAAGTGCTGTAAGCGGTGGAGGAGCTGGTGGGGGAAGTGGCGGCAGCCTTCTATTCAACACAGAATCATTTATTGGTAAGTCTTTTCCAACCACCTTATTTCAACTACTACTGCTTTATTTCAGCTACTTATGCTGGGGCACGTAGGGAAGTTATTTTTCTGGAAGTAACAATTTTATTTCTCTTGTTAGCCCTTACCTTTAATAGTAACTCAATCAGCAAGCGAAACTCTCTCCCACAGGAAACTGATAATTATTTATAAGTGCGGATGCTAATCGCATGACTTTATAATTCTTGTAGATGGAATATTACCCAAAATATCGCTTTATTTGTATGTATATTACATTATATGATAAGCTGAATTGGACAAGCATTTTGGTTTGTTCATACTTATAGACCATTGGAGCGCAAACACATAAGATGGATAATCTGTTAAACAAATGGAGTCCTTGTCGCTGTGCGTCTGTTCAATAATAGATCAAAATGTGAGAGGAATTGCGCCTGGCTTGCCACTTTTTTTCTTACTACATTTTAACGTCAACTGTAATCTATTGTTGAAGAGACGCACGGCAACTTTAAATTATAAAAATGACGAACAACTGATCAGCAAACGATGTTTTCGTTTTTAATTGGAAGTCTTTATTCTGAAAGGTTATGGAGAAATGAACAGTAATGGTGGGAATGGAGGAGGTACCAATGCTGGTGGAGGTTCCGGGGGAAGGATTGCAATTTATGCCACTGAGAACCTTTACAGAGGGACTTACCAAGCTTTCGGTGGAAGCTCCGTCTCAGGGGCTTATGGAGGACCAGGCACGGTGTTCTTACAGGATATACGTTCAAAGAGGCCTTTCAAGCAGCTGCGAATTGACAACCTAATGCGTTCCATTAAAGATCCAGTCACGATAGATGAAGCCAACCTAACCAATCATGATTTCTCACAAGTTCACCTGTTTGGACGTGCAGCCATCAATATGGCTGTTAGAAAGGAACGAACGACTTTGAAAATGTCGAGATTGTTTGGAGATCGAACAGGACTTCTTCATTCCCGTGCGAACCAAACATTTCATTTGGAAGCGTCTGCCACGGAACATAGTGTGTCGAAGCCTGCTGTCAACTTGAGAATTGATGAAAATGCTGAGATGGTCTTTGGCGCGTCATTATACGTTATTGGAGATGGAGCCAAAGGAACTGGACAAATAACTGGTGACTCTTCTTTCACAATTGATGGAAGAATGATAGACGTTACTCACCTGTTCCTTACTAAGCGTTTGAAGTCAAGATTCTTATCCCACGCTCATTCTGCAGATTACCATAATGAAACTTTAACTGTGAGTGCTGTAGGCACCTTCGTGCTAGCCACGTTTGAGATCCAAGATGGTTCAGAAGTATTTTTTCCTGATGTGCAAGGAGTTCAATGTGAAGTTGGACTCCTTCACATGAAATACGGCTCCGTGATTGTGGCAGATACATATCACATTGGAGTTACGTCGCTTCTTCTTGAAACCGGAAGTAAAATAACTGCTTCCGGAAAAGTTCGTCCGAGTGGTTATGACAGTTCTGTTCTTCCCAGTTCTTGTAAAGGTTCAGGTGGAAGCTATGGAAGCAAAGGTGGAAAAGGTAAAGTAGCTTTTAAGGAAGTGAAGTTCCCTTAAAATCTGCTGAGATTTTTATGTGGTCATATCTTAGTTGTGGAAATTTGTGTTTTGAAGCCGATCTGAAACTGAGTTACGTCAAAACCTTTACCATCCTCTTGAAGCGTACGCCGACAGGCCCTTTTGATCTGAGAAAGGAAATGATTTCGTGAATAAGGCTTTGGAGGTGTTAATTTATGTTATCATGTTTGCTATTTCTTCTAGGTCATAATGGCGTTAATGAACTTCATTCCTATGGTAGTATCTTTACGCCTGGTCACTATGGCTCAGCTGGATGCCCAGGAAGTCAGAATGGTGGAAAGGGTGGAGGACTTATCATCATGGAAGTTGGGGATGAACTTTACCTTGATGGTACCATAGCGAACGACGGACAGGACGCTGCTAGTGGATCAGCCGGAGGGGGCGGAAGTGGCGGAAGCATCTGGATCAAATGTGGTAGATTTAATGGTCACGGCCTCATAACTTCAAACGGTGGTGCAGGCGATGGTCTCACCTCTGGTGGTGGATCCGGTGGACGGATTGCTGTTGATACTCCAACGGAGAATAAGTACGTTGGTGAATACACTGCCATTGGGGGAGATTCAGGCGACCCATCGAAAGACACAACTCAGTATTCTGGTGGGCCAGGCACAGTGTTCTTGAAAGATGCGCGAAATCAGTATGCGCACACGCAGCTTCGCTTGGACAACAAAGGTAGAACTTGGGATCATTATGTCAACCTCAACGAAAGTTTGAAGTCTTACACCTTTGACGAACTTTATCTCGTGCGCAAGGCCGCTATTCATTTGGTCCCAGATGGCAAACCATTGAACTTGACTGTGCACAAAGTGGAAGGTGATCGAACTGGACTTATTCACGTACACGAGAATCAAACTTTGAAAGCCGAGTTTTTAGACGCAGTGTACACCATCACCAGGACTGCTGCAAACTTCAAACTTGATAAGGGGGCCAATGCTATTATGGCGACGTCGGTGCACGTAGTTGGACAAGGAGAAGTGGCATTTGAATGGAATGGCCGCCTTATAGACGTGCAGCACTTCCATGTCGCTTACGGTCGAACCATTAAGATTGGTTTTTATGCTCACACTGCTGGTACTAAAGCAGGAAAGTATCGTTTTATTGATGGTTATGGTACGTTTCGTTTTTCAACGCTGGAATTTGGGAGTGGTACTTTAATACATTATCCACCGCCTATGGGAGTACACTTCATCGTTAGCCTATTGGTATGTGTGCAAGCTAATTCAAGTAAATGATGTTACGAAAATTATTGTTTTTGTTAGGTTAGAAATCAAACCAGGTTGGATAAAAAAATGTATGGCTAAAATAGAGTCGATATTGCATGCATCGTATTGAAAAATTGATATTTAACTACAGTGTAAACTGCATAGATGTTATGGCAAAATGCCTGAAGAAAGTCCAAATCCACTATTCTCTCGTCACACTGCGTTATTACTGAAAGTGACAAAAGCGATAACAGATGTGGAAGGAAAAACCTTTTTTCATCTCAGTATCTGATATGCATGATACTAGACTAGGCTTCTTTTAAAACAATGTTTTTTCGTTTGGACAGGATATCAAGTTCAGCTCATATTTTGAAGCAGAGTTCTTCAAAATTGAAGCTACTGACTTCTACCTTGAACCGAATGCTACTCTCAACTGCGCTGGAAGGGGGTTCGAAAATAAAACAGAGGGATCAGGAAAGGACTCTGCTTCAGGAGGTTCCGGAGCGGGGCATGGAACACCAGGTGGTGATGGTAAAGATGTCAGTGGAGGAGAAGAAGTGGGTTCCGTGTATGAGCCAGTACTTCCTGGTGCGAGAGGTGGGACGAGAACTGGAAGGACTACTGGCAGCAGGGGAGGGGGACGTGTTCGTGTAAGTGTTGGATTTGCCTTTCGATTGGACGGGATTATCAATGTCGATGGAGACGATGCAGCAACGAATTCAGGTTAGTGGTATATTAAAAGGACATGGTTACGGTATGAAAGTTAGAATATGTGCAGTGAGGTAGTGTGAGATTACCTCAAGGAGATATTTTCAACCAAAATGTTTAGCACCCATTATTATCTAAATTTTCTGCTATTAGTGGCGGTTCTGAGGAGTCAGTGGTGCGTGGAAACTAGACTCTATGATTGCATCCGTGTACCTCAATAGATATATTTATAACTCACGTTTTTGTCAGCAACATTTCCAAAATGAATGACTCAATACGTAAATAAGTTAATAAAGCAAAGAATAAATGGATAAGTAGTATAAAATTTATTGTTTGTTTAAGTATGGTAGATTGTATCACCAAAGCTTATGAATTGTGTCTGTTGAATTACAGGAAGTGGTGCCGGAAGTGGAGGTAGTGTCTGGATAACAACTGGCTATCTTCGTGGCCATGGCGATATATCTGCACGTGGCGGAGTAGGAAACACTGACGGCCTTGCCACAGGTGGAAGTGGCTCAGGAGGACGAATTGCAGTTCATGTGAAAATCAAAGACGAGTACAGAGGTGGCTTTTACGCCTTAGGTGGTGTATCTTCTGGGACCCAACATGGTGGTTCAGGAACTGTGTACATAGAGGAGATCCAGGGTGATAAGTTATTCAGACGGCTGTATATCGACAATCAGAATGCAAATCCACCAAAGGTCTTTACCTTGGACGAGATGAACCCAAAGACTGTGAAGGCGAATGCTACCGAAGAAAATGACGCAGAGTTTGGATTTGATGAACTGATGCTACAAAGAGGCGTAAGCTCTTACTTTTTTTTACCTTGATTTTCGTTACATTTGCTCGATCATACCTTTGCGTTGGGTTTTCGTGGACTACGTTACTTCAACTTACCTAATTTTTTTATCAGACCTCAGACCCCCGAAAAACTCAGAATTGTGTACCATGTTATGACGATTGCTTTGCTTTGGAGCCGTTATCTTAAGTATAAATATGGGGTAGACGGATGCGTAGCGTGACACTTTCTCCATAACAGTGTCACGTTATTGTGAGCGGATGTGGTTTTTATGGATTTACCTCTGAGCATCCTGGCGTTCTCGAAACCACACAAAAAAAAATGAACACAAGCTCGAACAATTCTATGTAACAGCAACAAAAAAGCTCTCAATATCGTGTGCAATTTCGGAACCGTTCAGTAAATATAACAACTAATATTCGGTGAACTATCTGTGTTACATCTGAGGGTCATTGCATTTATGATGAACTGGAGAACGCGTGATGACTTTAAAAGTCGAGAAGTAGATAAAACAACGGGTCGATTAAACTCCCTTAATAACTCCTTCTGGTCGTAACTATTCTTATCTGAGTCGGCAAGCTTTTTGATAATCATTAACTGGTGAGCGACGCTTCTCTTTTAACACGACACCAAATGCCCCATGTCCAACACTGTCGATTTCCTCAAGGTTGTTGTAGTTGTAGTTGAATGGGGGCAATCCAGCATTTCTAGGAATTATTGTCTTCAATGTAATATTCGGCAACTCAAAATTCATGATCTCAACCGAATTACATAAATATTTTGGAAGAATCGTATCAACCTCGGACTGCCATGTCAGGACGCGAACAAATATGAAAACTGGCGCGAAAAACCACGTCAAGAGGGAGATTAAATGATGAACAGGACCTAGACCTACCATGACCTCGAATAAACGAATATTATTGTTTTCCTTTCGAAACTTGTTGTTGTCCAGCACCGAGGGAAAAAGTTGGGACATACGTTAACCATCGGTTTTAGCCTTTTACTCTTGTTTGTTTGCTTGTTTGGTGGCTAATTGTGCGTTTTAGGAGTATCTGGTAGCTGTAGCTTGACATTGTCATGGTGAAATGTCAGACTACGGGAGAAACCCGGTCACTGAAACGTAACACTGTTATGGAGGAAGTATCACGCAACGCATCCGTCTACCCCACGTTTTTAATCAAGATAACGGCTCCAAAGCAAAGCGATCGTCATAAAATTGTACACAATTCTGAATTTTTACGGGGGTCTGAGTTTTCGAGGCACCCGTTTGGAAGATTATTATCTTTTGTGGTTACTGCCTTTAGTAGGAAGAGAAGCCACGTATGTTGCCTAGATGGGAGAGTGAGTTTGTGTAACAATAGAATTCCGATTTTGACCCAATTTTGTCCCGATGTTTTCCGGCGCCACTTATTGTTTTTTTCCGGAGTATCTTAGTTGTTGGACAGTCGCATTCGGTACACAATTGAATTCTCTACTTTAGTGATTTCTGGCGTATAGCCACTAGCATATCATGTTTTCAGTTCTTGCCGTGACACCATGGAAGACAGCAGAAGACGATAACATCTCACAACCATTTCAGGATTGCGCGCGATTCAAAACAAAAGTTTTCCTTGCAGAAAGATCTTAATGGATGTCATCAGCGCATCATGAAACTTCGAGGAAAAGTTTTGAAGAGAGAGCATTTTATCGTTTAAATCAGTAAATTACGTCGATCCGAAGATATAATCTTTGCAGTCTTTGTCGTGACACAACAAAAGACGATAAACTTCTCAAAATAGTTTTACAGTGGCGTCCACCGACGCATAATTTAAATCAAAACTTTTTCTTCTAGGAATATCTCAATGGATGTGATCTGCACATCATAGAAGCTTTAAGAATAATTTTTTTCTTTGAAAAGAGGGCATTTTATTGTTTGAATCAGTAATTTATGCCGAAAAGAGCCGCTAAATTTCGCTAGAACTGCGAAATTCGATACCTTGAGTTATTCAACAGAATGATGGAATGAACGGTGGATGGGCGGAATGACAGAATATCTTAAGATGCGGAGTGGATGAGCATCCTAAAATGTGGAATTCCCTTTTGTGTAAAACAAAAGTTTAAAGAAATGGAATTGCAATAAAATAAGAAAATTATTTATGATTAACAGGGAAAATTAAAAGAAGCATAGGTAATCCTGTTGAAGCCTAGAGGAAAGGGAAACCATGAGGCCTTCCAGCTAGCCTCTATTATATTACAAATATTATCATTATTATTATCATTAACATTGTTATTTGTTATCAGTTAAATTACTGGTTGAATGCTAATTAGACATTATATTCTTCAATCATCCTTCTTTTGTGGAACAGGGTACTCATAAATATGTGGGATGCGGCAGGTTTTACTGTTCTGCTTGTGAGACAAATATTCTGCAACACTGCTTTCTAGCGTCTAGTCCTTTTTAACACAATAAAAATTGTGCCATAGCAATAGCCACATGCGGTCTTTGAGAGTCAATTTTTTTTCTTTTTTATTACCAGGTTGTGTTCCGGATTGCAGACTTGAGACTTAGTAAGCGCCCAGCTATTTCTGTTATAACTGTCCTCGGTGATGGTTCGTCTGTACTACATGTTATGGAGAATCAGACATTCTTCATAGAGTACCAGGAATATACCAGACGAAGGTCGTTCCCGCCCGTGAACTTTAAGGTCGATTACGGTGGGGAATTAATGTTAGTGTCAGACTTCCATGTCGCTGGGAAGAATAACCCAGCATTTGAGCTTGAAGGACGAATTACGGGAGTCTCGAACTTAAGTCTCACAGAGGGTCGAGTCCTGCGAGCGGGTGAAAACATGAGTAGTGCTTTGCTGAAGGACAAAGTTTACATTGAAACACCGATTGACGGACAATTAAAATTTGGAGTTTTCATTATGGAAGCCTCATCAGGACTATATTTTGCTAAGCGCATGAAATTTGTTGTCAGCACACTCTACATGCGACAGAAGGCTGTCATTTCGGCAGACAAAATTCATATGGCTTTGAATGAAGTTCATATGGAAGGAAGCTCTAGAATCACGACATCTGGAAAGGGCCCCAAGGCAGGAGAGGGTCTGGGTCCTGGATCCAGTTTTAGTAATGTCGGTTCTGGTGGAGGTCATGGTGGGCAAGGTGGCCCAGGAAGTACAGTCGATGGGGGATCTGGGTATGGTTCCTATGTGTACCCAGTGCATCCAGGCAGTGGAGGAGGTGGAGACGGTGGCGGTGCTGGAGGATGCACGACTGAGGTAAAAGTTTCTCATTATTAAGATTAGAATTCAAAGGCAATGAGTCACTGAGCTGTAAAAATCAAATATGTTTTTTGTTCCATGTTGGAGTTTCAATTGATGCCTTATACCATTTTTGGTGCATAGAAGTCTTAGCTGCCCTGCAAGCGCCCCCCTAACTAACTTCTTACTCTACATTTTAACATAATTGTACAATTTGTTGATAAAGGTCACTTTTTCATTGAGGATCCTGCTGAGGCACGTAGGGGGAGAATTTGCTCTTCATTGCTGGGGATATGGCATAACTATGAAGCCAAAAAAAACCCTTAACTCTGGCAGTTTGGTTTTCTTTTTCTCAGATAACAGTTGGATATTCCCTACATTTGGATGGCATCATAGAGAGCGAGGGTGCCAATGGAACATCTAACAGTGGAGGTGGCAGTGGAGGCAGTATTCTGATCAAAACTGTGCTCTTCTCTGGACATGGGCTGATAATTGCGAATGGCGGAAGTGGAGACGGAAATGGAGGTGGTGGGGCAGGTGGCCGGATTGCAGCGCACGTTGCTTGGCTAAGAGAGTACGCTGGACAATATACAGCTTTTGGTGGAACAGGTTTGCTTGATTTTTCTATGCCTCTTTTTTCATTAATCTTTTCACTCATTTGGCTACTAAGGTCACCATTGCGGGTGAGTGGCAGAAAGGAACTAATGTTTTTATAACCGCATGATAAATGGTGTCTCTCATACCTGGTATGGCTTTACGAGGAAATGCCCGAAAGGCCTACATGTTAATTGAAAAACGTGAAGATATACTTAAGTGCTAAAAGATACCAAAAAGCAAGGTTACAAAGGTAGCATAGTTATTTTGACTAGATCTGCTTCTGTTTACGTGAAAATTCTCGAAACTTAAACGGGTGTTGATGGCCTAAAAATGGCGGAAATCAGTGCCAAGAGAACAGACATGGGAATTGTTCCCATCAGATATGTACAAGAAAGCAAACAAATGTAAATTTAATGAATTTGTGCGGGAGAGATTGAGAAGTGAATCAGTCTTAAGACAACACCTTTCAAATTACATTTCTGGCTTGCGACACGTGTTTGAAATATTGCCAATCTTTCTAAATGTTAATATCCCATTTTTAAGCAAACTTTCAATCTATAGGGGTCCGTCTGCCCTCCTAGTGTGTTGCGTCACCGTGAAATACCTCTTCAAAGAAAAACTGAAAGAGTGTTATACGTAATTAACTCGTCAATTGAATTATCTTGAGAGGAAAAAAACACTGTTTACATAGGCGATTTTGTTTTATTTATTTCCACTCAGGAGATGGTCCTGATTAAACTTTCTCTCCCTGAAAAGAGTCAAGAGTACACGGACCTCTTCAGAACCAAACTGAAGAAAGAGTTGTTCATACTTGAATTCTCAAACTATGAAAAATATGCTCAACTTGTCTAGTATTTTGTTTGTTTTCTTTTCAAAAACATGATGTGTGACATGTTGTGGCATGACATGCCAAGATAAACTAACATGGTGAAAATTCATGTCTTTTTGTGAAGATGCATTCTAGTTCATGAATGAAACCGAGAAAAAATACTAATACTCAACTGATTCAATTTACTGAGTGAAAAAACGAGGGAAAGGTTTTTTCACTTTCGCCTTAAATCTGACTTCAACAACGGAGACCCCAGTTAGATTATGTGGTGCTATCAACAAACCGACGAGGCGATTTTCATGAATTTCAGCGTGCTTTCAGAAAATTCGCTGTTAAGTTGTAATGAGCCCGATTGAATAGGAGGAAGAGTTGTAAGAGTAAAATATGAAAAGCTGAAGGTGGCTTTTAGCACTCAATGGGACGAAATCTAATAATCTGGCATCTCAATCTCTAGGCTTTAAAGCAGGAGCCGCAGGCACTGTGTATTACACTGATACTAACCAAGGGCTAAGTCACAGGCCAGTGCTTATCAACGAAGCAAACCACACAGTATTTGGCGAGGGATTCACAAAGCTTACAGTTGATAACTTTAATCGGAATCCCGATATTCCGACAATAATCATTAACGAAAACAGCTCATATTACGAAATCGACGAATTAGAGATGAGAAACCATAGCTTGCT